AGAGGCTCTCTGCTTTGGATCAGACACTTTTGGTTCCTTTGAATGTTCTTCATATTCATTTTATCAATAGACACGCAGTGGAGAGCTTCACAAAAAGTTAAAGGATTCACATTGTAATGAAACAGAAAGATTTGGGCTGGCAATCCTCACTATACAATACAATAATATCACAAGATGGTGTTATGTGATTCGGGATATATTGCACATGACATTATTATTATATTATTATTATTATTATTTTTAATTTTTTTTTTATTTTTTTTAACTATTTTTTTTATTTTATTTTTTTTTACACAACATTATACTTTTAAAAGGAACAAATGTATTTTTACAACTGTATTTCTTTGTTAAACCACCACTTGCATGTTCTGTTTATGAAATACCATACTTTTATAATCCACATTTAATAATTAAAATAACAGTGAATATGCTGATTGCATTAAATAAATATGTTTACTTTCTCTAAGCAACAAAATTGCAGTGCTGCCATAACATTGTTTTGTGAAATCTACCCAAAATATTTTTCTGGCAATATATATCCATACTTTATAAAAAATATATATGCATCACGATATATAGATTTTTTGTAACATCTCATAATCATTATTATTCAGACAAATGTATCCTTCCTGATTTGAAGGATTTTGTAAGGACTTTTCACCATTCAAAATATATGAAACATTCAGAGAATGAAAATCATGTTTGTCTCATAGCAAGAAGGTCCTGGGTTCGAATCTTGTTGTCGAGTTCGAGTCTTGTTGTAGAGTATGCATGTCCTCCCAATCCCTGTAATCTCTGGGTTGTCATATGAAGCAGAAGAATATTCTTTATCTCCCATTTCTAGCCACAGTATGCAACTTTTCTACAGTTTTTGCAAAAGCACTAAACCTATAACCCAAAGCTCAAGTAGGCGGAGCTTAGTTTCTGAAGTTACCAGCATCCTGGTGAGGAAAAGGGTCAAAAGTTGTTCATAGTGAAAGAAAACAGAAGCAAAACATTTTATATATAAATAAGTAATGACTTCACCCAACATAACCTGCCGTGAGCTATCAGTGGACCCAAAGAGCTCGGGTCAGACTATTACGCGCAGTGTCCTGAACTGCCTCTGTCCATTCAAACAAAACATCAACAAAGCACTTTTCAAAGGGGAATTTTACAGATACAGATAATTATAAGAGGAAGCTAAAAGGTGTTCCTCCCATCTAAAAGTGAATCTCTGGCTCCTGACTGAGCATTGCCTGATTTACACGTATTATCTACTGCAGCCTGTATCTCACTGAACAATCTGGTTTCGCTTGGATTCTCAGCCCCATTTAAGAGCACTCTGTCAACACATGAGAGATAGCATTACTCCCAGACAAAGCACCCAAAATTGCATATTGTGTCATAAAATTTAACAAGCGCTATTTTACCTTTCTAAGGACAAATTTCTTCAAGATGGATTTGATTGAATATTGGATTATGATGAAGTCAATGACTAAATTTTCAAGTTACAGACAATACAGACAATACTAACACAGTACAAACCACACTACAAACAATACTAATAAACTTTTGTATTATGTAGACCTTTTGTTTTGTAGAAGTACAACCACAGACCTTCATGTGTTGATTATATAACTAGTGTACCTTTATTACTACAATGACTTTGTATTTTGTAGTTTTCACAATACAAAAAAGTATAAAGCATTCATATACAATCGCAGCCTTAATTAATTGGTAAAATACTTATATGCTATATTAGACATACACTTAGACAAACTTTATTGATCTGCAAGGAAAGAAAGAAATTATTTGGACACACACAGCTCACACGTCACAATATATTATAATAGTAAAGTGCAGAAATATAAATAGTAATAATACTAAATAATAATTCAAAATAAGAGCAAAAATAACAATAGACTGGTGTCAAATAAGGCATAATTATATAAATGTATGCATACAAGTAAAAATAGAAATACAGTATATCTCTCAGCTATATACTGTACAAGAGGAGAAAACATATTGCAGCTGAGTTTTAAAAAACATGCTCTCCTTTGTCTTGAATTTTGAATTTTCGTTTGTTCAGTGGCCTTTGTATGTTGGAGAAAAAACATAACTGTTGCACTACATGACTGCAATCTCAGACGAATAGTGTGTGTGTATTGTGTAATCAGTTTGAGCTCAGCCATGCCACAGCAAACAAAGGCAGCTCAAAGATTGGAAGTGAGTGACCCCAGCATGGTCGGAGCTGTTTACTTAATACAGAAACCAACGCTTTTACTGAGTATACGTGACAGAGGGCACAGGGGCCTCCAAAACACTGCTCGACTGCTGCGAATTATCCCTGTACTACTCTTGCATACTTGTTGTCTGATCCTTTGTCTCATAGTTTCCTCATTACAATGCATCTCTCTGACTTACAGTATTGCCCTCAGAGGACCACATTACAGCAGAGAGGAGATGTCTGGGAGACGGCCTCCACTGTCTGCTGATGATCTGTACGTGATTTATACCTGCTTGATAAACCCCAAAAATCCATCGCAGGCATTAACACACTTTAAAAATATCACAGGCTCCTTGGAGATACATGGGAATGCGTGTTACGACTGCAACTCCCATCAATCCCAAACAGCACCGGGAACACCCAAGATGCACTCGCTCCATGTTTACTGAGCTATAATCCTCCACATTGTTTAAACCGTGCTGTGCAGTCATTACAATAGACCGCTTTGGTTTGAGAGTTGACTCAAAGCAAACACTGAATCTCTTCTAATCTATCTAATGATTTTATAATGAAGTGAGTGCAGATGTGGAAGGTGCCCTGCCTTTCCACTCTGACTCCCTCTTGAACGCTGTTGCTAGGGCTACCGTTTATCCATACAGGTCCATAACTGTGGCCTCTTCAGAGCGACAGCAGTGCGGCTGAAGGATGACATAGGAAATACAGCTGATTATAAACACTAGACATAAACACAGAGCTGCTTGTGAATGAATGCACTTGTAATGGACACAGCCAGAGAACAGGGTGTTCACTGAAGGAGTCACTGTGCCATGTGTTAAGCACTACTGACCCCTAGTGGTTCTGATATAGACTATATGAGAATTCTTTGCTATAGTGTCAGATGTTTGCATCTCCTCACATAATAAAAATATGAGAAAGTATGTTCAAGCTCAATTCAACACACCTCAATACAGATCAGCGGGGTGTATATATAATGTAAAATGCTGTTTTTACTATGAAGTGTGTGTAATGGCAAAAATTTACTCAGGAGACTCCCAATAATATTGTGTTTTAAAGTGTTTTTAGATTAATTCGTTGAAGTTTTTTTTGTTTTGTTTTTTCCAAGCATCAGACAAATGTAAAATGTAGATTGCTATTTCTGCACTAATTTTGCAATTTCTTTCTTTTTTCAGTCTGGAAAGATTAACAGGAGACATGAGTGTAGCAATGAAGAGCGATGAACCTGGGGACAGTTGATTCCACTGATGAGGAGATGGAGAGAAGGAGGATTGCAGGAGATTAGAAAATTTCAGTGGAGATGAGAGAAACCTTCTTTTAAATTGCCTGCAGAGCTGTGATCAGGAGATGAGATGAGGGAGGAATGACAGGCAGATATGAGCAGGCTGATCCGGGCAGGTGAGGAGGAGGTGAGACTACAGGGTGGTGGTGCTGCAGGTGGCGCTACAGGGCAATGACGAGCGTAAAGGCTGAGGCAGGAATGAGGGAGTGGACTGATGTGACGAGGGTCAAAGCTGTTACAGAGCAAAGGAGCGGTCTTCTAGATGTATTTTGGAACGATTTTTAATCTGCTCTTTTTGCAGCATTTTTAAATGACACTTTTTAATACTTGATATTCAAATGTTCCCTTTTCTTCTTCAAAACAACATTCATATTAATATTAATAATATATTCATAATACCATATTAATTTACTAAATGTTAGCAATTGCAGTTTTAACCTGCATTTCCCTTCACTGAGTAAAATTAGCTGATTAGTTGTTCAGATCATAAAGAAAGGCCTCTTGAGGCCATCATGATTGATTGCAATTATATACTAAATCTATGAGCACATGACATGACATGAATCTGTGTATAGACCAGAGGATGATTATACGATTACTAAACTAATACTAAGTTTATTTCTGTAATTGACGAGTTGTGATTAATAAACTTTTTTTTAGTTCAATAATAATATACCAAATAATGTCATTACTTTATAATTTGTGTAAAAAATATTTGAGAGTTTGCATTTGGCATATATACACATCAGGAAGGAAGTCATACAAACCTTTGTAATGTGAAGCTAAATCCTTTTCTCAAAATCTTGGTGTGGATTATTGGCACCCTTGTACCAGTGCAGCTGTTACTATCATTCAACAAATGTTTGGACAGGAACTCACATGTAGCCTACTGCAAATGTGTGTTTGGGTAGTATTAATTTAAACACACATTTTATGAAGGTGTTTTGAAACAAACTAGTATTTTTATATCTTTATTGTACATAGCCACAATCTGTGACTATAAAACACAAACACCATATGCCCTCTAGTGGTCACTCTGAGACATACATTTCATCAAATACTTCTATGGTTTTATAGATTTCACAAAAGCAATTAGCCAATATTGCATTGTTGACCAACAATATTATTGTACCATATATAATTAGTACAGCTGTCCTCTGTGTAAACATGATCAATTATTGTGTGGAACTGCTGATAAAATTATTTCTTTAATAAAGTATAAAAGTAAAAAATGATAAAATAGGACTTCCAATTATATTTATTTGCAATTAATATATATGAAGAAAAATGTGATTTTTAAATGAAGGCGAAGTAAAGAAGATGCTACTTGGTGTTTTGGCCGATTATTTGACTGTATAATTAATGAAACATCTAATCAAATTAGGTATTTAATGCAGTCATCTGTTTAAAGTCTCCAAACCTGAGAGACACAGATCCCACAGGTGTGCATGGGTGAGCTTCATAACAACAAGCCCACAGCCTCTGATTAAGCACCTGCTGTACTGGGAAACAGCTCAGATACAAGGCTGTGAGCCTCTTCTCAGAACAAGGCCTAATATTTACAATTCAATGCAATATTCAAAGAATTTCAGCATAGATCATGCAAACATGTATTCAAATATCAAATCAAATAAGCACAAGAAAAGCAAATTGTCTGACTCTTGTCTTTATCCTACAGTGCCATCTCCGTAGTTTGAATAGGAGGAGTTAAGAGCAGAGTTCACTTGAGAAGTCTGTGGTTTATGTGGTTTCTAAGATTGTCCAGCCCCCAAAATCTCTAGATGTGCAATCCATAAACAGAACTGCTTGTCAAATTTTGCCAAGGCCACATTTTAAACTCTCCTCAACGTATTAAATAGACAGACATAAAGGTCGGTGTCCAGAGCTCTTCTTTTTTTATATGCCTATTAGCCTTGGGGTCCACCTCCAAAAGCCACTTCCACTAGATGAGTATCAGGAGGCCAGTGGGAGCTTGATAGTGAGCTGCAGCTGAGGAAGAGGAGGAGGAGGAGGAGGAGAGATAGTGGGGAAGAGACAGAGAAGACAGTCATGCACTTCACAGGCAGCAGACACTGACACACTGCCACACACCCACATTATTTCTCCTATACGTCTCATCGGAGCACCTGCTACTACCACACCACGAGGACCTGGAGAACATGCTTCCTTGGCTGCTGGCTGCAACTCTTGCAGCGCTAACAGGTAAAAAGTTATACTTATCACTTAGATTTTAGATTAAGTTATTTCCTTAGCCGTTTGTACTGTGTTTGTACTTCTTAAAAGTATGCAATTGTAATTCATTGTCTTGCCGATTTTGCTTCTTAACAGATTGTGTGTAATGGATGATTTAGTTACAAATCTTATTCGTCTTCTTATTTGACATGTTCCACTTAATGTGATTAATATCCCTTCTGCCTGGTGTGCACTTACGAGCCAAGTGCCCTCTACACAATGTGAATGATAAGTGTTTCCAAGCCTTGGCATTGATTTTTAGTGGATACGTGCTCTATGAGTTTGCCTTGTGTTGGTAGGAGTCACTGCTGGCTATGGAGGCACTGAGAGGAACTGCTCCATTTCTCCACCTGTGAGTACTTTTCATTCAACATGACATTTATGGCCTGTTGTTAATGATTATAGTGCGGTGTAGACAGATAGTTGACACAGGTAGTTCTGAAAAATCTTGTTTAATTAATGCACAGAAAATAAATATAGAACCGTATATTTTTATTTTTGGTATGAATGTAAGGGTATAGATACAACAAGTTGACACATGTGGACTGATTGATTGATTCATTGATTCATTCATTTTTATTTCGAGTTTGTGCCAAGAGAGAAACGATAATCATGTATACTACATATACATTGTAAACAACAGAAAAGCACATTTCTCGAAAAGGAGTGGGAAGAAGAAAAACTTATATGAACCCACCCCTATTTATGACATAGTTTAAAAAATTATGTGGTAGTTGGACTGGTAGTTGTTTGAAAACAAGAGAGAGTAATTTTAGTTGTGTGCCATTTTCAGAGAGATTAACTAAACCTTTTACCATCTTCAGTTTTTTAAAGAAATTTAAATGTTAGGGGATTGGTAGATTAATTGAAATACTTTTTATCCCTCACCCAAAAGATGTACTTTAAGATAGAAGTACACTGTTTAAAGGTCGGGTATGTGGCCTGCGCTCTGAAACTGGGTTGCCACTGCCTTCACCTCCACATAGAGGACACGTATAGTTCTTCTCATTCTCAGTATATGGACAGGCCATGTTTCATGAGAGAGCTCAGAATTCAGTCTTGGAGCTGCAGAGGCTGCACTAGGTCTGATTCATGATTGGCTGTAGGTGCTGAGCTTTTAGTACTGCATATTAACAAGAGAGGATGTACCATGTGCTTTTCAAATGTAATAAACGTGACCTATCTCACATAAAGATACAAGGTAAACATGTTCAAATCAAACTGATAACAATTCATGGTGCTTTATTCTTAAGTACGTGATGTTCAGTTTTCTGATATTTTCATTTGGTATTTTGGTTCTTATGTGCACATAACCATGAGACATTTGGATTACCAGATCCTATGACTAAAACTAGCTGGAAATGAAAACCTAGACTCTATGAACTGAATACTCACTATCAAAATCCTGACCCCCACACTCAGTCAATCATTAATCAGTACTAGTGCAGCCTCTGCAGTTTATCCTTTAACACAAAGCATGGCCTGTCCAAATGCAAAGAAAGAGAAGTCCATATTTGTCAAATACAATTGTTAAGCAATGGCAACCAAAATTCAATTATGATTATAGTTTGTAGTTTCTTTTTTTTAACTGCTAAGAACACAGGCTACATATCTTAACTTTTTAAAATCAAACTAACCCTTTAACCTGCCCAGGGAAAAATGTGCTTATATCTATCTCTGCAATGGGCAGTATCTTAATAGGCAGTGTCCCTGTCAAATTAATAAATTAGTAAAATGTGAAGTTCCTTTACTTAACAATTTCTCACACTACTGTATTCCTTGTCTATCTTCGTGCAGTATCTCCCCAGTACAGCTGTCGATAGCACTCGTCAGTTACAGGAGCTCCGAAAGAAAATGCTCCCCTTGAAGATGAATGCGTACATTATCCCTGGCACTGACGCTCACCTGGTACACAACCCGACCAGCCTCATAATGAATTCACATGAGATCTGAGCACCTTTTTGACAAAGTGCATTAATTATATTTTTCCATTTCCATTCCAGAGTGAGTATATTGCACCACGTGACGCTCGGATGACCTTCATGACCGGTTTTAAAGGCTCATCGGGTACAGTGCTCCTCTTATTTTTCTGTCCTCCTCCTCCTCCTCTCAGTGACTCAACTCCCCACATTCAGAGCAACTTTCATCCCACATCCAAACTGCACGGGTTTCAGGTCTTTTTCTCGACGACTCTTGTCCTAAACCGCTTTCTGTGTTATAATCAGAATTAATGACCATTTTATTTCATTTCATGCATGATGGAGAAATGGTTCATTATAGAGTGAACCCAAGATAAGCTAAATGCAAAAGTTCTTCATTTGATAGAACTGTAATTATCCGTTTACATGTAGCTTCTTTTTGTGAGCTGTTAATAATTTACTGTATATGACACCAGTGTACTCTAGTGGAATGATAATATTGAAGTTAGCATGGTTTATGTAAGCACCACACATTTTTGCTGTTTTCTTCTAACCTTTCGTGCCCCCACACACATTCGTTGCACTGTTTTAGCTGCTCAGTCACGCCTCATAGCAGGACTTTGACATTTACAAGTGTTTGTGATTCACTGCCACTATTATATGCTGTCTCTCTTCTGCCCATAGGCACTGCAGTGGTAACAAACACCAAAGCTGCCCTCTGGACAGACAGCCGCTACTGGGTTCAAGCCGAGCGAGAGATGGACTGCAACTGGGAGCTGCAGAAAGATGGTGAGGGGTTCTTGCGACAACATGTGATGCACAAATGGAAGTGCCAATAGGCTATTCAGAAAATATTTAATACGGACATACCAGCGTTGGTCTCGTGATGATTAGGTAGTTGTCACACAAAGAATCTGATTGTGAAAATGATCATGAAGCACAAACTAGATAAAATTTAATGTTCTTACTGGCTACTGCTGGCAACAAAATGCATCTCAAAATCTAACCAGTTGGAGATGCACAAAGTACAAACTATAGTCACAAAGGGTTACAGGCCAAAAAATCCAGTGTGCTGCAAGCTTTAAAATAATATTTTGGCCATAAAATAGGAGGCAGAAAATGCTTAACTAACAATAAACGTATACATTTTTATTCTATCACTATGGCAAGTTAAAAGATAAAAAGCATCACTGCCTCATAACCTACAATATGTTAAATAAATATGTTACGCCCTTTAAATAGAATACAAAAATATCACCACTTGAACTTATCAGCCAGTTAAACACTGTATGCAGATGTATCTGTCATCAAACATGTTTTAATGCATCTCTTCATTCATCAAAAGCTGATTTGATTAAACTTGCTATCAAATATTCAGTCATTCTGCAATTTATTCTAAATGTGTGTACCTTTACACTAAACATAAAAGTACTTCTTTATCTCTGAATCAATCTCCTTTATAAGTTCAAACCCAGCAATTACTGTTGATGTTGCTATGTTAATAAACACAGGTTTATACGAAGGGTGGTTTAAAGTCCTGACGCTGACCTGAAGCATACAGAATGAGAATCCAGGTGCATTGTGGGAATCCAAACCATTAATTATTTATTTATGTGACAATAAAGAATCATTGAGCTCATATGTAGACTTTTGTGCCAAACTTTAGCTGCTCCGAGCTGTTTTTAATGAGTTCTCCTTATAGTCTTTGTTGATCAACCAGTCACAGCCCTTGCATTCACTGAGTAGTAACTTTCTGGCCGAGATGCACGTATGCAGCACAGCAAATACCCTAAACTTTCTGATCGACTTACATGTGCATCAGGGAGCTCTGCGCCACCTCCCCGTAGATTTCAAGGTGGACCATAAACCAACCTTAATATATATAATAGAATATCTGTACTTTTTTTATTCAGCATAAACACAAGCTCGTCAATCATCTTACACAATTTACTGCATTAGATCAGATCAACATTAAACAAATCCTTCTTGCTGTGGTCTTCTCCTCAGTATCTGTGAGCTCGATAACCGAGTGGCTCATGGCGGAGGTCCCAAAAGATGGCGTGATCGGCTTTGACCCCTTCCTCTTCTCTCTCAGTGAGTCTACTGTATAGATGACTTCTGTTTGTTAACTCTAGATTCATTGAGCGTAATCACCTGCCATTTCCCTTGTTACAGATCGTTATGAGGAGTTCTCCATTATTCTTGAATTGAACAATCGCACCCTCAAGTCGCACCCAAACAACCTGGTCGATACGGTGTGGACTAACAGACCTCCTATCCCATCAGACAAGCTGATACGGCTGCCGGACCGAATAATACGTAGGTCTATGAGTCTGAAGTGCCATGGTGCCATTTATCTTGTGGTGAAGAGTGCACACAAAGCTATAAGCCATTAAGCATCAATTTATGTTTTTACAACTCCCTTAAATATCAGATACTAACTTCGAGACGACAAGACTGCAGATATGGAAATTGCCTAGGCACCAATTTGTTTATGGTCAAAGAACAGGCAAATGGACCAAATGGAGAGCAATATGAACATAAGCAGTCAGGCAAAATGACCACTGATGAATTAAGTGAATTATTGGGGTTGTTGTTGTTCATTGTAACTGCTGTTAGTGGAGAGTTCAGAAGTGATAGGACAGTTGTTACAAGATGGGCAGAACATGCTTAATCAGAGCTCCCAACATTGAATCCTTTAAGGTACTGTTAAACGATCATGAGTGGCCCAGCTAACATGATGATGAGCAAGAGCTAAAAGCTGAAACTAATGCAAACTAAACCTACAAATCACCATGAAGCTTAAAGGTTCTGTCTAACTTTTCTATTGGAGGGTTTGGAGATGTTTCACAATATGTCATTAAACTTCCATTTTTTCCATTATGGGTGTTTAGTTGCTGATAAAAAAAAAATTAAAAGCATGTATTCATGTTGAGTGAGGTGATCCCTCTCTACAGTTCTCCCTGTAAGTTGCCCTGGTGGATGTTCTTGTCTTCATGGAAATACTTGGTAAGTTAAATGACATGCTGTGGAACATTCCAGGCTAACCAATAAAATGTCTTCAAATCACTAAAGTCACTAAAATCACTAAATGTAATGTAGTAAATAAAAACCTCCAGAAAATACCTGGTGAGTGTAATATTAGGAAATGCTTATGTGAAATATAATATACATTTGTTTTTGGAAAAAAACTTTTTTAGAGCTGCTTCAAAGCTGATATTTAATGCAGGTTTTCATAATCTACAGTGTTTTTGGATCAATAAAGAGACTTATTCCAGGCCAGACTGAAACTCCGCAAAAGTAATGGTGTTACTGGAAGTGCACTCAGTGTATTAGAAAGCCACTACTTTGCAAGCTCTTATTGGAGATGCTGGTATTGTCTGAAGATGAAACCCATATTTGTGTTAAGCCTGACTCATTGTTCACAGAAAGAACCTGGCAGGACAAAGTGGAGGACATCAGGAGGCAAATGAGAGAGACCCCAAACCAGCCCACCGCAGTGCTCCTGTCTGCGCTGGACGAGACTGCATGTGAGTGGCTCTTTGAGTTGTACAAGATGATTTAATAAAGAGGACCACTGATGGTCTTGTACAGAGAATGGCTTATGAAAAATATAAAGAAAAGACTAAGATTAAAAGCCATGTCAATGTTCCTTTCAAGTAGGATAAAGTCTGACAGGTAACACTGAATTGTCCCTATTAGGAATCAGTGAAAGTTGCCATCCATTATTTATCATTTTCAGCTGTTTTTGTATCATTGTTGGTACTAGAGCTAACTTTAAGTTTCTTATCTGAAAAATATAAAACATAAATATCTAATGATGTTATTTCATCCCCAAAAATTTGACAATGTTAGCTAATTGGTCGTACAAAGATGCGTATTATTTCACTCATGAAATGCAAAACAGATGTAAAATAAATCTCTATTATTGAATAGTGATGTCATGTGTGATGCTGTCATTTGAATGAATTTCCACATTGACAGGAAGATACCTACGGGAAGTTGGTATTTGTTTTTTCATAATTCAAAGCTGACTATTCAAAACAGGACCTGCAAATCCAAGCTTTACCGTGATTCTGAAAGGAGCATTTTTGTTGTTGCAGTGTGGTGGATAATCAGATGCTTTACAGATAGTTCTGATCATGTGAATGATAAGATGTAGTCATTCAATTGTGATAACATAATCTGTGCCTCTCTCTGTAGGGCTGTTCAATATGCGAGGCAATGACATCCCATACAATCCCTTCTTCTACTCTTACACATTTGTGACCATGAATGAAATCCGGTAAGCTTTTTTTTTCTGGATTGCAGGCAGTCCTTCAACACTACATTTATTTAATCTAATTCATCCAATCCTGAAATATTTTACATTGCTCAGATGAAAGTTATTTCAACGTCTCCCTGAGGTTTTCAAGTTTGTGTTTGTTAAATGTATCCACATTATACAATTTACAAAGACCACTTCCCAAACTCCAAATTGGTATTGGCATCGTATCCATTTGAAGTTTGAGTATTAATTTAGCTTGAGTTAAAATGGATGTCCACAGGCTGTTTTTGCACATTGAGAGGGTGACTGATGACCTGAAGAAGTACCTGGACACATCTTGCGGAGGACCACTCTGTGTGCAGCTGCTGAGCTACGATTCTGTGCTGACCGAGGTCCGCAAATATGTGACCAAGCCCCAGGTCAAAGTGTGGATCGGGACAGAGTACACCAACTACGCACTTTACGAGATTATTACACCTCAGGTACAGGACTCAGGATACACACATGTAAAACGGCCTTTTTTAAGTTATGTGTAATGCAAAATGATCACACTTCTTTTAACTAATGTTATTGTTTTTCTATCTGTCTGTGATGTTTGTGTGCAAAATGAGTTAAATCATGTAGAACCAAACCCAGTTTATGTTTTGGGATCCAGTAGGCTTGTCCTTGACTGCCCTCTTGTGGCCAAAAGTGTGTGCAGCAAGTCTTTCAGTGTAGTAGCTTTTTTATTTTATTCATGCGAATTCATTTTGGTTTCTATTTGATATAATGATGTTTTGTCAAACATCCTTATTTTCATTTTCAGGACAAGCTCCTGGTGTCCACATACTCCCCCGTGTTGACCACAAAAGCTGTAAAGGATGAGACAGAGCAGCGGGGCCTAAGAGAAGCACATGTATGTCCCATAGACGCATACACACACAAACAGTCCCATTAAATCAGTTGACTCTACAAGCTTAATGTGGACAGACGGCAAAGGCTTTTATAGATGTTTCTCATTAGCTCAAACACTTCAGTGAGCTCTTGCATTTAGAGGCAGTCATTACTTTTCTCAAAGACATCTTATGGCCTCTGTGATGTTCCAGTGCGCTGTGCTTGCTGCTGTAGTCTGTCTGACTCACTGTCGTGGGTGTGCGCGTGTGTGTGCAGGTGAGGGATGCAGTAGCTGTGATCCAGCTGCTGATGTGGCTGGAAAAGGCCGTTCCTGAAGGAAAGGAGACAGAACTGACTGCAGCTCAATATGTCAATAATTGTCGCCAGTGAGTAGACACAGTACGGACATGCAGTACATGGGGAACCCTGTATTTAACATTTGCTTGTACGTACATATAGCTTTGTATTTAACACAAGTACATTCATAAGTGGAAAAAATCTTAATTTATTGCTAATTCCACAGAGAACTCAATACTGTGACCAAAATGGCATATACGGTAGTCACAAGATCAGATGATGATTAGATTTTTGTCATACATCTCAGAGTAAAAATGTTATTTTCAGAAAACAAAAGGACAACAAAGGCCCAAGCTTTGAGACCATCTCTGCCAGTGGCCCAAATGCAGCTCTTGCTCATTACAGGTGTGTTATTGTCATCACATCAATGATCCTTTCTGGGTGCAACATTCTGAATATCTGTACCCCTATTGCAGTCCTACAAATGAAACCTGCAGGAACCTGACAGTGAAAGAGATGTACCTGGTGGACTCTGGAGGCCAGTATCTGTGAGTAAAAACACACATTCCATTTTCACTTTTTCAGTTTGACGAGTCATGTTTGTTTCCCTTTTAGAGATGGGACCACTGACATCACACGAACAGTCCACTGGGGAACACCCACAGCCATGCAAAAGGCATGAAACACAATTAACTCTGCTCACATGTCAAATACTACAATAACCCAATGTGTTATGTCTCACTCTACAGGAGGCGTACACGAGAGTGCTCATGGGGATAATTGAACTTTCTACCACCATTTTTCCATCTGGAACTAGAGGTTTGTATGAACACTCTTCACACATTCTCATGTATGGCATTTCACATCATCACCACAAGGTGGCTTTGCATCTCAAATTTAAATGAATGAATAATTTTGTATTACAAGAACATGTATATATATATTTTTTTATTTTAGGTGCAAATATGGAAATGCTGGGCCGCAAAGCATTATGGGAGGTGGGATTGAATTATGGCCATGGAACAGGTCATGGTATTGGGAACTATTTTGGAGTTCATGAGTGTAAGAATTATACTCTTATAATGTTTAACATTTGTCATTTAATTTAAAAAAAACAATCAAATGGTGTTGACGTTATTTCTTTTCTCTAGGGCCCGTTGGCTTTCAGAGCAACAACATTCCCTTCACAGCAGGCATGTTCACATCGATAGAACCTGGCTACTACAAGGACAACGATTTTGGGATTAGGATTGAAGACATTGCTGTGATTGTGCCTGCAAAAACAAAGGTGAGATGACAAACACATCCAAAATTTAATCCTGATGCAATTCTAATTTTAATGTTCTCTGCTTGTTCCTCTTTAAGTTTGGTAACAATTATCTGACATTTGAAATCGTGTCTCTGGTGCCATATGACCGCAAACTGATCGACACTTCACTTCTGAGCCCACAGCAGGTAAGACTCACTGCAGTTAGTTTACCTGAAAGTGAAGTCATTAACCAATCCCTTAAATGGATCTATTAATCTGAGAAATGACACACAGTCAACTCATTATATTTTTAATATACAACACTATTTAGCTATTGAGGAAAAACAAAATAAGTGTGCAAAAGTTGAAATTTTAACCTAAATGTTGCATTTGCATGCTATTTTTTTTTTTTTTAAACATTTGCATTAACGCTAACATTGAGACAAGAAGGAAAGCAGCAAAAAGTCATTAGTGTGCACTAATGGCATATCCCTTTCCATGGGGGCATTGATTTACATGGAGTAATCTAATGCTATGCAAACTCTCCCCAGCTCCAGTGGCTGGACACTCACTACGAAAACATTCGGAAAGTGGTGGGCCCGGAGCTGGACCGTCAGAAGCTGACTGCAGTGAAGGACTGGATGCTGAGGCAGACCGTATCAGTCAGAGGCACTGCATCTTCATTAAACATCTCTTCTTCCTCACTGCCCTTCCTCACTTTGATGTTTGCTCTGATCCAAAACTTCCTGTGAGCGCCCCCTGCCTGTTAAAGCAGATTTGCACTCCAAGCATACATCTATGCAGAGTCTGCTAAAAATGGGCAGCTACTTTCTACTTTTGATGTCTTTTCAACCTAAATAAGGATGTATGCAATAGTTTAGTGGAAGGTTTGATGTTTCTTAGTGATTTAAGACTTTTAGATGTTTTCAAACTGGATTTTTTAAAGACCCACTATTTTATTAAAGTTTTTAAAGACTTTGAAGTGTGGATCTTTTTTTTTTTTTCCTCTCACTCACTCTTTGAAAACTGTAACAGAGGATTGAGCTTTACACTTGTAGAACAACTTTTTTAAAGGGGAAAATTCAATGAGAGATGCACTTCCTCTTTTTCCCTCAGTTATCTCGTTAAAAATAAATTTGCCCGATCCATATAACTACATCAAAAATAAATGAGGGACCCCTTCATTTAGCACAAAATTGTAAACTGTGAAGAAAGACTATTTGAACCTAATCTCTTATTGTCAGTTAACTGTCCTGTCAGCACATCTGAAAGGTGTCAACCGTCCTTGGCACATACACCCCACTCATGTCCAAACTCATATTTATCTGTTTTGCATTGATGGTGCGGTCAAGAGGCCTTTCAGTAAAAGGGAAGTAAAGTCTGAGATCACTGTTTAGTGAACTGCTCTACTTCTACATATTACAGTTTTTTTTTGTCATTATCTACCTTTACAGAATTTAGAAACAAGCACAGCCTGCCCATATGTTTAACTGTGATTAAGTTAAACAAGAAATCTTACTAAATATTCAAAAGCTAAAATTTACAGATACTTCCTGTAATAATCACTGCTTTCCAGGTGGTTAGTTGCTATTAGCAGCAGTCAGTGGGTTTTGAGGTTACTATTCGTGTAAACAAATTCTCAAACTTATAGCTTTTGTCTTTTCAAGTCAAGTTTGATGCCAACCTTTATTCAGTTGACGGGAAACTAAACTGGGGCATCCTTTTATCATGTGGTTAGCTACCTCACCAAAATAACAAGCTGCTTATACTGTACTTCCCTCTTTTGCCTCTGCCGCCAATGTTTTCATCCACTCTGCATGACTACAGCTATGTTAGTCTGTGTCTAACGTTTTTTACTTTGCTTCCTTAATAAATATGATGAATCATTACAGCAACTTTATAACACACTTTAAAAACAACACAGGTTGACCAAAGTGCAACAAACACAATTTAAAACAAACAAATAAAAAACATGTATAAAAACAAACGGATGGGAAAAAAAAATAAAGTCAATCTGCTGAAATGTTAACATCTCAAACTGTGTCAATGGCCAAAGTGAACAAAGAGGCCTGTCTGATGTGCAAACACATCTTTAGCAAAATTATTGATGCAGGGTATGTAATATTATTTTGCACTGGTGTAGGTACAGCATTCAGTTTTTTAGTACACAAGAGGGAAGTACTTGAAAAAAGGTAGGTCAATGTCTAAAGTTACTCCTACAGATGTGACTTTCTGTTCATATTGCATATAGCCCTGCATGTGACAAAACTCCCTTACATGCATCATGCTACCTCAGTGTGCACCACCAAAAACAAGAGTTACTACCTCCCTGGTGTCTCTCAGACCATGTGACTTCCTCTCAGCTTCTGCTCTTCTTTCGGCTGCTTAGTCGCCAGCCGCAGCCCTCTGTTCTCTCTCACACCAAAAAGACAGTTGGGGACCAGACAAGCCTGAGTATCAGTGGAGTTTGTAAAGAAGGTTCTTTTCTGAGGTCCAGAGAACAAGGGACCAAAACGATGCTGCGCAGAAGGCCTTCTAATGCCTCTGAGAAGGAACAGGTGCAAAAGAAAAAGGTGAGTGGTGTTTTTTTATTTATTTATTTTAAGTACATATACCTTCTAGACAATATAATGAAAATTACAGTAATCATTTAAAGTGATTTGTTGTTAAGGTATTTTTCTTGCATCTGAAGGTGAACATGTTGTGCAGCTGTTGTCTTGCAGGTTCAATAAACAGGATGTGGTTAGAATTTATATAGAGTTTAAGTCAGTCATGCTGTATAAAATAACAGTTTGTGTACACATTCATATACTACTGGAGTTACTTGAACACTTGAACATGTTGTCCCCTGTGTTTCCAGTTTCTCTTTGTACATTTCATCTGTACATTTCCAACGCTTTCACCTTTGTTGGAGATCTACAGCTCTTGACAAGGATCTCTGAATACAGGCGCCTGATTGACTCAACTTGAATCATTGTGGCTTTTCGAAGTTGAGTTCTGTGCTGTGTTGTGAGTCACCAGCATTAGCCAGAATAGGTTCCCCTCGCAAGGGTTTCATAATTTTAAGAGTGCAGAGGCAGTGGCAAGAGTTGCAAAGGTGCAACAATTGGTTGACAGCAGTTGCCCAAGCTCTGCCTGTTTCCTGTGGTTTGAGTGAGAACAGTGAGATAGCAGCAGTCCTGTAAAATTTAAGTGGCAACACAGTTGCAAATTGAAGGTTTGTTTGACTCCACTGTTGCTTATAAAGCTGGAAAATTTGACACATTTCTTCTTTTTTTCACACATTTAACTTCCTTGTATAGTGCTTCTCTATACATGCAAAATCACTTAAAAGACATACTGTAGTCATTAACTCATACACATGATTATGGTAAGCATGGCTCCTGCCAGTGACCTTGACCAAGGGCACATTGGCAGTATGCACATCAATTCATGCTTGACCTTTGAGATAACTGAAAACCATATACCTGTTATTCATACCAAACAAGAACACATATAAATGCAGCATTACTGAAGTAAAACTTTACTATCGACTATCTTTTAACTTTTGAAACAAAAATCTACCTCCCTCCCTACCTTATCTCTGCTTTATGATGACAAGTAAATGGAATACATTACTTATGTTATATTTATTAACTACTATATACTGCAGCTGTACATCTGAGTCCCACCTGTGGCAGCATTTATGACCCTCACTGATGCAATCAGAGAAAGAAGGACATGCATTTTCATCTGGTCTGGTTACAGTCACCTTGTGGAGTACCAGTGTTAAATGATGTTGTCATATGTGTCCTTAATAAATGTATTTCTTGTTTCAGCTCACGTTACAAAGGTCAAACAGCTTCAAGGATTTTATGAAGCACAAACCCACGTCCCCTATTGCTCTGGACAAAGAATTCACTTTGGAGGAGTCTGTGAGTTTGATTATCTTCCTGAATAACTTTTGGTTCTGTATTTGAAAGTGCCACTTCCTACTGTTGTTGCATCAGTTTATTTACAAGGCAGGCATAATGTCTGTAGCAGAAAAGATGTGCTCTATGTCCCACCCCTCTGCACATCATGTCATTATGAGTCTATCGACAGAAGTGTGACTTCCTCTACAGGGGTGGAAGTTTTAGCTTCATATGTAAAAAGCTGAGGAAGTCAGGCATGAGGCCAGAGGACAGGACACAGGACTTCCTCTGTGTGAGGCAGTCAAGCACAGAGCCGCTGTTTGCTAATAATTACAAATACAAATACAAATCAATACACAAGACTCAAAATCACCAGCAGGGAGGAGTATTTACTGAAAGAAATACTCTTAATTGTATTCATTTGTATTGCATTTGTTTGTTTCATTTCTTTCTTTAGCTCCATGTATGCTCTCTTCTAATTATTTCTGTTCAATACTCTGGGGCCAGTATTTTAATATCTCAGTATCTTAGTCAAGTCAGTCTAAGTCTGGTGAGTTGGTCAGGCTCAGAGTTATCAATAAATAATGTGTGGATATGATCAAGCACTGATTGCAGTAGGCATGGACTCCTGATAATAAATGCTTCCTTTAGTTGGGTGGTTAAGTTCTTCTTCTACTTAAACATTTTAAGCCATTTACTACTTACATACTACATACTTGAGATAAGAGAACCTCTATTTGTCTCACAATGGGGGCATTTCAATGTTATAACACAGAGTACAAGAATAGATGCAAAATGTCTTTATTCTTGCTTACATATTCAAAAATATGACAATAGATTTAACTTTAACCATTTAACTATATGCTATTAATCACATTTTCATTGAATAGAGCCATGTACTTTCGCATTTGGCTACTATATGATCACATATTTCTCATTAGACTACACTTCCACCTGTGTGCTACAGGTTCACTTGTGCGCACTATCAGATGTGCGCTGTGCACCTGGCACGTGACTTTGTGGTTATGAGAAATGTGTGTGCCACTTTACCACAAGAACCCTGAAACGAAAGAATAAGAAAGTACATTTTCAGTCAGGGCTGTGTTGAAACCATAGATGCTCAATGTTTGTGCGTTTTTTCTGTTCCAGTCGGCAGAAGGAGCGCAGGTCGAAGATGTGGGGAAAAGCAGCATCAAACTCGGCAAAAAGTGGCGCAACGTCATTTCACGCACCATGACCCGCAAAACGTCCAAAATGGTGCAGAAGGCCCTGGCAGAGGAAGGAGTAAGGAATTATTAATGAACATGCTCTTTGTAAAGAACAGACCAAAAGTAAAGACATTCCCACAGTTTATGCAAAACCAAACGAGCTTCGAAAAGAGATACTTTGACGCTTCCTAGAGGACAAACATAGAAACTGCAATTTAAAATATTTCCTGTGCTTTTCGTTACGATTTAGCCTCGACTAAAATGCTGTTTCTTCAGGATACTGTATAGACTCATGGAGGAGGCTAATGTATGTATCAGTTATGAGGATACACATATTGTTTTGTTCAGGCTGACAGCTGTGAGGACCTGTCCCCCGTCTCTCCAGACTTTGTCCCAGATCTGAGTTTGGGACAGAGGACGTCCGTGTGCTCCACAGGATCAGAGGACACTGTACCCAGCCCCACCAGGCAGTTATCTGCCAGTGAGTCTTTATAATAATCACAATTTAGATATTCACATTCCAATACTTGGGCTCTATCTCAATTAAAGGTCCTGTATTACACAAAATTGATTCTTGTGAGCTTTAAGCCATGTCAGAGTGCTGTTACCTCCCAAAAACATACCTTTAGTTGTGTTTTGTTTCCTTAAATATGCAGGCTTTGTGTGAAAACACATGTGAATGAAACAAAACACAACTTCAGGTATGTTTGTGATGAAGAATCAACATTATAACATAGATCAGGTGGGGCCCTTTAGGCTCTACAGACTCTTTGGATATTGCTAAAAATGTCTTAATCCTTCTTGTATTTCTGTCCTCCCATAGACAGTGACAGGCAGAGCTTGGACAGTGGCTACAGTCAGAGAGACAGTATGAGACTGGAGGAGAGCTCCTATAATGGGCCTTTCTGTGGACGCGCTGTAGTGCACACTGACTTCACCCCAAGCCCCTATGACATGGAGTCACTCAAATTACAGGTGAGCTTTGGTCCATTCTTCATCCTGTTAGATTCTGTTTGTGGACTTTGTTTTTATTTGTAATATCTGATCATTGTGTTTTACTTTTGCAGAAAGGAGATATAATCCACATAATAGAGAAGCCTCCAGTGGGGACGTGGACAGGAAAGCTGAACAACAAGGTGGGATCCTTTAAGTTCATCTACGTCAACCTGCTGCCAGATGAGAGCCCCTCCACCAAAAGACGACAGCGCAACTGCAGGAAAACCAAGAGCAAAGCCAAACCCAGGAGTCTGGAAGAAATACTGGACAGCATCGGACTCACTGTGAGAAGCTCATTATTCACTATTACAAAATAAATGCTTTTCTTCTGTTGAAATGATAGGACACATTGAGTTTGAAAGGAAAGGTAAAATGGTATAGATTCTGCATTTACCTTTTCAACATTCCAACATTCTTCTGATAATCAGGCCTAAAGTAAAGCCAATCGAAATTTGTCATGTCATAGAGAATTTGATCCAGTCCAAAGCTGATTACATGGAAGTTGAAAATGCTTTTACTGGTTTCCCTTCCTAATTCAAACAAATGACCAAAACAAAATGATCGGGGTTAGGGATACAATACAGAATAATTTCTACAGGAGATGCAAGAAATTTCCCAAACTTAGAATTCATAAATGTTCAACATTAGTATTATTTGTTCAGGATTAGTTCCACAAACTTTCCATATTAATCTTATGGTTTAAAGTCCTTTCAGATGACAATAATAGAACTACTTTCCTTCTAAAGCTAATGTGAAAAAATAACTTTGACCTGTGTTTATTTGCTTTGTAAATATGATGTGACAGCCCTAAAATGTAATACACACGTGCAAACATTATATTGGCTTCCTTTTTTGTATGTGTGTTAGTCTATTCTTTTGTTATGTCTTGTTTTGTTTTGTGTTTTGTTATATTTTATTATTAATATGCTGGGTGTGCATACCCTCAAAATGATCAAAATGATACACAAAAAAACTTTGTTCATTTGTGTTGACAGAGAAAGCTTTGAAATTGCCCGCTTTGGTTTGTGGATCGGCCGATTTTTTGTACTTTTAATGTGATGTTTCGTTCCCCCATAAACTGAGATGACAGCGTGACTGTTGTGTGCCTGCAGGAGCTGAGTGCTCTGCTGTCCATGCACGGTTTCCAAAGCCTGGAGGACTTCACAGGTCTGAAAGAGTCCCACCTCAATGAGCTCAACATAACTGACCCAGAGCAGCGCAGCAAGATCCTCAACGCCACAGAGCTCTGCAGAGACTGTAAGTGCAACCCCTGGTTACATATTCTGTGTCAGGAGGTTTTATGTGTACATGATGGACAAAATATGAGAATTTGACTATTAAATAAAACATATTGTTCTAAAGAATGATCTGAAACTGATTAATAATAGAAACGGGTCCATTAATCGTAAGTGCTGAGCTGTGCGGAAGATGGAGGGTGCGAGAAATAAATGTTTGCAACACTCAAATGCAGGACAAGATAGGATTACTCAAATATGCAAGAGTAATTTGAAATACAACTTTGAGTGAGATAGGGAATCCAATTGTAATTCAATGTGTGTGATATATACACCATACACTGTGTGTGTGTCTGTAATATGAGTGTATGACTAGTGTAAGTCTGGTCTCCCTTCTTTGTCTCAATAAACACAGTCATTTTTGTTTCCTGTAGCTGATGAAGAATCAGAGGACGATGAAGAAGAATCTGTGAAGGACACGAAGGAGCCCAGAGATTCAGGTTGTTTTGAGAGCTCAGAAAACTTGGACAAACCCAAAACAAACCCAGAAGAAACAACAGAAAACTCCACAGATCAGGAGAAAGATGTGCCAGAACCAGAACCAGAACAGGAAGCCCCCACAGTGCAAGAGGAGACCAGCATAGAGGGACAGATGGAGGAGCTGACATTGAATGAAGACTCAGATCTGAACTGATTAATGAATTTAATAGACTGTGAAAGAAAGGCTCTAACCCATAAAACAAACTGATGCCTAACATTTTTAAGTTAGCGCAAATAAATATGGGACTAGAAAGTACAACGTTAACAGACTCTGTAGCACTGTACTTGTACAACTGGAAAAGAGAGCCACATCTTTACTTGATTATCAGTTAAATATATGTGTTTTTGCCTGTTAGTATTAGAAGAGGATGGATAAATCAGACCAAACCCAAGAACACAATTTTGGGACTATGAGAGGCCTGGTTGTGCTTGAAAAAAAGCATGTATTGTCATGCCAAACCGTACCATTGTACCTTTTTTGTTTATCTTATCGTTCAGAGTTGGTAAAACATGTAGCAAGGACAAATGAAAAACAGATGTCTTGTAGTTTGTAATGTGTCATTTTGGTGTCATAACTTGCAACAGGAGGGAGCTGATGAAACAACTGTAAATACCATGTCTAACAATGGATTCTTGTATTTTGAAACATTACCTTGACATTTTTTAATAAATATTCAGAAATTTGTACGTCAATATCAATAGAAGAAAAGATTTCAGCTTTAGTTCATGTGTTCTGACGTGTGTGGATAGAAATTACAGAGATATTAACCATAAACCTGCACCATTTGCATCTCCATGACAACCAAGCCACCCCTGCTGATAAAAGCAGCAATAGTTGGCGCGATCATTGGCGCCGGTTGGTTTGTAAACATTTGTTCATGTAGAAGGTGCTCTCTCCATCTGTGCTTTACACTCTAATAATAGACTGTGCTGAAAGTGACACAATATGAAAAACACAAAGGAGTTCTTCACAAGTGTTGCAGATTGTTGGATTCCACTTATGGGCTGCAGACTGTCCTCATGTTACAAAACCTTCTATTTCAGCCCCACGGTTCAAAGGATTTGGCATTCATTTACAGACACACTGATAATGTAAAAGAAGTGAATTTAATAGGATGAAGTACACAGAATCACAGTGTTGAGACTAAAGGTGGAGAGTTCAATCAACAAGTTATTATTTCAGAGTATTCGGGTTTGTTTACAACATGGTGGCACCCACACGACTGTTTACCAATCCCTTTAAATGTGCTCCAAAATATCCCTTTAACAGTGTTACATTCTTGTTTAGGTACTGACTGGTTTGGGTACCGACTTCAGTGAACAGTTTTATTCAAATGTGTTACATTTCTTGACATCACACAAACGTGAAAAATTTACAGGATATTAGAAAAGAAACTGGTTTAAAGTCTATCAGCTAAAACTGAATACAAAAAGTAAACTTGATCGATGAATGTAGAGTGACATTTTGGCTAAAATGACCAATGACAAGCATCTACACACAAAAGAAAACACAATTAAAATAAATACATTATACATTATTAATATTATTGGGAGCCATTTGCCTTTAACCAGTAGTCAGTGTCCATTCAGATACATAGCCCCGGTCATCACTCAACAATCATTAACTGTATAAATACTTATTTACATAGCATAGCTAAATACTTAGTAATTCCTCATTTTCTTTCTGGTTAGTTGGAAATTCAAATTCTTTTCAATTCTGAAGAAGTGTCAAATTGTGAAATATTTGCTGTGGTTTTGAAACTGATGCAATACTATTGACACACTGGGTTTCTACTTGATATAATACTTCACAAACACTGTCTTGCATACAAAACACAGGCACTAATACAAACTCTCTCTACCAGCTAATATCTTTATAGTCTAAGTGGCTTCTCTTGTCCCTTGTTTATCTCTGTGTGAATTCACAGCTGCTCTGCTGCGAGCTAAAGGATATCTTCCATAACTGTAGAAGGGGCTGAATGAGATGTGAAAGACATGGATGAAGAGACAGAGGTCTGTCAGGAAGATCTGCAGATGGAAGTGCACGTCAAAACTAACATCGGCTGTAAATATATCAAAACATGCGCCTATCTGTTTCACCACTCATTGGCCGAAGACTACAACTTTATAAACTATGTACAGTTTAACAATGGCTATGTTTTTGCTTTGTTTAGTCTAGATCAGTGGTTCTCAGCAGCAGTAACAGGCCACAAAGAATGCATTTTGGCATCACTGGGTTGATTTGAACATTACGATACTCAAATACTCCCAGAGAAACACAGATGTTTAACTGACTCTAACAAGATGATATCTGCCAGTTCTATTTTATAATACACCAGAGGATCCACTGGACTAAACTGTATAATGTTGCCGTTTACTCTGACTGAGCACTGGTATTGAAGGTATGAACAGGTGGTGGATCTTAGTTGCATTGGACAGTGCAACTGCAACAATAAGGCACTGTTTTAAGTGTCTGCCGTCATTTATGAAAAGTCTTCAATAACACTCCAATGGTCACCTGATTTTATATTTTTCATCAAACTGAAGTATCAAAATGGAAGGACTGTTTTGATCAGTTCGTGACAGCATTGACTGCAGCAATAACTTAAAAAGCCCCCTGCTGGACATCATTATGAATTTACCTCACTCAGCTTCCTTGTGATTTGCATAGCATGTAATATGTGCACAAAAAAACAACAACTTTGCCAATGGCTCGATTATACTTTCACAATACACATTACTATGCAATTTTAAATAATGGACAACAGTCACATGAGCTGCTCCAAAGGAGGACCTGTTTTTGTTGTATCCAGCACAGTCTTATCCATGCAGTGTTAGGAAACAGGATACAGCTCACATCCCATCATGTCCTCCATCTTTCCATAAGAGTTCATATTTGATTAAGAGGTCTCTGTAGGAACCGCTGCATTAACTCTTGTGTTACCAGGTGATTGAATGATGCGCACACCAATTGTTCAACTGTTTATTTCCTGAGTGCGCAAAATGCTGGAGGAGGTGGGGCAAGGACACAGACTCCGCCCCCTGATAAAGTTAGTGGGGCTTGTCCTTGGCGATGGATGTCTCGGCGTCAGTCTCCGGGGAGGCCAGTGGGGGCAGTTTGGCGGTGGGCGGCTGCTCCTCTTTAGGAGAGTGGCTCTTCTCTCCTGCTGAGCCAGCACTGGCCTTGGCTTCGTCAGGAGTGTGCTCATTTGGGATGAGTGGAGCTGTGGTTTTCTGTGGGCAGAGGACAGGATGCTAAGACATGGTGCTAAGAGATGCCAAGAGGAGCAAAACTGCATACCTAGGCAAAAACATGATCAGGTTGAAAGGCATGTCAATTCTATATGTAATATTAAAATTAGAGTTTGCACTGAGCTTTGGACTATAAACATTAAAACTGACAACAATGGAATACTGAATTCTGTATTCAAAACAATGTGTAAATTTAGAAATAATAAAAGGCATGGCTTCTAACAGCTGTCTTTTGCTGTTGCTGTTTTCAAGATTAAAAAAAAAAAAAAAATGTCTAAAATTACTTGCATTAATGGCCTAAAATGTATTTCCGTTCTTCTTGCACTGTTAAATATTTCAAAAGCCAGAGATCTACTAAACTTTGTCCCATAATAATCCCATTAAAAAGAGTAGATGTGGCTCACCGTAGTTTGTGGTGCAGTATCGTTGTTAGCAGAGGGAAGAGCAGCCAAATCATCCTGCATCAGACCTCTTCTGTCCAACACACTGAAGTAAAACAAGATATTAAAAGAAATGATCAATATGTGATGGTAAAAGCTACACTGTGTGGTTGTAGCATGCGCATAATTACCTAGGATAGGTGGGCCCACAGAGCACCTCACAGCAGTTTTTGATGATGTTCTTGTGACTGTATGGATTCTGGACCCGGTTCTTCCCTGACCACGACCCTTTGATCTGTGGAAAAAATGTGAATAACCTATTTACCAAAACATCTGTTATTTCACATTCAGTGTCCTTCAACCAAACAAAAAGACTCATAACTCTTTCAAATGCTTGTTTCCATATCCCACAGGCTTGGTTATGGTCGTCTACAAGCATCCAAACTGATCATTTGGAGTTTTGCATCACAATGTGTACATCAATTACAATACGCAAGGCCAATGCATCTCTACCAAACATCAGTGTTAAAGACAAAAGAGGCAGCACAGTAGCTGACACTTTGCAAATGTACTGGTGGTGAACCATAAACAGTTTTATTGTACAATTTAACAACAGGATCTTTAATTAGAGCCTGCACCAGACATGAATCCAACTTTATTTGTTTATTCTATAACAGAAACTCACAGAATCAGTCTTTAAAGATAGACTACATGATGTACGTAATGAATACAGCCGTTATTTAGCCACAACCCAAGAAACCACATGCTACCTTCAACCTTTGAACAATTTATCTTTTTCCCCTAATTTTAGCATCTCAACATTGAGAGGGGCAGATATTAAAACATGTAAATGTACATATATTACATATACATATACATGTATTTATATTTAAAATGTATATTGTGTATATTGTTTATGGTAAAAAAAACACATTAAAAGATTGTTTGGGCACATTTCTATTGGACTGACAAAATATCTTCTGATTATCATACTCGCAATAAAAGATATAGATATAGATTTGTATCAATATTGCTCACTGTTACTTGTAGACATAAATAAATAGTCAACCTGACTTTGTCACACAGCACAGACTTGTGGTTTTACGATAAACAACCTAAAACCACAATGAGATCATACAGAATGATCACAGCACACAGACTACCATCACTAGTATGACTATTACTATTATTAAGAGGTGTTTCTATGCTCAGTTCAGCCGTACAGAGTCACCTCAGAGTGCACTGAGTGACCCAGTGGCACTGGAGTGGAGAACTCACTGCAGAAAGACTTTGGTTTGTGAAATGTAGGTCAAAGCAGCTCTAGGTGCTGTAGCCTGTGTGTGAGCGGAGTACAGAGCATGTGCCATATGGAGCCCAGCAACAGCCCTCCAGGAGCCTCTTTTTAGACAGCATTTTCTGCTGCAGTTTTCCACTTCACTGTGTGTATGCTAAGCCCCTCTCCTGCCTCTCCCTCCTTGCAGTGTTTTGGCGGTGTGCCCAGCCCTGCAGATATCGACGCATCTATTATTAGTCCAATCACTAATATTGAAGCAGAGGGTCTGACAGCCATTGTGTCAACTCCTGCACCAGCGTCACACTGTGTATGCTCATCACTGAGCTTCATTACTGATTAAATGTACAAAAATGAGGCCAACATCCCACAGGACACAACCAGAGGGATTATGAATTAATCATTACAAAGTATGAGTGCATGCAGTAGCTTTCAGGCATATAGGACCAGAGCCTCCACTGCTGTTGCTTAGTGTGAGAGCCCCTGCTGTCAGACGAAAGCTCACAAATACCTCAATAAAGTACACAGGCTTTTGAAGTACTATACACAGGCTCAGAGACTTGGCATACACTGTCTATTCATCCACCTGCACAGCCTGCCTCCCATCAGGCCTCTGTCCTCAGAGCAGTGACTAAACAGTGACTCGATTCTAATGTGCTCAACAAATCAATACTTTCCCCTCATTTAGCCTCAGACGGGAAGCTCACTCCTCACACGCTCAGTGGGTTTAGACAGGAATTATTTTAGGAATAAAAGAAGCCATTTAAGCACTTTTTATAATGCAGTCTATTTCAGAGCATAAAATTGCTGCTATTAGCATTTCAAGAGAAGCTTTTCTGTTTGACAAATTATGACATAATGTACAATGTTTGGCTACATTTCTCTTGTAATTTGATTAGTTTAAGAGGACAAAAAGGCAGCTTGGGTTCAATATACTGCTCTTTGTCTGAGCAAATGTCTCATTTCTCCCCTCTGCCTCTCTCTTTAAGATAACCACAGCAAACTATCTGCTTTCTATCTGTACTTAAGTTTGTTGTGATCCTAAAATTGCTGCTTGTAACTAGAGTTCAAAATACACTGATTTTGAAATCAGCATAAACCCTCCTTTTGGTGGTTCTTATCAAAAACATGAACAGTTTTAGTTTCTTTACTCGATGTCATTGGATGGTAGTGTTGTCTTTAGTACTTAAGAAAATCACATAAATTGGAGCAAATTGTGCCTTTCGTGAATAGTTTTACAGTGGTCTTGATCTTTATCAGAGGTAGTACAAAACGGTAACATAACAATAAAACCACTATTTTCTGTCATATATTACATTATATTGTCTAAAAAATTAGCATTTTTACCATTGTGGTGTCAAAACTGGTATCAAGTACTAAGCGTTTTCCTCACTATCAAAACTGAGCTTGAAAATGTTGTAATGCTGTGACCACAGACCGTATAAAGAAGTGGACTAAGGAAGTGTGATATCACCCATGTGAAGCTCACGATGCGAACAGTTATAGGAGTGAATTTGGACCAGAGTTCCATATTTCATATTAGGAATAGTAATTTATTTACATACAATATAGAGAAATAAAAACACAAGGATCATGTAGAGCAGGTTAATACAAATATTTTAAGACCAAAATGACAAGGCTCACTGCAGCAGTTCCAGAGAGAGGGGTGACAATTTTTCACTATAAAGTCAATTGGAAAGTCAATGGAGCTGGAAACGCTCCCACGGTCACTTACTATTTGGAACATGGTGGCTTGCGGGTTGGCCATGTCCAATCATATATACAGTCTGTGATTGTGACAAAATAGGTGGGGCTCATCTTTTCAGAGCTCTTGTATATAGCGATATATTTTTATTAGTATATTTCTATATTTCATTTTTACTTGTGCATTTCTATAATTATGCCTTATTTGACACCAGTCTCTTGCTATTTCTGCTACTTATTTTCATTCATATTTTTTTTCTCTTTGTTATTATAATATGTTATGATCTGTGTCCAAATAATTTCCCTTGTGGTCCAATTAAGTTTGTCTAAGTCTAATTGTTGAAGTTTGCAGCTAAAGTCATGAGTGCATTTACTGGTACATTGAGCAGTTCATTGTTGTAGTGTTAAACCTAACCAAACAAGATGCAAAGTGGCAGAGATCAGATGTGACTATGCAACTGTTGTGAGCTGAAAAGCACTTACGTCTTCGTTGGTTGTTTGGTTCAGAGAGATTAGGTAAGTGTGGAAGCCTGTCAGTCCCACTACTGACCACAAAGTGAAGAAACACACCAACAACTCGATGACAGTGAGGAGCAGTTAAAGAAACAACAGCAGATGTTTAGCAGTTATCAATGCTATAACGTGACAACACAGAGATTAAACATTGACCAACAGAGAAAGGGAAAAAAGACAAAGAGGAGGGGCAAAGGACAGGGAAAATTATGAAGGAACAGAACATAAGTTATTCAGTGTCCACGAGTGAGGGCTTTAAGGGTCACACTACATCAAAATTATAACTGAACTCAGAAGTAAATCTGGACTAGACCAGAACTAAACTAGGACTAGTGGAGGACCAAACCAAGTCTGCACCAGGATTACACTGGGACCAACGTGAACGCACCCATAGTGTGCAATAAAACTAATATAAAAGGATATGTGCCAGGTGTTTCCTTCAGTGTGTTCAGAAAGCCACTGACCACAGAGCCTGAAAAATAAACAAGTAAAATTCAATATCAAAACATGACATTCATATTTATTTGCAAAATACATCAAATAGTAGTTTTACAACAGATTTACATATTCTTTTACCCCATACTTCTACTCATAACTTGTTTATATGGGAATGTATAGTGTGTATGTGCTTTGATGTTTCTCTAATTTTGACTTCATTTTTAATTTAACTTAATAAATTATAGTTTTACACCGATCAAGAAGCTATTTTTGAAGAAAAGTAAAAAAAAATATGTTGAAAATGACAGGAAGTAGCATGCTCTAAAACAGGGGTGCTCACACTTTTTCAGCATGCGAGCTACTTACAAAATGACCAAGTCAAAATGATCCGCTCTATGCTGTAGACCTGCTTTGTGCCAACACTGCAACACAAATTTAGACTCGTTTTTGCTTCACGTTTCGTCTTGCTCTTCTAATCAGCGCACACTGTGGAAGGGGCTTGTTTTCGCTGTACGCAGGAAGGAGCGAGAGCGTGAAAAGGCGAGGGGCGGCGTGCTGACGTGAGCCAGATGGACAGGTAGGATGTTTAGGAAGTTGAACCTGCCCTGTGATGCACGCTGGTACACGAGGGCACACGCTGTTGCAGACAAAGCCGTGCATAGGGAGCGTGTGTGTTTGTGATGTGCCGTAGAGTCTCCGCGGGTTTCAAATGAGCACACAGGCTGCACTGAGACGCCCCACACGCTCCTGCACCCCGGTACAAGTTTATTGCCAACAGCAGTGGCTGTAATGAAATATAATCGCACTTGTTGAGTGTCAGACCTTGAGTGAGAGACAAGACTGAGTCCAAACGCGAGTCCGAGACGAGACATGGCGATCTACTCACACGACCTTGGCGATCGACTGTTAGATCGCGATCGATATATTGAGCACCCCTGCTCTAAAACATCACACTGGGGGAAAATCCTATCAAAAAGTTAGACACAATTTACACAAAAAATATTTTTTCTGATACTTTAAAGACAGTTTTAAAAAATATTTGTATTTGTCAGTTAATAATTTCCATGCACATTATAGAGGGGTTATGCTGGGTAAGAGTTATGGTAATGTGATGTCACAATTTCCAGGAAGGAAGTAAAATTTCAAACCTAAAAAATGTCCAAATTGGGAAAATGAGTGAACTTTTTGCAGAAGTCTTAAATATGTTAATTTTAACTATGTTCTAGAAAAAAGAGAAGTCAAACCTGTCATAGCCCTATAGCAACATTTTCAAATCTGAACTTGCTCTGTGCTGGAGACAGTATTACTTACGCATAGCCACGTGGACAATATCGAAAGTGAAGATGTAGATGGTGAGCAGGGACAAGGAGAGTGTGAACAGGTAGAAATATCTGTAGTTCCTCTTGCCCACACAATTGCCCACCCAGGGACAGTGGTGATCAAAGCGGTCTGGTCACAAGAGACAGAACATCTGGATCAATTATACATCAGTGTTAAAAATAAAACTAAACTGCCCTGTGTGTCACTGTTGTCCAAATATAAACCTTTATGTCATTACTTCTCTGCTCTCATTTGGAAGGGACACTGATAACATCTAGACACATTCAATAAAGCCATGATTGATGATTTCTCGGCATCACACAGCTCTGCAACATAATTATATTTGTACTGTGATACGTAGACCAAAGTTGTTTTATGTAGTTGCTTGTACTGAGCTACAGTGTAAATACACTGAATCATTCACAACAGAAACACATATTAGAACATGCTGATTATATTGTATTGTTACGTATAATATTACCTTATATTGAGAAAAACAATTCAGAGGGTTTGTACTAACTTTGTCTTGAATGAAGTGAAAATTACATTCTATTAAGTTAAAATCATTATATTTCAAACAGACAACAGCTAGTTAAAAACATTTGGCTGTACTTTCATTCCCAACCTATATTATCTTATATAATCATAGTATAATCTTATATTAAAAAGTGATTGGGGAATTCTGTGACACCAGATTAAAGTGAACCTGTCGACAGCATTTGAACAAAGAAATGGCAGTCTTCAGGATGACTGAGCATTTCTCTCTGAGCTGCCTCTGTGCACTCCCATATCACCTGTCAGTCTATAAGCTTCAAACACTTTCTTTAATCACAAGCCAAATGGAGTTAGACAAAGACATTTTTAGTTTTAAAAGAATCTCTTAAAATAAAGTTAAGACATAAATAACAGCTATTTTCACCTATTTTTTCTATTTTTGGACCAAACACCTGCCTGTCTCTAAGCTTCAAATGCTTTCTATTATCAGGAGCAAAATGGAGCGTTCACACTTTACAACGACTTACTATACTTTCATTAGATTTGAACAGACTGAACTCACAATGAACAAATCGTTGTCAAGAATGATTCTGGCTTAGTAATTACTTTATTAATACTCTAACCCCTAATCTTTCTGGAGTTGGCATGTCCCTGCCTGGTTCCAAGAAAACTGGAGTTGAAAACCATCCTTCAGAACATTCTCCATGGAGATAGATATGTTTTATTAGCCAGGCTGGTGCCACCTAAGGCCTCCGCTCAATTTCCTTTTGCTCCAGCGACTAGGTCAGGAATCAGAATACACTAGATGGTTCACAAAAAACCCTGGAAGTAAGAGTTCGGGCACCAGCAAATCAAGCGAAGAGGCATACATTCTGTGTTGGCAACAATTCCCGAGACTGAGGATTAAAAGCTGGAACAAAGAGAATGTTTGAGGAATTTTATCAAGGGGAAAGACGTTATTGCCCTTCTTCCTACAGGATTTGGGAAAAACTTAATATACCAGTTAGCCCTGTTAACATAAGTCACAACCAAATAGCAGCGACTGGTTAAATTTAAAAAAAAAGTACCCGCCTACCATCAAGCGAAAAAATTCTGAGAGGTCAGGCGATTTCCACAAAGTGAAACCGGCTGATGAATCAGGCTAAGGTTTTATGCCATAATGTAGAAAATTATAGCTAAAACATTTCCATGTAAACAAGCAGGAGGAGGCGCTCTTCCAGGCCAAATAAGAGACAGGGTCGATGAGCTGGAAACCTACTCGGACTAAGTAAGGACACCTGTTTTTCTAAGTTTTCAGTGCAATAAAAACAACCAATATGAAAAAACACAATATATTTTTTTGATTAAATTACATATTGCGACTTTAAGTAGTTACTAAGCCTGAGTCATTCTTAATAAACAATTTGTTCATTATTTCAAGGGCATTTCAAGGCCCTCACTTTTCCTGCACAAGCTTTAAAAACAAGCTATTTTCTCCAGATTTTTCTCTTTATAAACAAAACTCTTGAGCCTTATTGTTTCCTCACCGACGCAGTTGTCACAGATGCTGCAGTGTGAGGCCCGCGGGGGTCTGAAGATCTTGCAGGTGTAGCAATACTTGAGTTTGACAATCTGGTTGTTGATTTGCACGTTGCGGATCCTCGGTGGGGCGCGTTGACCGGGTGGCACGTTTCCGTTGGCAGCCTCTGAATAAAACACACAAGGCACTTTTATTGTTAATACATAAAGTTCATTGTCTGAATGACTAGACTTTGGATTAGGGGAGTTACTGGGATCTTCCTCCTGCATATTTTGTGAAGAATGAGCAAGTGTTGACAATGGCTACAGAAAATGAGGTACAAATCTGAACAGGTGGACCTTGAAAACTCAATACAATATTTATGTTGGGGTCTGAGCAGAAATGGGCTACTGAAATGAATTTATGAGTGTTCATTCCTATTATACTAAACCCCACAGCGATATACACACTGCTTCTTTCTACATACATTTACCTCTTTGCCATTATGTTACTCAGCAGGGGTCTGGAGCACAGTGAGGCAAGCTAATGAAGAGCAGGCTGCAAATGTACTGTAACATACTATAGAGGGTAATCGAGGGGTTAATGGAACATAACAGTAATGTGTCTTTTTCTAGAATGGTTTCTGAGAATACAGCTCCGGAAATCCATGATACATTGAGACCTGTTTAGAGGAAACAAAATGGAGTGATTTAAAACATTAAGAACACACAATAAAACATTACATGGCAATATAAAACTGGCATGAATGTGGTATCCCACGACTCCATCCCATTGTCAATGTACATGCGAATGTGTTCTTAGATACTTATTTTATTGAAGTTACTTCAAGATTCTTGAGGGGCAAGTGTTTCACAGACAGTCATAACAAACAATAGACAGCCTCTATAAAAGTTATGGTAATATATAGTATAGTAATGTAAAGTTTATTTCAGCAAAAGATTTGAATTAATAATCTGCTGTAGTGTATAAACTTAGAACAATAGTATTTGGAAACGTTCAGTTTATCTGCGCAGTGGCTTGTGGGATACCTCAGAGCTCCTTACCACTGGTTAGAAACATGGATCTATTCAAATAAGGAACCTCCCGAGCTTACTCTGCTAAAGGAGCTCATGGTTATGGTTATCGTACAGTTAACAGCGTTAACGCAAAGATGAGTCTGACTTGATTTGTTTTATTTTTGAATGAAAAGAAGGCAATATGTATAATGTATTCCTTTATTTTAGTAAAATTATTATTTTTGTATACAGGTGCAGAAGCACTTTGTTGCTACATGAATTGTAGGAATAAACTAAGACCTAAAAATAAAAAAGACCTTGTGGAATTTGGCATATTTGTTTTTGCAGTAGTGGTGGTGGTTGTGGTGGTGGGGTATTTTTCCTGTACAGATATGGAGATATATACAGTATATATCGAGATATTGCAAAATATATAGAGATATATTTTTTGCTTCATAATGCCCAGCCCATTGTATTGCTATTAAATGATGGTTTAAATTAAGATGTATCAAAGTATTTAGTCAAATCTAAAAGTGAACTGTATCCCATGCCAGAAACTGCTGCTGAATTTGTGTCTGGAGGATTAGACAGTGCAGAATGAATGAGTCATCTTGGGGGATAATGGCTCTCTCATGGGCTGGGGGAGCAAAGTCTGCTGTGGTATTACATATTCCAGGAGGAAGCTTGTACTCACATTAACACCCCCCCATGGGACCAGTGTCTAACAGGCTACAGCCTTACAGCAGCATCCACAGTCCCTCTGCAGTCACTGTACACATGGTACCTGCCTCAGCCCTCTATTAGCTCGCCCACATCTGACTGTAGCAATAACAAAGACACTCCAGGCCTACACTTTTTAACAGCTCAGAATGAAAAGCTGGGGATGGTGAATGGTGAGATTTTTGTCATTTTTTGTTACTCCACAGAAGGCTACAAGTGACCCAGTTTAGGGCGGTGAATGATGAATGTCTGGCTATTTCAGGTTTACAGTTGTCAGGGGGAATGTAAAATATGAAACTAAAAAGGGAAGCCATGACCACTTCTGTTCAGGGAATGAGGGCCTCAGTCTAATGAACATAAAAGGTCAAGAAAAAGACAGACATAAAAACGTACTGAAAAATAGTGCTGACTAGTGAACTTGTTAAAATTCTCTTAAAATGCATTCAAACTTATAATGCAATATGAATACACAACAGATAAAGCCCACCTAAATCAACAGGGTTGTATGAATGGTATCCAGTGTAAAATACCAACATTACCAAACACATTTTTTCTTTTTTCTTTATTTTGTATATTTGAGTGTGGTCTTTTAATATCTATGGACTATGGGAGTGTCCCAAATATAGATTTAATCACAATACAACAAGGATGTAGGCCTTTTGTCTACCATTAGTCATTGTAGCTACATTATTTAATTTAGATAAGGATTTATACAGACAACAAGAGAAAGAAAAAGTGCAAATATACAATTTAGCATACTTTTCTTGTCTGGTCAGTGCATTTTGGGTCAAATATTTTGTTGGATCAGAGAGATTTTTGAGAGTTGAGAGCTTTTGCCAATTCCATGCCCCATTTAGTTCAGTAATTGGCAAGCCTTTAGCTGACCAACAAATAAAGGGTCTTGTTTTTATAACAACAAAAATATAAAATACACAAACTCATAAATCGTCTTTCAATTCATAGCAGCCAGGTATATGTTTGAGTCACTATTCTTTGCAGTAAAGCCTCAGTCTCGGTCATACGTGAGTCAGAGCTGTGATGAGAGAAGTGACTCTCAAAGGACTTCACACCCTTTTGAGATCTGCTCACCTCTGACACACACATGCACAGTGACTATAACCAGTTATATCTGATACCACAAAAGAGAGCTGGGAAGGAGGGCATAAAATACACATGAAAATAATTCTGTTTGTTTGTTTGTTTGTTTCTAGCAAATAACCATCTTTATTTCAGATTCTGACGGGTGTAGATTGTTTTATAATCCCACCTGCTCAGTACAAAATGGCAGCTTTAACTTCATATATTGTACACAAAAAGCAAAAGAAGAAATGCATTGAGGAATAGCATGTTTGCACAACTGACCCACTGAGTTCTATTGACTTCACCATTGAATAGCTGTAGATAACAGGGTGTTGCCAGGGCATTGTTATCAGCACAGACTAAACACATTTGGAGGTGAAACAGAGGCGCAATGGTAAAATCTATTCTCATAAATTATTATATAAATTGGTGGAGACATTTCAGTTCCAGTGTTTAATAACTAACTAAAGAGAAGTGTAGATATCTGGAAAGTATTTTCAATGACATTATAGTGTTTATTCCTATTGTGGAAATGCAATAATCTTGTGTCTTACCAATCTCCATCTCAATGAAGGTGGCTTCATCTGGGAGAGCCCGAGGCAGCACCCCAGGGTCACTGAAGCTGGTCCTCAGCAGCATGGCCATGACAAAGAGGAAGAGGACAGCAGCGAAAACAGGGATGGCAGGAGACAAGTGGACAGCTAGGTATGGACACCTGCAAGAAACACAAATACAAACATTTCATTAGTTACTTCAGGCAAGGCAAGCACAGTTTGTACACAAAGTAATTCAAAGTGCTTTACAGAATAAGAAATATGACATTAAAATCATAATACAAACAAATCAAAAACATAAATAATTATAAAATTAACATTAGGCAAAAACTAGTCAGCTGCACAAGTATGAAGAGCAAAAATAATTTCCGTTTACAGTTTACAGTGCACATTTTAAACACACCAAAAGCAATAGCATTTGAGAAAAGATACAATTTTAACTAAACTAATACATTTCATAAGTTCATAAGAGTTCATGTCATTCTCTAAACTAAAGAGTTAGCAGATGTTGTTGTTTGCCAAGGGCATTCCAAATAATTACAGTGATTTAATAACTGTATCCATTGAATTTGATCAGCGTTTATAACTAGAGAAATAAAAAATATAAAAAGGTCTTGTATTAAGTGCAAGGTTGTGAACTTTATTGATGGTTAAGCACAACTGAATAAGAAGCGGATTTCCACAGTCTCCTCACCTTCTTGGCGAAAGGGGAGACATTTTCTAAACCTAGGGGTCGAGTCTAAAATCACTAGGGCACAAGGGATAAACAGAGCGATAAACACTGCACAGTACAGAACAGCAGCCCTGGCTTCTGCATCCCTTAATAAATAGTTAAAACCTGACTCTGTATGATCTGCTCATATTCATAATGCATCACTAATGTCCACTGCAGACTTCATACAAATTAAACGCCAACTAAAACTTGAGATTGTATTGAGTTCTCACTTGGATGCCTATATAAATATTCACAGTACATCCATCATAATTCAAGCAATGCCTTACAGTACATAAGATATGTGCGTGGAGGCTAATTATTTTCCATTAACATCGAGAAGACATGCTTTCAAGGTTTTCCCAGAGTTAAACACTAATGTATCTGCATTCATCAGCTTGGCAGAGAAGGTTTGAGTGGCACATCCTACACAGAAAAAGCAGTGACACAAACTCATTTGTCATAGTGACACTAAAGCAGAGGTGCTATTTTCAGTATGTTCCACAATGAACCTGCTAGAGCTGATACAGTTTTCTGGGATGTATGTCATGAGCCCCATAAGCCAAGGAGTTTTAACAGTATCACATAACAACAGATGCTATAGTATTACAACACAGAGAAGTGCCTTAACAGTTTAGAATAAAGTAATATTCACATTATGACTATTATTAGTATAGCTTCTATTATTATGATTTGTGAAAATTATTTTATTTGCTTGTAGCAGACCTACATATATCCAAATATGACTGTACAGTGATATTAACCTTTTGTAGTAAAATGCTGTAGGAAGGCAAAATGCTATGACAACCTTTTGTGCAGTCATAATTCATTAAGGCTGAACACAGTAAAGACTAGGTTATTGTTCCAACTGAATTTCTGTAATAGAGCAAAGGATCATGGTCTATATTGTCTCCTATTACAAACCACACATCTAATGTACTGGCTCATACAGTACTATTCCATATACACTGTTTTTATACACATGACACAGTACAAACCACTCCTGTCTGCCTTCCCCTCCACGTGCTCCAGTCTGACAGCATACCTGTGGCCACACACACACACACACCTGCTGGAAACACACACACCTGCTCAACCCGTCTGAGCTGTTTCCTGCACTTCCTACTGCACTCTAATGGAAACAACAACCTGCAGAGTTCAGATCGATGTCAGTTTCCAGCCAACAGGCCTGTGAGTTATGTGTGCACTATTTGTGGTGCAGAGATGTCGACCAGAGAAGGAGGAAGGCAGCCTGTCGATGCAGTCTAATCCCCATAATGATGACTGCTTGGTATTTGAAGGCACACTCTATCATTTCTTCCCATCAGCCCCTTGCGTCCTTCCTGTGTGCGACCATTTCCTGAAGTGCAGAGGAACAGGGAGGTGCTGTGTGTGTGGTCATCATCACAAACTCCACTCAGTCAACTCCAGACCAAGTCCATCAGGTCAAGCAACAACAGAGCACCTTGTCCTCATTCAGTCATCTGCCTACTTCTATGATAGTTCAATTATCAAATTAAATCTAGTGTCAATAATGAAAATGTGTATTATGCTCCATAAGTGTGTTGGGACAAGCCTTTGGAAATGTAGTTACGTTTTTAGGCTGTTAGTGTTCACACAGAATGAACTGTCTTATTATGATGTCAATAGGAACCACAAGCAGTATAACGAATGCCTTAACTATTTGTTTTGAACTATTTAAAGTATGTGCACAGCAGTGGAGATTACACTTCTGAAAAAATGATCAAATGAATCAAATAGCTGAATGGTCAGCTGTTGCTTTCTGTTCCTTATAGCCACAAAAAGCTGGGTAAGAAAGTCTTTGTCCACTCAGCTCCTTTTGCCAGGAACATGTTGCAGAAAGACTGGAAATTGACCGAGCGCTTGTCCTTAAATCCTTTTAAATCGAAGGTGAAATCATCAGAGATCCCCTCAATAATGTGCATTTGTTTTCCTAACCTGTGATCCATGTAATTTTATTGTTTGTATGTATGTTGTAATTTGTAATTGCTTTATTCCCTGTTTAAATAAAGGTTAAATAAAATGTAATAAAAATAAAAAGATCACTGACTAATCCACACAGTATAAAAACAGCTTGAGCAGCTAAAGGCAAAACAGATAACATAACTGTAGGAATTGCATAAGAATGACAAATCCTTTACTCCCCTAAAAGCGTGAACAGACTTCATTTGAAAAAAAAAAAAGCACAACACTGCATTGAATTACATTAATGGCTTCCTAATGAGGTCATGGGGCTATCCGGGATTACAAGGGAATGTCATTATGACTCAGGACTTTTTCTTCAAGCTTTTTATCTTGTGATTTTATTAATACTTAAACAAATGTGAGCTGTTGTCAACCTGCACGAATCATGCCATCAATGAATTATGTACGGAAACATTTGCACTCACTGGCCTTTTTCCACCAGGTTTATGAGTACTGTAGAAAATAGAGAATTCACTTTCTTTTCAATACATTTCTGTAAAGAATACATATTGTTTTCTATGTAGTATTTTATATGATCATTATATTGTCTCTTTGATGATCTTATAACTAGAAAAACAAGCATGACGGTCTTTACACATGTGCATTCTGTTTAAAGCTAAAACATATCGTCCAGACTAAGTCACTCTTCATTATGCAACCTTTAAATACCACACAAGAGACAAAATGTCAGCAAATGTCTGTATTCTGTAACTAGGATTAAAGCTGGGATTACTGATTACATCACTCGTCACTATGTCCACATGTAGGGGGAGTCAGAATTATGAATAAACTAAATAAAACAACAAAATGGCTCTGATAGAAAAATATTAGCATTAAACAAATAATACAAATATGGACAAACTATAGAGACTGAGCTGGCCTAGTGCCTTCCACAGAACAAAGCACTGCACAAAGCTCACTGTAAATGGAGCATCTAGTCTCAGTGGGCATAAATCATGTTACCGCTTGTTTAGCTGGGACCAGGAGCTGCCCCCCATTGGCTGGTGAAGAGACAGGGTGGGAGCTGCGAGGAGCTAAGGGCCAGTGAGGCACCACATACAGCTGTAGTGCACCATCACCACATGTGCATATGTGCTCCTGCATCCTGGGCTCTTTTACTTTAGTGGCCCTTTACAGTAATCCACTCAATCCTGTTTGTTATAATAGAAGATGATTAGTCTAGCTGTAAGGTCGCTTTCCACGTAGATTTTATTTGTTCCTAATAGTTTTTTCCCGTTTATGGATCCTTGCTTCCGCTGTTTAGCACAAATTAAACCCAGCAAGAGCTCCGTTTGCTTTATGCTGATGGCTAGTGATAAAAATGATATATGAGCCAGTACAAGTACTGCCTTCTATATGATGACCAAACTACAATTAAAGTACAGAAATAGATCATTGGGCTCAACCAAAATACATGGGTATTATGAGAATTCTCAGCACCAAAACAATCAACCTTTTAAGGATAATAAAACAGTCAGCATTATTAGCTAAAGATATTGTTATAGTGATTTAGCAACCACAATTTCAAAACTTGTCAAACAAAATTCATGGCAATAATATTATGGCCTTTCAACTGACATATTTACACTAGTGAAATTGTGACCAAATTAAATCATTAAGACTAGATTTAGTCTTGATTTTATAAAAAACTCTGGTTTTGCCTAACGTGTGTCTTTAACAGAGCATTCACTCATTTAACACATCCATTAAAAATGAGACTAAACTGGGACTAAACCTGGACTAGTATAAGACCAACCAGTGAACTGGGCTGAAACTGAACAAATTTTAATGCACCCTAAATCAATCCAAAAAGCAAACCAAATCATAATGTCACACAATCATACTAGCAAACCTGCTGCTTAGATTTGAGCTCAATGGGGAGCTTGGGCCTCACAAGATGCTTTGTCAGATATGATGAACTTTGAAAAAAGAAGCCAAAGTTGACTGGTCTAATCTCGACAATAATATCATCCCTGATAGAGATAATAAGGTTCAGTTGTAATATGAACAGAGTCGACCAACAGCCTGGCAGCCATTAACCCGCACACAGCCCTGCTCGACCATGGTGCTGAATCTGAGCCGCCTCTCTCTCTCCGCTCTGGACAACAGCTACTTGTGTCTCAACTCAATAATAGTGCAGTGCAAAGAGATGGCAGGGCTTGGGTAGGGCTGAGGCTACACTGCCTTAAATCATATTGCCCTGGTATCATTTTACACACACCAGTGAAGGCCATATGTACAGTGTGGCAAGATTGTGCATCATTATATTCTGTCAATAAATCATTGTGGGTAAATGGGGCAAATAGTGCAACCAGCAATCAGTAGTGATTGAATGACCGCTTGTAATTATTGCTCCAACACATTTAATCAAAAGTTTGGATAGAAGATTATTTACAGTGCTTCTTTTCTAGTAAAAAATCATATAGGAAATTCCCTCTACTTAGGTGTAACTACTAAGGAACTAAGAACTGCTTGGCCAACAGCATAGCTAACCTTTCTGAGCAAATATGAGGCTGAACAGCTAAAGTCATTAAATATTTAACATCTCCACAAGGGATCAATCACATACATTTTCTTCTGTGGAAAGATTTGCCAGTAACTCAGCAGAGCCAGGCTTTCAGGGCAGATTTGTTACTAATATGTCACAGAGTAGGCCACAGGTCACAGGAGTCAGAAAGCACAAGCGAATGTTGATTGTACGTATCATATTACCTTTACAGATGCCATAAACGACTAATACTGATAAGGGCAGAACTCCTTTAAAGCTACAGTAAGGAGGGATCAGCAGTGTCAGTTACAGATGGGTGAAGAGTCACTGAGCAGGGGCCTAATATAACAGGCCTGTTGAAGCCTGCAATGTAGCCCTAAACTTGTTTTAAATTTGGCACATTTTAGGCCACATTTGAAATTAGGGTTAAGGGTTTGCATTTATGTAGACCCACCCATTTATTTTTGATATTTCCTATTGAGGTATACACAATTAGGCCTGTGAACAGTAAATCTTGCTGCTAGGATAAGATATGTTTATAGTACTTACTCAAATGCGAAGAAGAGAGAGCAGGTCCCCACGATGAGGAACAGGGTTAGATAGAAGACTCCCTTTTGCCGGGCCATCATCACCCTGCCGTCGCAACAGAAGCTGTTCTTGCCCGGGAGCTTCTCCCATTTGCGCACCTTCCTCGTTATCATCACCGCCGACATGATGCTGCCTCCAACGGTCGGGATGTGGAGGATGGTGTAGCCTACTGCCGCAGGATAACCAGGGGAGTGCTCAGGAAATAGAACAATGTCCTCAAGATTGAAATGACAATTAAGTGAAAACAAAGAGTCCAGTTAATAATACCGAAACAGCGTGAGCAAAATCAAGGCTGTGAACCATTTTCCTCGCGTAGTAGTGTCGCAGTCACATCATCAATTTATTTAATCCGTAGCCTAATATTCCCGGGCCGTTTCCCGTCTTACTGCAGCATGTCATTTCAACACTAATGCTCAAAAACACGGTTTCGGTCCGTCTCTGTTGAGGAGAGGCACGGAGCGAGCGCAAAATCATCCGAAAGCCTGCGACAGATGTTTCCCACAAGAGGCAGGCGAAGACTGCATGAGAGCGGACCTTGACCGGCTGACATTCATATCATCTCTAATCTGCAAAAATATGAAACAAATACTCACAGAAAATGCCCAGTAAGGTTGTCAAAACGCACGGATAAAAATGAATACAACAATAACTACAATACTTAACAAAAATAGAGAAATTACAGTGGTGAGGGCGCTTGCGCTGCTTAATGTGGTTTTTCCTGCAGATAGCAGAACTCGCTTTTAGTCAATGGCAGCAGAAAACACGCCTAGATTGAAATGTCTAATCTTAAAGGGGCAGAACAGGTTGAACAAAAACACCAACATATGACAAACCGTAAATTCATTTTTATATAGATATATTAAAACAGCTGTCTCAGTATTTAAGGGTGTAACAAAACACACAACAAATAGATTATATTACATTAACCATAAACTTTCACTTAGCTACGTGAAATAAATGTAATTTGACCAACTTCGTGATATTTTACTGTACTATGACACTGGATTAGTAATAGCCTAATATTGTTGTTAGTGCCATATGCTCCTGAACCATCTCACGCTCTGAGGACCTCAGGGGCCAGCCTCCTGCTGGTGCCCAGAGTCAAGACTAAACATGGGGAGTCAGCATTTCAGTTTTATGCAGCTGAAATCTGGAACAGTCTTCCTGAAGATGAGGGACACCTCAGCTCTGACAATGTTTAAATCTAGGTTCAAAATTGTTCTGTTTAGCTGTGCATATGACGATTTTCTTCAGCACTCGTCTCTTTTAATGTTGCCCTGCCTATTTAGACCCCATTTTAAAAGGCACTGTTTAAAGTTCACTATGTCATGTTGTGGTGGATGGTCTGTCACCTGCTTGTCTCTGGGATGTTATTGTTTTGCCTAATGTTCTATTGTAAGGCATCAATTTTGTATATTGTATTTATTCAGTTACAGGTGTATTTATTACTGAAAAATACCATGCAGAATGTGTATTCTTACTGTGAGCTCGCCTCTAAAGATCTATAACTTGGGCTGGCGGTCACCTCTACATCTCTGTTACGTGCCACGGGAGCCTAGGGGGTGGCACGGTAACTGAAAAAGGTGTTAAAATGAACCGGGTGTGGAACAAAACGGGAAGCGTGGTGAGGTGAAAAAAAAGAAGGATATTTATTACAAAAACGTAGATCGAGATAACACAAAAATAAACAACTAAAGATCACTGCAGCACAGGACCCACTCGTCCCACTTCTCGGGTTGGCTCCGGCTTTTATACCCCCGCTGATTAGTAGGACCAGGTGAGGCAGATCAGCGGGGCGGATCCGGGGTGGGTGGATCTGAGGTGGGGTGAGGCAAGGGAAAAAAAAAACGAGGACGGCATCCGTCACAATCTCCATGAGGATAGATGAGTTTAATGCCATACTGGGGAACATTTTCATGCAGATGAGTAGATAACAGCGCCTCCACCAGAAAAGTTAGTATCATCTTACTGTCGGCTCCAGTGGTGAAAAATTTAAATGCTGAGAACTTCACCTAACAGATGAAATAAATACATGATTAGACTTGAATAAAAGGTTATTTAACAATCAACTATCAACAGGATGGCTGGATCATAAAAACAGGCCTATAAGATGTGAGAATTTCCAAGTTGACATAGCTTACTTCTTGTTGAAAGCTGTTTACGGTCCATATATGGGCAGATTCATTGATTGATTGTATTTAACTGACCTTGGCTATCAACTGTTCTAGCTGTTTTTAGCCTATGGGTGTTAAAAACAAGTATGAAAAATGCATCTGATGTAGAAAAGAGCTCGTTATAAACATGCGCCATGAGTCTAACGGCAGAAGAACCTGTGTGACTCCAGAGCACTTCAGAAACGCATTTACAACTTCATGAACAGAAAAGACACATCAGCCTTAAAATAGAAGACTAGAGACAAGTCCACACAGAGTGTTCATGTCACAAGACTGCACGTGTATGTGTAAGTGTGTATTCTCTTGTCTCCTGCAGCTGTCCAGCTCCCCTGTCTGAGCCCTGGTCTGACTCCACATGTTAAAGAAGAACCCAACATCAAACAGGAGGAAGATCAGCTTCAAGTGTGAGTCTCAGACACTTTCAAATAGCAATTCTTTATTTTGTTATTGATTCTTCTTCATTTCTATTACAAATATTTAGATTGGGTTTGAAATATACAAATGTATCTTATGTTTTTCAGGTCTGTCCCAGAGTTTAGTGCAGTGAGCGTAAAGACAGAAGAGTCCCCACTGCTTCTACAAAGACAAACTGAGCAGAGAGAGAACACACAAGAACAGGACATCAGCGCAGAGACACTTGTTCATAGTGAGGACACAAAGGGAGAGACACTCAGAGATTGAGGGAGACACAGAATATGTATGTTAACATCACATATGAACAATTTGTCAGATAACTATAGCATAACCAACAGAACATAAGTTTACCAAATTCTCCATCTCACTCCAAAACACTAAATCCATTGAATCCATTGAATCCTTCATCCACTGTGTCACTTCTGAGCAACTCCACACAACTTCAAGTCAAGCTAAACATTATGATTCCTGTCGGGAGACATGGAGAAGCACTGGTTATATTTTTATAATGGAACTTTTATAAAATGGATGCGTGATTTCGGAAGCAAGTGAATTCTCAGAGTGCCAGAAGAGGAAAAAATTAGACAGGATTTGAGAAAGTTTGGTACATTTTAGAGGGTTACTGTCAATCAGAGGTGGTTTAGTCCTGGTTTAGTTCTGGGTTGAACCATAATAACTTTTGTTTTAGTCCTAGTTTGGATCTATTTTAGTGCAGCTCTTTTTAGGTTTTGTCAGTCTGCAGCGGTCAGTATCTTAAATCCTGGTTTAGTCCTGGGTTAGACCTGTTTTAGTCCTGGGTATACCCGTTTAGACCTGGTTTTGGACTAGGTTACACCTGATTTAAACCTGTTTTAGTGCTATTCTGTTCTAGTATTCTGTACCTGCAGTGGTCAGTAGGGTTTACTCCTGGTCTAGACCTGGTTCACTCCAGCTCTTGAGGGTGTTCTCAGTCAGCAGAGGTCAGTCTATATCAGAGGATCTTTAGACCTGGTTTAGACCTGAGATAGGTCTGGTTTAGACATGGTTTAGGCTTGGCTTAGGCCTGGTTTAGACCTGGTTTAGTCCTGGTTTAGACCTGGTTTAGACCTGGTTTAGTCCTGGTTGAGTCCTGGTTGAGTCCTGGTTGAGTCCTGGTTTAGACCTGGTTTAGTCCTGGTTGAGTCCTGGTTTAGACCTGGTTTAGACCTGGTTTAGTCCTGGTTGAGTCCTGGTTGAGTCCTGGTTGAGTCCTGGTTGAGTCCTGGTTTAGACCTGGTTTAGTCCTGGTTGAGTCTGGTTTGACCTGGTTTTGGTTTAGACCTGGTTTAGTCCTGGTTGAGTCCTGGTTGAGTCCTGGTTGAGTCCTGGTTTAGACCTGGTTTAGTCCTGGTTGAGTCCTGGTTTAGACCTAGTTTAGACCTGGTTTAGTCCTGGTTTAGTCCTGGTTGAGTCCTGGTTGAGTCCTGGTTTAGACCTGGTTTAGTCCTGGTTTAGTCCTGGTTTAGAGTCCTGGTTTAGACCTGGTTTAGTCCTGGTTGAGTCCTGGTTTAGTCCTGGTTTGAGTCCTGGTTTAGACCTGGTTTAGTCCTGGTTGAGTCCTGGTTTAGTCCTGGTTGAGTCCTGGTTTAGACCTGGTTGAGTCCTGGTTTAGACCTGGTTTAGACCTGGTTGAGTCCTGGTTTAGGCCTGGTTTAGACCTGGTTGAGTCCTGGTTTAGACCTGGTTCACTCCAGCTCTTGAGGGTGTTCTCAGTCAGCAGAGGTCAGTCTATATCAGAGGATCTTTAGACCTGGTTTAGACCTGAGATAGGTCTGGTTTAGACATGGTTTAGGCTTGGCTTAGGCCTGGTTTAGACCTGGTTTAGTCCTGGTTTAGACCTGGTTTTACCTGGTTTAGTCCTGGTTTGAGTCCTGGTTGAGTCCTGGTTGAGTCCTGGTTTAGACCTGGTTTAGTCCTGGTTGAGTCCTGGTTTAGACCTGGTTTAGACCTGGTTTAGTCCTGGTTGAGTCCTGGTTGAGTCCTGGTTGAGACCTGGTTTAGACCTGGTTTAGTCCTGGTTGAGTCCTGGTTTAGACCTGGTTTAGACCTGGTTTAGTCCTGGTTGAGTCCTGGTTGAGTCCTGGTTGAGTCCTGGTTTAGACCTGGTTTAGTCCTGGTTGAGTCCTGGTTTAGACCTAGTTTAGACCTGGTTTAGTCCTGGTTTAGTCCTGGTTGAGTCCTGGTTGAGTCCTGGTTTAGACCTGGTTGAGTCCTGGTTTAGTCCTGGTTGAGTCCTGGTTTAGACCTGGTTTAGTCCTGGTTTAGTCCTGGTTGAGTCCTGGTTTAGTCCTGGTTGAGTCCTGGTTTAGACCTGGTTTAGTCCTGGTTGAGTCCTGGTTTAGACCTGGTTTAGACCTGGTTGAGTCCTGGTTTAGGCCTGGTTTAGACCTGGTTGAGTCCTGGTTTAGACCTGGTTTAGTCCTGGGTTAGACCTGGTTAAGTCGTGGTTTAGGCTTGGTTTAGACCTGGTTTAGTCCTGGTTGAGTCCTGGTTTAGTCCTGGTTGAGTCCTGGTTTAGACCTAGTTTAGACCTGGTTTAGTCCTGGTTTAGTCCTGGTTGAGTCCTGGTTTAGACCTGGTTTAGACCTGGTTGAGTCCTGGTTTAGTCCTGGTTGAGTCCTGGTTTAGACCTGGTTTAGACCTGGTTTAGTCCTGGTTGAGTCCTGGTTTAGACCTGGTTTAGACCTGGTTTAGTCCTGGTTTAGTCCTGGTTGAGTCCTGGTTGAATCCTGGTTGAGTCCTGGTTTAGACCTGGTTTAGTCCTGGTTGAGTCCTGGTTTAGACCTAGTTTAGACCTGGTTTAGTCCTGGTTTAGTCTTGGTTGAGTCCTGGTTTAGACCTGGTTTAGACCTGGTTGAGTCCTGGTTTAGTCCTGGTTTAGACCTGGTTGAGTCCTGGTTTAGACCTGGTTTAGACCTGGTTGAGTCCTGGTTTAGACCTGGTTTAGACCTGGTTTAGTCCTGGGTTAGACCTGGTTAAGTCGTGGTTTAGGCTTGGTTTAGACCTGGTTTAGACCTGGTTTAGTTCAGCTCTATTGGCATTCTCCCTGTCTGCAGTGATCAGTATCGGAGGTGGTTTAAACTGGGTTTTGTACTTAATTAGTCCTAAAATAAACCGTGCTTAGACCTAGTTTAGACTTTGGTTAGTCCTGTTTTAGTCCTGCTTTAAGGCACGTCAGGGCAGTTTGTAAAGCACAGTTTGTCAATCAAAGTGCTTTACAGAATAAGAAACACATTAAAATCACAATACAAACAAATCAAAACCTAAATAACCATCATAAAATTAAAAAAGAGAGACATTAAATGAGAGAGAAGAGTCCTGCTTTAATCCTGGTTTAGCTCTACTAACACATTGCAGTGGTCAGTATGTGTTAGAGGTGCTTTGGACCCTTTTTTGTGAGTTAGTCCAGGTCTAGACTTGGTTAGACCTGGTTTAGAGCTTGGTTAGACCTCCTTTCTTACTGGATTAGACACAATTCAATTTCGGTTTAGTCTATTGTCGTATTCCTAGAGTGCAGTCGTCAGTGTCTATTTGAGCTGCTTTTAGACCTTGGGAGAAAATCATTTGTTCCCAAATACTTGTTCAAAAATTTCTGAAATTTTGCACAAAATTCCATTTTGGCATCCTGATCTAAAAGTCAATGACACCCATGTCATATTTTATGGCGTTGCCATAGCGATGACATAAACTCTCCATGTTATTCCATTGGTAAAATCTACAAATTCTGGCACAAACTTTGGCCGATTTCACTCAAATTTTAATCGTGGGTTCATAACTCGATCCTGAACAGACTGATGTAAGAAAATACAAAAATGGGTGCAATAGCGCCCCCTAGAAAATTTGAATAAAACAATAACATTTTATTTGTCATAGATACACAGAATTTGGTATCCACATTTGTGACATGGTCTCGATTAAAAAACTCAATGACGCCCAAACCCCATTTACATTGTGTTGCCATGGCAACAAGTCAAAATTCTGTCCTTGCCATTGGGACGTCCTTACATAAACTTTGGCATATTCAAACCAAATTTGGTAGCCAGATGCAAGATGGCAATAAGTACAAAAATGTATATTGTGACCATGCCCCTTTTCAAACTGTAAGTCCGCCATCTTGATTTAAAAAAAAAATAATTTAATTGCAGGGTTAGATTAAGACTTGTAGGGCTAGGCTTAGGGCTATGTTTAGGATTACGATTAGGGTAAAGTTTAAGATTAGGGTTATTAGAGTCAGTGTGAGGCGCGGCGTTTTGAGGGGCACAGCGTTTGCAGGGCGCCTGTTTGCGGGGTGCAGCAATTGCGGGGCGCGGCGTTGGCGCGCGCGAGGGCCGGTCATTGCCGCTTGCGGCTATATTTATTATTATTATTTAAAAGATGCCTAGGCCATGATGTTTAATAATGTGGACATTAACAACCACGCTAAATATCCAGTGTGCCTTATGGAATGTGGATGAGTGGAGGAGTTCAAGTATCTCGGGGTCTTGTTCACGAGTGAGGGAAGGACGGAACGTGAGATTGACAGGCGGATCGGTGCAGCTTCGGCAGTGATGCGGTCGCTGTATCGGACCGTTGTGGTGAAGAGGGAGCTGAGTCGAAAGGCGAAGCTCTCGATTTACCGGTCAGTCTTCGTTCCTACTCTCACCTATGGTCATGAGCTCTGGGTAGTGACCGAAAGGACGAGACCGCGGATACAAGCGCTCGAAATGAGTTTCCTCCGCAGGGTGGCTGGGCGCTCCCTTAGAGATAGGGTGAGGAGCTCAGTCACACGGGAGGAGCTCGGAGTAGAGCCGCTGCTCCAGTTGAGGTGGCTCGGGCATCTGTTCCGGATGCCTCCTGGGCGCCTCCCTCGGGAGGTGTTCCGGGCATGTCCCACCGGGAGGAGGCCACGGGGAAGACCCAGGACACGCTGGAGGGACTATGTCTCTCGGCTGGCCTGGGAACGCCTCGGGGTCCCCCCGGAGGAGCTGGAGGACGTGTCTGGGGTGAAGGAAGTCTGGGAGTCCCTGCTTAGGCTGCTGCCCCCGCGACCCGGCCCCGGATAAGCGGACGAAAATGGATGGATGGATGGATGGCCTTATGGAATGTTGAGAGGAGCCTAACATTCTATTGATGTTCTGGGCCTGTTGATGGTAAAGAAATCATCACAGATCCATTGATTTTGGTTGGATTTTTATATTTTTTTCTGTAGAATGAGTATACAGTTTGGTGAAAAGAATGGCATATTGGCTGATGTCAAAACTTGGGGGAATAGTTGATTGCCAATGAGGTAAAGATGAAAATATTGGAAAAAGTGAAAAAACGCGTTATTTTATTTTATTTTATTGCATTAAATTAAGACAAAATCATGTAGAAATGTGTTTTAAGAATTATTTTTTCCCTGAATGTTGTCACCACATGTGTTCTTTGCATCTGGAATGCATTTATTGACAGCTTACCCAACCCACTGAGGATTTCAGGAAATTTTTCATTTTTCAAAATTTTTTGTCAAAAAATGAAGGTTACATACACTAAAATGGCCACAATTTTTTTTTGCGATATTTCCAGAGCCTCCAATTATTGGTCCTCAGGGTCACAGTTAACAGAAAAAACACAAATAAAAAGTATGGCAGTCGATGTCAGGTTCAACCCATTTTTGAGACTTTGGCTCCCTGACTACCACGTTTGAAGCACATAAAGACAAGGAGCTGATGGCGGTTCAGTGGCGCCATCTGTTGGAAGCTGATGGCACTACAGCGTGTGCGCCGTGGAATGTGCTCCGACTTGAAACACGCTGCTGAAACAATACAGAAAGCAACACCAAATAATTATAGTACATTCCGTGGTTAATTACGTTCTCTTGAGCTCTGGATATTCTTACAAAAATGGAAAACGTACCATGTCTTCGTGTCTCGCAGTGTTGTGCACAGCAGATCAGGTAATCAAGGAGGAGTAAAGTTGCTAGCGTTGCTAAGCTTGCCGCACTAGTAACCCACACACGTTTGTAATAAGTTAATATGGTGATGGGAGGACATATCTCTTTATCTTACAGGACATATTTACAGTCTCAGCATGTTTTGGACACTAGTTTCCGTCTATGTAAAGACACAGATGAGACTATTTTGCTGCCTATCTTGCCCAGTAGTATGTCACAATTAGACACGGGACATCTCCAGTCCACTGTGGCATCTGGCAGCATATGTGAAATAGTCTGGAGCCAGGTATTTAAAACGTAATTTTTACCCACATCAAATCACCATTCCTTTGACAATGCTCTCACTTTGTGTAATTTAACAGGCTTTTAAAAATAAGAAAAAACAAACAGTTGGAAATAAATTAGAGGTAGTCCTTAAGAAGCTTTTGGAGTCAGCTGGGGAAGAATGGACAGAGGAGCTTAGGAGAGACCTCCCACGTGGGTTTGAGAGACATGGAGACCTTATACTACTTGCTGACAACTGTTTCTCGCTGTCAATATGGAAGAAATCTGGTATAACTTACACACCTGACTGTTTGTTCTTCGTAGCTGTTAAGTAACTTTTCTCTTACCCCCATAGGTTGCACTCTATGGAGCACGGTGGCAGCTGTGCTTGGAAGTGCTCGACTTGCAAAAAAGAGTTGTGTATCCAATAATGGATTTAGGTCTCCTGTTGTGACGATGCTTCATGGAGAGCACAGCTGGGTGACGCATGTTGATAATGGCATCAGGTAGCTTGCAACCTTTATTCACAATATCTAAGTAATCTATTTATTTTATACCCATTTTCCTTTTATTGTCAGGTATGATTTTGATGTCACCAGATGTATGTTTTCATCAGGGAACATTACTGAAAAACTCAGAGTTGCCAGATTTAATTGTAAAGGAGAGACTGTTGTGGATTTGTATGCCGGTAAATATCCTACAACATTTAGGCTATTTGTTGCCATTTACAGATAGATCTCTTTAACCATATGTGTACTGTAGGAATCGGGTATTTCACATTGCCCTATCTGGTTCACACTGGAGCAGCTCATGTTCATGCCTGTGAGTGGAACCCTGATGCTGTTGAAGCTTTACGTAAAAACCTAAAATTAAACAAGGTGTCTGAGCGTTGCACTATCCACCAAGGGGACAATAGACATGTAAGTCATTATATTTTTACATTTTTGTTCTCAAACTTTCAAAAGACTGATTAATTTGTGATGTTGTCTTAGCTCCAGCTGTCTGATGTTGCTGACAGAGTAAACCTGGGACTCATACCAAGCTCTGAGGATGGCTGGCTTGTTGCCTGTCGACTGCTGAAAAGATCCACTGGGGGCATTTTACACATTCATCACAATGTTACTTCTCCAATGTCCAATAGTGACACTTCCCTGGACATCCGCAGTGACACTCAGAGGTTTTCAGTGAAGAACAATGACAGAGGAGCATGGCAGGTTTGGGCTGATAGCACAGCTCAGCGCTTTAGCTCTCTCCTAAACGACACTACTGGGACAGACTGGAGGACACATGTCCAACACATAGAGCATGTGAAGTCTTATGCTCCTCACGTCCATCATGTTGTCTTGGACCTGGAGTGCAGACCATTGTTAGGGGAAAACACACAACAGAGATGAAGAATGGAAAGTGTATGACAACAGATGATTTAAAAATGAATTTAAAATAATTTATTCTGTGTAATTGGTGTCAGCTCTGCTCTCTTCTTGTGTTTTACTCACTTATTCTATTCTTATTCTTGTGCATTTCTTATTAAAAGTAAAAGTATGTTTATTATATAAATATACATTTATACATTATAAACTAAATCAAAACCATGCAACAAGTTGAGACAATAAAGTTTATACTGTACTACTGTCAATGGCCGAACCTCCACTTCCAGTTATATCATTGTACTCTCAAAAATAAAATACAAAAGAAAGGGAAATGATGAACGTGACAGTCACACTCTGTTCTTGTAGTTTGTTTTGGTTATAAATTCCCATGTCTAATCTTTGTGGAAAACTAAGGCACCTGGAAAATGTGGAGAGGATCTAGTGCCGTTTGTGCCTCAAACTTCCCTTATCTTCCGGTGCGTCGGGACCCAGAGCGCACTAAGTCAACACTTTTGGAGAGGGAGCCAAGGAGAAACATGCGGATATGCTTCTTGTCACTTGTAAGGCGATGGGACTCGGATTTCACCGTCTTTTCTCCCACAAAATACCAGCTATCGGACACTGTTATAACGATTTTGTTTTGAGCAGGATTTGGCGGTGGGCTGTGGTGCCTCGGACTGAAGAGCACTCGGAGGAGCTCAAGGAAAGCGACTCATGACAACAGGTGCGTCCCGCTTTGCTCGAGAGTCTTTAGTACAGCTCAGGGTTCAGAGCGCCTTTGTGCTGCCAAGTAAAACCGTTAATTTAGGAAAATGCTAAACTCACCTTTGATATAACCTCATCTTGTTTAATGAAAATGAATATAGGTCACCACAGCTATCTGTAGAGTGCTTTATGAAACGTTTTTCCTTTATTTAACATTCATTAATTTAATGATTATGGGCTGAGAGAGTGGCACTCAGGTCTAGTCTAGTATGCCCAAGTGCTGCCATGTAGACACAGTTAAAAGAACAAAAAGCAAACAAGCTTCAGTAAATTAAACGTAACAGTTAAACTGTACTTTCCCACGAATACCTTCAATGTTAAACTGTTTCTGCATCAAGTAAGCTTTACTGTCTATGCCATTTCCTAATAGTTAAATACTGTCTGCAGGTATTAAAGTCTTGCTAGATTAGGTTCTAGGCATTTAAACAATGAGGAAAAGGGGCCTTTTACACGCATTTCTGCTTTTTTGAGCATTAACCATGTGCACAGAACATGCTGTCTTTGAAGTAGATGAAATGAAGTGTACACTTTTAGACAGAACATGACAGATAATCCAACTTTGGACTGAAACACATGAACTCCTGATCTCCATCCGCTCTCTGTATCCTTAAAGGGTGGGAACCACACATGGCATGTTGTTTTTGCTGCTCCTACAACCTTTCACCAGGGCACTGACCTTCTGTGGGATTTTAATTCCCTCCAACTGTTTACCCTTAGTACATATTTATCAAGAGCTCCTAACAAGTAGTAATACTATTCATCATATATTATATACTTAACTCAATTAACCCTTGATGGTGTTAAGAATTGAGACAGACGAGCCTGTGTCACTGACCCCCATCATGCACCTCACTTGCATGATGCAATAGCAATGATGTGGTCAGAAAGATGACCACAGTCATAAAACCCTGAAAATTTGATCACATCTTTGATCTAATTTGATATTTCTGCAGGTTTTGTTGTACTGGTGCGTTTGACCTGAGCTTTACATGATGCTTCAGGGTGGCATAAACCTAAGCTTTCTGTCTCACTCTGAGCGGGAGCTGATCCTGGAGGTGCTGAGGCGAGATGAAGAACTGCGCCAGGCCGAGGATCAGCGCATACGGTATTCTTATTGTTTACTTGGATGGAATGTCTCCTGTTTATCTAGAAGACCACACCATAAAAAATAGCTTTGGGACAAACTTTAATAAATGCCTGTATTTAGCTAACTCAACAATTACACATGAATGATTTCTTCCAGTGCTATTTTAACTTCTTTCAGGAAGCTGAAGACTGAGTTGCTGGATATTAAGAGGAGAGGGGCCAAACGTGGCAGTGGAAAATACAGTCAGCGTGTCTGTGGTCGCTGCCTGCAGCCTCTGAGCAGACTCTTGGCCTTTTCCAGTCCATGCAGAATGTGCCATCATTATGTTTGCCACAGCTGCAGGGCTCCTGTCGGCCCAGGGGGCTCCTGGCTCTGCAGTGTGTGTGCCATGGAATCGTAAGAGCCTCCTTAGTCATACCTCTGTGAGCATTATTACTGCAGGGATGGTACAAACTGACTATTTTTGTATGCACCTCTTAATTGTTATTTACAGGGACCTAAAAAAGAGAACAGGTGATTGGTTTTATGATCAGAGGGTCAACCGCTTCTCAACAACTCCTGGACATGACCTTGTGAGAAGCTCTATGAAAATGAAAACTGCTCCAAGTAAGTACAGGAAGAGGAAGTGGGCATCAACAGTGCAACAAAAGGAACAATTTATTAGGAATGCAAACTGCACTTTAGTGTTGGAATATGCTCACCAAAGAAATGGTGCTATACACATAGACATAATAATTAAAGATCTGAAAAAAATACATATTAAACTGTATAGCCATAGACAATCAGACCTAATACCAGCCATGTTTGTGCCATTTACATTTATGTGAATACAACAACATAAAGGGGTTAAACAAACAAAATAAAGGTAGTATATTACTACAAACAAAGCAATATCAATTTTATTTACAATGTCTACCCAGATTACAGTGCACAGTTAATCAGAATTAACTGCACAGTTCATCAAAATTAGAAGCATCTCCATCCCTTTTGCCGCTACAGTGCATTTTTTCAGCTTAAAAACATACTCCGAACATCAAGTCCTGGATATAAATTTTTTGCTTTTGTTTTGTTTAGTAAAAAAGCGTGGTGAGACTACAAGTGAAGCGCTATTAAGAAGTTCAGAGGTAATTCTTGAACTTCCAGCTCCTATCTCTCAGCCAAGACTCAATGAGGAAGCCACTCACAAAAGGTTTTGTCAGTATTGCATTATTTATTTGTTGTGTTTTTTGAGTAATTCGTTCTTATTTTTTTTTCTAGTAATGCTTCGAGTGAAAAGTCTGGATCCATTGCTTCAAGGGAATCTTTTGAATTGAAGGAGGATGTTTGGAACAAATCAACCCAGAGTGACACAGAATCTGCAGAAGTTATGAGTTTGAATAGCAGTAGAATGGCAACAGAGTCTAACCACTTCACACCAGAACTGACAAGGTAAGCTCAGTAGGGAAAAGGCAAATAATAATAATGGCTTGCGTTAATTTGCAATGTGACTAATGTAAATGTTATGTCAATAAAAGGAAACTGAGTCAACCTCCACAGTCCGTTTTGGCAGAATCCAGTGTTTCTAGTCTACAGTTGCCGGTGAAATAGATATCACGGATTACAGCTCGAAAACTGAACATGACTGTGTAAGTTCAGTGTTGTTACAGGAGGTAAAATGTTGACTTATTACTAATGTTACAATATTTTACTGATGTTGCAATATTTAATCAAATACATTGCTTAAAGGTTCATTGTGTAACCTTTTGGTTGGGGGTCCATCACCGGCTTGTGTCTATGGATATGTCATTCCTCTGCCTGGAAAGTTCCACAGTATGACATTAAACAGCTCTACCTTACATTTATTCAATTACAGGTAGTTTTATAGCTCAAAAATACCTAGAAAAACAGGTATTCTGACTGGGAGCAGCGTTGCCTCCCCACAGGTCTGAACTGTAACTTAGACAGAACTGAGTAACTGTAACTAAGATAGAAAGGTTTGATACCATACTGTGAATCATTCCAGACAAAGCAGTAACATTTCCACGGAGAAAAGCATTTGACGGACCCTCCACCAGATAAGTTACACAATGCACCTTTAAGGGTTCTCACTCAGAAAGATGAAGTTTCATTCATGCATGTTCTTATGTTTGATTTTCCTTCCAAATAAATTATCGCATTTAATCTCGAAAGCTGCATGTTTTCATGTTTAGTCTTTCTCTGATCACTTGGCTCTTGAAATGAAAGTCAGTAGCTCATTGATCTACAAGCAGTCATCTTGCTAAATATAGCTGCTTCAGTTTTTGTCTCATGTGCTTCAGTCCCCACTGTAGCCAGCTCAGCATGAAGACACTAATAAAAGCATTCTTTATAGAAACTCCTATACTTTTTTCATACTTAAATCCTTAACACTTAAAAAAATTGTGATAGCAATAACAGCAATAATAATAATAATAATAATAATAATAATAATAATGCATGACACATGTACTTTCTGAATAAGATTAAAATACATCAAAATAAAAATACACAAAACACAGAAATACTCATTAAAGGCTTATAATAGAATGTGTTTATTCACAGCTGTCAGTGGCAAATTTGCAACCATTTGGAACAGTTACCAAAATGTACAAGAAAAGTGTGTGGAAAATGTTAAATATGTGTTAAACTTTTCCTCTAGGAGATCAGAGAGAGCAATTTATCTCCTGAGATGGATGTAGATCGACTTTTCAAGAAGAGTGTCAGGCGCACACAGAGGACTTCTGGTAAATTGGCACAATCTTAACAAACATAATGATAAAAGCTACATTCTCCTCTTTCTTATTTTTAGAGTATACTTCGACTTTGGACCTACGCAATGAGCCAGTTTTTCCTTCAGCCTCAGTGGTCACCAGGAGCATGTCTGTGCCAGGACTGGATGTACCAGTATGTAGCACATGTTTATGCAAGATCAAAATCTGTGTCGATAGTGTATGGTTTCATTTCACATGAGCGGAAGGTTTAGTGATCAAAATGATTATGATGATGCAACAGGAAGAAGAAGAGGAGGAGGAGGATGAAGATATTGACAGCCTGGTTAGTTTCCATAAAAGGAATATGGCTTCTAGCACCTCCAGCCTGAGTTCCAAGGTAAACTACTGTTTTGGTCTGTACCAGTACTGAAGCCTCCCACTGTGCCTCTTAAAGCAGACCATGGAATGACTTTTAATTCCATGGGTTTTCAAATGAAAAGTCTTCAATATCTCACCAACAATGGGAAGCTGAAACCCATAGATAGAAGGATATGGATAATATAAAACAGTTCTGTTTCTGTAATAGTATATTAGTGAAATATTTTTCTGAAAATATTAAAGCTTCACCTTGTAACTTTTCAGATGAATGATCTGCCATCTACTTGTCTCCACAGAGATGTTAATGCTTTTCCTAGAATGTTCCACAGTTTGTATTAATTTTGCATTTGTTGCTACAATACCTTGAAAAACACGCATGCATTAAGCAGGGTAACCTGTCCACAGATCTGACCTGTAACTTGGTCTGTTTGTTTTCATGAAGATAGAAGTTAATGCCATACAATATGAAATTCCAGGCAATACAATAGCATCACTATGGAGACAAACAGGTGGCAGTTACATAGTGCACCTTTAATGAATCTTGCACTGGAAAGATCCGTGCTAACACTACTGTAACATAAGGTTGCGTGCGCTCAAATATCCCAGTATCAATATTTGCTTTGTACCACACTTCAGGGCACACTCGGCAGCACGATGAGCATCTACAGCGAGGCAGGGGACTACGACAGCGTGGACGTGAGTGGAGACCTGGTCTTCTCCATCAGATACGACGAACACACCCAGAGCCTCCATGTCTTCATCAAGGAGTGTCACGGCCTGGCTCACGGAGACTCATCCCACCATCATTCTAACCCGTAACTATCAACTATCATGCGGTGTTAAAGAGTACATTATGCATTTTGTTTATGCAGTATTAAACTATAATATGTGTAGAGGCTTATTTTACTTTTTGTTAACTGTAAATGACAACATTGATCTAAAATGGCTCAATAATTGAAACAGGTTAATTGACTTCCTCTTCAAAACTGCAGAAGATTTTTACACATTTTGTATTTATTTATAATTGTAAATGAATACAAAGAAGTGGATGGAGACCAGGGATAGGCATAAACACAGGATTACACAAACATGATGTAATTAATTAAAATACAACTCTGGATAAGCTAATCATGAGGGAACACAGTGTAACATGGTTAAAACTGGTTAAAGTCGAAGTCTAAAGATTTTACATAAGAGTCTCTTTTAAGTGTGCGTCTTGGCTTATGAATTGTGTTTAACCAAACCACAGTAGGCAGGGGATCTTTCTGAGACTCATGTTTCTGCCTTGCATGCCCTCTGTGATGTTAACACGTCTTTGATCTGCGCTGATAGGAGCTGCTATGTTTAAACATCCTCGATAATCACATCCTAGGGGTGCTTACTCAAACTGAACAGGAAATTGCAACTCATCAGATATTTAGTCAGGAAATGTCAGACACGTATCCTGTTCACTGTTTAACATGTTCAAATTCAAAATATTATTGCCTTCCTTAGCTATGTCAAATGCTACCTTCTTCCTGAAAAATCCCGTCAGAGTAAAAGAAAAACCAGCATCAAGAGACACACAGTTAATCCAGTCTTCAATGAAACTTTGAAGGTACAAGTGCTACCATGACATTTCACACTAATTATTGACTTTACATTGTTGACTTACTGACACTCCCAGACCAGGGACCTTACGCCACTGCAAACACAGACAACACCTAGAGACTGTCCACATGGATGTTGACACTGTACATAAGATTAGATATTACGTTATATGCCCTAACAGTATGCAGCAGTAATCACCATTTACAAAACTTTGCTATCGCTTTATGCTTTCTTGTTTCTCCAGTACACCATCAGCCGAGCTCAGTTGTGCAATCGCTCTCTGCTCATATCAGTGTGGCATCATGGCCGCTTGAGCCGCAACACTTTCCTGGGTGAAGTTGAGATCGCTCTAGACTGCAGAGACTTGGACTCCCCGACAGAAGAAACCGTCATCCTCATGTCAAAGGTTATTATATATATAAAACGGAATAGGATTGACTTGCCGGTGTTGCCAAAAATGTGTGTACAGCAGTCAAGTTAGTTTTATAATATCTTTTGGCTACATCTTACCAGAGCACCTCTCATGACCAACTGATGCTCAAATTTCTAAATTTTTTCCCTGATTTCAGATTCAGATTTTTTTTTTTTAACACTAAATATTTTCAGTACAAAACACATGACCATAGAATTTTGATGTTGAATTTAATCTTTTTTTTTTTTTTTTTATCACATTTTAAAACATTTTTCACTTTCATTTTTTAATTTAAATTTTTTAGTTAAAAAAGTATTAGATGATACAGATAATATTTGTTTTTCACAGAAAACATCTTCAGTACCAGTTTTTGCTCAGTATAAAGGGGAGCTTGTAATTTCTTTAAAATACGTTACTCCTAAAACACAAACACCTGCAAAGCTAAAAGGTAAGGAGGAAGCTCGAAAAAGATAAGAAACAAATTGTGTAAAAGCCTTCATGGATTCTTATCCGTGTCCTTTTGTGTACAGGTAAAAAGGATAAGACTGAAGAGGGTGAGTTGCATGTTCTCATCAAAGAGGCAAAGAATTTAGTAGCGATCAAAATGGGAGACACAGCAGACAGCTTTGTAAAGGGGTGAGAAATACCATGACAATACAACTAATTATTAATGCTTTCTGCTAATTAGCATTAATAGCATTCTTTATTATTATCAAGGTACTTGTTACCAACTAAAGGAAAGTCAACTAAGCGGAAAACCCCAGTTGTGAAGAAAAACCTGAATCCTTATTTTGATCATACATTTGTGTACAAAGAGGTGGGTTTAGAGCAACTAAAGGAAATGTGCCTTGAGCTGACTGTGTGGGACAGAGAAGCTATGTCCAGCAATGAATTTCTGGGAGGAGTGCGCCTCAGCTCTGGAAAAGGTAAAAATGCCAAATAATCCAATTTAGTGTCTTGAAACTGATGAGTACAAGTTGAGACATGTCAATCATTTCTTTTCTTTTTTTACCTGATCAGGAACTGTAAAAATAGGAAAAGAAGAGGTACAAATGGACTCTGTTGGAGAAGAACTCAGTCTTTGGCAGAAGATGATGCAATACCCAGACTCGTGGGCAGAGGGCACTCTTCCACTGCGTTCTACAATGGGAAAGTCCAAGGAAAAATGAGATCTCTTGAACTGATGACTTGATCTTAAATTCCTTAGAGATTTTCAAGAGAACTTGGAGGGTAATATTAACATGTCAGCTGTATGTTTGTGCCATAAATACTGGCTTTGCAGGAGTGCCTTATGACAATATTAAATTGTGAACTGATTTCACTGTGGTGTTCTCAAACCAGCATCTTCAGCACTTGACAGTTTCACAATTTACACTAATTTCACCACAGGAGCTTTTGTGAACTGTACCAAAACACTAAATTGTCATTACTTTTGTACTGAAGCAAATATACAAGATTTATTTTTAAATATAGATAAATAATATTGAAATCTAGCACTTATTACTATATTCAGGCCATTTTATTTGTACATGTTTCAACGTGCTTATTGTAGATTTATGAAATTGTTTTTGTTTAACTGCTCTTAACTTTAACTCCTCTTATTTCATCTCGTGTAGTGTTACTGTAGTGCTATTGTAAAATACACAAATAATGCATGTTTTTAAATAGTTTATTCCAAAGTATATTATTAAGTATGTGCAATAAACATTTATTTGACCTGAATGCCCCACTGTCTGGCGTAATTCACACTAATGTATAAGTGCCTGTGACAGAAGAGCTGCTGATACTGAACAGAGTGCTTTAGAGAAAAATAGAATCACATTTTAATAGGATATTGTTAGTTGTTTTCAATAGTTTTATGTCTTCAGCTTTAAAATTATGACTACTGGCAGAGGTTTCTGTGTTTCTCCAATCTCTCTCTCTCCTCCTCAGTCAACACAAAGCTGTCTATGTAGGAGAAAAGCTCGTCAGATGACACAGGGGTAATGAAGCGCTCCCGGTCCAGTCCCAGCTCGTCCAGAAGCACCATGCTGAAGTACGACCTGGAAATCCGAAACGTCTGTCTGTAATAGAAAGGCAAGTGTATTACTTACCCTGGAATGATGATAAACGTAGTTAATATGATTAACTGAGATTCAGGAGCAGGACCACGCCTCAGCCGCCCTCTCCTCTCACCAGCGAACCACAACTCGCCTCGACCACACCTCTAATTTCCCAGAAGCCTATATGTAGTAGCCTTTCCCATCATCCCAGTTTGTCTCGGCGAACTCGACCCCACCCTCCCATCCCCTATTTTGTCTTTCAGTCATAAGACCCCTACAAGGGGGGGCCCGTTCCGGCTGGGCCAATTGCAGATTGAGATGGAGCCCCCACCCATAGTCTCAACCCAGCCATCTCTGCCTCGCTTCCTACATTATCAATAAACTTCTTCGTACTATGTTGTTGTTGGCGAGGTCCTAGCTAGTGAACACATATTTACTGTGTGTAAAAAAAAAAAGAAGTGAGACAAGTTGAATTGACTGCCAAAAGCAACTGATTTAAGTTAATGTATATTATTTGCATTATGTATATTATGCTTTTATTCACGTAATAGAGTTCAGTGCGTAATTTTCAACAGGACTGAAAACAATGAAAAGTTCTCAAAACGATGTTATATAACTACTGGTTAAAAATAATGCCACTTGCACATAAAAACCAACTTGCCTTTTTGGGGCAAAGTTGAGATGACCTTTTGTTTCCAAATGAGAGTATGGGTAAAAAATAAAGTTTTATTTTGAATCGTTTGAAAAAAGCCAAATACACCCAGGTCTACTATAGTGGAATATTTGCTATTTTTAGCTGTGTTTACTCTTAAACCACATTCTTTCCATTTTAAGTCAATGTGAAGGTTTTGATTTTTTTATTTGGAGACTTAGTTTTGGAGACCTGTGGCCATCTTAATGAGACACTTTTAACAGTATGTTGATTAAACTGTAGCACATGTATTCAGGAGTGATAGAGTTACCTTAAACCCTCAATGACATCATCTGTGAGCACGTCTTCTTTGATGCGGCCAGTCTCACGTGGCGGAGAACCCAGCAGCTCAACCACTGTCACATGTCTCAGGTCTAAGGCACAGTCAGAGGTCTGACAAAATATAGATCTAGTTAATTTATGCCCACAATAGGCTATTGAAAGCCACTGTATTGTCAGCTCACCTGTATCATCATATTCTGCAGCTGGTAGTCTGGGTCAGTTACGTTTGGGGCGGAGACGATGAGAAGTCTCTGCTTCTCATAGAACTGGTCCAGGAGAGAAGAGGCTGTTTTTAAATGTGAAGATTTGAAGTCTAGAGCTAAAAGGAAAGACAAAAGCAAGTACATTTTATACTGAAAATGAAAACTAATACTGAAGCATGACATACAAAGATGTAAAATGTATATAGTCTGTATATAGTCTTCTAGACCAGTGTTTCCCAACCAGGGGCTTTGAATGTTTTCTGATTTCAAAAGGTGAGACTGAATCACATTTAAAGATAAAATATTCTTTAAAGTAAAATTACTTGTTACTATTAAATGTAATAGTGGTCTAATCATTCATAGTAATAAAATAATTATTATATTACCATAATTGAAGTTAGGCGGTACTCGGAGAGTGAGAGAAAGTTTAGTTTTTTTTAAGACTACAAGTATTGGGGACCACTATTTTAGGCTTGCGAAGGGCACAGAAACTGGTGGCAAAGATGCATTGCATTGCGCAACACCAATAAATTACCTTCAGGCACTTTTGAACCAGATGCCCTACTGCATAAACCCTACCATGGCATTAACAAAACTGGTGGATGAAATATGATTGCATAGTAAGTATCCATTCTTTACTTACGGACACACTGCGCAGGCTCGCCCTCCCAGTTTTGGTTAAACTGACACACACGACTTGACACCCCTCTGAGCTCATAGCCTCCGTCACAGTGGTACTCACAAGTCGCTCCATAATTATTTCCATCAGAGGAACAGGTGAGGTAGCCGTGCAGAGGCGGAGTCAGCTCAGGACATCTCCTCACTACAGAATATATCAGTGACAATTCATGGAAAACTACATGACTGTGTGGGTTTCATTGGCTTACCTTCAACACGGACTATAAACTTGCAGGCAGCTCTGTTTTTGGCCATATCATATACTTTGTATCGGATAATGGTAGGTCCTTCTTTAAACTCAGTGCCTGGCTCTGGACCAACAAGTATAACCCTGAATAATAAGAAATATTTGCCCACTGTTTGAAGCAAATTGTGTAAGAAATGAAGAGGGAACTGTGGCATACTCAAGTGATTTATCAGCAGTATCGGAGGCCACTGGTCGATCCCAGGAGACTGTAGCCGTCAGCTTACCTGGCTGAGCAAACTTCAGTCTGGAGCGAGGACACTTGATTTTTGGAGGATCCATGTCTGCAAAGGGGAATATAAACACTGTAATAGTAATTTCAAAAGCACAGAGGAAAGTGTTTCATGTCCAAAATAAGTTAAAGGGGAATCTTTGTGTGAGCAAGACTTGGAACTGAAGAAACATATATGGATTTGATTAATGCTCAATTGCAACAGGCATGGCTGTCCTGAATGGAGCTGGGGAGGCTTCAAATGCAAATTCTCCTATCACCCCAGTACTGAAGTCTCTGCACGGGCTTCCTGTGAGCGTCAGGATAGATTTTAAAGTTCTTTTACTGGCTTATAAAGCTCATAATGGTCTTAGTCCTATTTATTTATCTGATCTGGTTTTATCATATGAACCCTCTCTGACTGTCAGGTCCTCAGGTAGTCTTCTTTTAACTGTCCCAAGAATCCAAACAAAAACTCAAGGTGAGGCGTTATTCAGCTTTTACGACCCCCGTTTGTGGAACAGTCAACCTGAGGATCTGAGGTCCACTGCTGAGTGTTCATATTTTTAAAAGCAAACCCAAAATGTATCTTTTCAATTTAGCTTTTAATTAATTAAATTACAATTCATATTTTAATAATAAAATTATTATTGTTGTTGTCATTTGTTTTAAACTAAACTTGTCATTACTATTTTACTTAGTCTTCATCTGAATTTAGCTCTCCATTGTTATTATTACTACAATCTTTTAAGAGCTTTATGTTTCTGTTTAAATTGTTGTATATATGGATGAAACAAGGGGGTGGGGTTGCTTTTAATTATTGTCATTTTTCTGTTGCATGTGAAGCACTTTATGCTACATTTCAAATGCATGAAAAGTTCTATACAAATAAAGTTTGACTGACTGACATGTACAAACTATGGCACATCCTCACGCCTGGCAAAACAGTAGTAATAAGGAGTTAATAGGAAAGTGTTAGCAAATGTTTAATTAGCAAGAGAATAAGGTTATGCAGAATAAGATATCAGTAAGTAATGGCAAGTGTACTAATTAGTAATTTGTTAGTTGCTCATAAGGGTACCCTAAAATAAAGGGTAACTGGTTAAACTGTAAGGACCCTCTCAGTATAATATGCATAACTAAAGAGCAATGGTTAAAATAGCAGTATACCTGAACAGACTGGTTGGACCCCACTCCACAGGCCAGTCTTCAGACAGGTGCGTGAGTGCTCCCCTTCGAAGCGATAGCCAGGGTTACACCTGAAGTCACACCTGGAGTCCACCATAAAGCCCTGGGTACAGGTGTATCTTCCATGATGAACAAGGGGCAAAACATGGCACCGCTTCTCTATACACATCACAATAAACACACTTACTATCACTATGTGGGTAAAAAAAAACATGTGCTTTCATAGGACTTACGGCGACAAATAGCTGTTCCAGACCAGCGGCGGTTGGCAAGGCACTGAATGGACTCCCTTCCTATAAGTCTGTATCCCGGGTCACACTTCATGTCACAGCGGGTACCAAGGGTGCTGCGGTAGGATGGTCCACGAGGAGAGCGACAAATCACCTCCCCATTGGTCAGGCCCGGAGAGTGGCACCAGTAAGGGTCTAGCCATGGCACAGATCTCTGACTGTATGTTGTTGCTTTAATTTATTTTTCAGATGTTGAAACAATTTGGATGTCATACCTTTGTAGTCGAGTTGTGGAGTATAGTCTTCCTCTACAAACTCACTGTAGCTTTCAATGGTTCCAGAGCCAACTGTAACAGCACACAGCAAGTCAAACATGTGGAGACAGTAGTCAAGTAATCTCTTCTATCTCTGCTAGCCGTGCCAACAGTTAGTGGTGTGATTTATGAGATTTAGCAGATGTTCAATATTAACAGATACTAATGCAAATAATTCCACAAATACAAGCAGATCCACACAACTATTTGCGGTTTCCTTAGTCTCAACAACATTCCTATATAAATACACCTGGATTTGTCATCAGAACATTACTAACAGCTCCTCCTGTTTTAAAGGAAGCTCTCAGTGAGAAAACATGAAAATGTGAAAGGACATTACAGCTTGTGCAATGGTCCAGATGTTGTTTATATCTTATTATGACATAATGTTTTCATTATGCTCACAGACGTAACTCTTCAAACAATAGCTGCAAAAATGTAACTTTTTGATTTGTACACTGCAACTGACAACCAGATTTTGTGGGGTTTTTTTTTTAAAAGCAGACTAAACCATTTATTTATAGAAGATATATGTAAATTACACTGCAACTTACAAGCTCTCGGTAAACCTTAACTTCATGACTGCGAGGTCACGTGATTGTCTTAAAGATTATTACTGGGCTTTAGCGCTACAAGGGGAGTCAGCAATTAACTGTAACTGTACTGTCCCCTCCTGATATTAAACTTGGTTTGGCACCTTTGATTCCATCTCACAGTAGGACGGCTGCGGCATGTTTACACAGAGGAGGAGGCCAGTCTGTATTGGCTCAGTCATCGTGAAATTAATCGCATCTGGAATTAACAGAACTGCTGAGAAGGCATTTCCATAAACAACGAAGATCCACCACAGCTCGGCTTTCCCACCATATTGTCAAAAGAAGGACATTTTCTGTCTTAAATTAATTTCGAAGTGAATCCTAGGTCATGCTAGACTAAAATGTATAGGGCATGCTTTTAAATAAGATGTTTCTCACCTCTAAAAAGTAACGTGAAAACAGTACTAATGTAGAAAAGTCCCATGTTGACATCTGTAGGTAACACCTGAGCAAAAAAACACAAAATAACTTCTGTATTCCAGAGCAAGAGTGAAAGGGTGGGCCGGTTCAGCTGGCCCCAAACGTCCGGCGTTTCGTCGTGTCGGAGGGAGCCAAATAATCCTCGTCTCTTCAGTCAGAGCAATTTCTGTTCCAAAATCTGAAGCCCCTGCCCATTTGTCCTGCGCAAGGTTAACCACTAGAGGGTGCTGTAAGGGCGTACTTAGTCTGATGCACTTGATTTCTGAGTCTAGTCTGATTCACAGTAGAACTAGTTTTGTATTTATGTATTTGGCAATGACATATTGTTCTATTAAATAGAGAGCAAACACCAAAACAATAAGCCTTTAGTTCTTATGTGCTTTATTGAACAAATGCAATGTTTGCATATTTATAAAATATTTCAAATAACATTCCTAAGCCCATTAAAGGTGTGTACTTGGTATTTCCAAATTATTGGTCTGAAATTAAGAGCATTCACTAAATGTATCATTATATGATTATCTGCTATTTAACTAATTTGTCAAACTAAAATAAATTTAAATATAAAAGTAACTAGAAAAGCACTCAGAGAGCGCAGACCTCCGCCAAGGACTACCCCCATTTTTTATATAAATTGCGATAAAATCTTCTTCTTCTGGATCAGATCCGGATCAGCCTTTGGAATATGAAAGAGGATCCCATTGTCCATCCCTGAGTCAAATTTCATGGGGTTTGGTCAATAATTTCAATTTCAATAATGAAATTTTTGGCCCCATTTACCACAATGTTAACTAAAATTTCAAAGTGATCCAAAATCCAGGATTTCTTCCGGATCACCCCCAAAATGAAATCAGTTCTTCCTTTTCACATTTCCAACAAATCCATAACTTTTTGAGTTATGTTGCTAATAGACAAACAAACAAACAAACAAACAAACAAACAAACAGACAAACGCCGGCAAAAACATAACCTCCTTGGCGGAGGTAATGCAGTGAGTAAAAGGCACTGCCCGTGCGCCATGTGACATTTTTCGTTCCTTGCTTAGGTTGTGGTTGTAGGTGGTGGCTGCGCTGGGCTGGTTTTTTTTTTTTTTTCCCTTCAGGAAAGTGAATGTGGGTTAGTGACGACACTTCCCCCCTTTCCTTGGATTCACCTCCGAAGATTTTTTTTAACCCTGCCTGCCCGAGTTTTTCGTGAAGTAAACTTTTGTTTGCCTTTTTGTCTCTGGTCTCAAAGTCACTATGCCGTCACCCTCTCGAAGGCTTCAAACGAAGCCCGTGATTACCTGCCTCAAGACTTTTCTCATCTCCTATAGCCTCATTTTCTGGGTGAGTTTGTTGTACGTGTTTTTGGAGACAACAGCCAGAGCAACAAAGGGAGAAGCGGCGATACCAAACGACTGCACTCTGTGGACAAGTGTGAACAAGGGTTTTTAACTTAGAACGAAATACGGGAAAGATGTTAGAAATGAAAACAAAGTTGACTTCAAATGTTAATCGCAGAAGGGCAGGACTTTCTATTTGGGCTGACGTGTCCCCTAAAGAAAAAAATGTATCCCATTTTACCCTTCTTATTTCGAGTCTTTGCTTGGTCTTTGTTGTTGTAGTTAAACGTAGGCCTACTAGACAATACGCATATTCCGTTTTGTAACTAATACAGTAGAGTCTGCTGCTCTGTATTAACTAGTGCCATTAATCTTTGCACTGAACCCACAGCTGCAAACACAAAGTTCAGCTCACTGCTTTTATCTGGCAATTTATGGCTCCTGGCAGCTTGTCCATATGCCTCCCCTCAAGTTAATGACTTAAGTGGACTGTGAAAAAGATGCTGGGGTAAACTACTGTAGGTCTGATCCAGGTGTGCTTTTGAAAAGGAAAGAAACATCTCTACTTTTTCTGGAATAATAAGTGTCTACATTGGCAACGGCTGGTCATGACTCTCAAAGACAATCCACAGTATAATTTCATTTCAAATGAAATGTGTAAATTAATATTGTTTGTTTGCTGTTCAGAAGATGGCCAGATTGATGTTGTTTGCTCTTCCAGTTCACTGGAGTGATCCTGTTGGCCGTTGGTGTGTCAGGGAAGGTGAGCCTGGCCTATCTGTCTCTGGCCTCAGAGGAAGGCACCAATGCACCATATGTTCTCATTGGAACTGGGGCCATCATTGTTATTTTTGGGCTTTTTGGCTGCTTTGCCACATGCCGTGGTAGTCCATGGATGCTAAAACTGGTGGGTGAACAAATGAAGCAATAAATGAAGCACTGGACCAACTTGGCTGACATTTTTCTAAATACTTTCATTTTTCAGTATGCCATGTTTCTAACTTTGGTTTTCCTCGCTGAGCTTGTGGCTGGCATTTCAGGATTCATTTTCAGACATGAAGTAAGAACTGCAGATTAACAAATTTTATCAAATGATGCAAAATATTATTCAACTGTATTTTTGTCTTTGTATTTGACAAGATTAAAGCTACTTTAGGTCGTGCCTATAGAGAAGCAGTGAAGTCCTACAACACCACAGACACCAGAAGCACTGCTGTTGATACCATCCAGAAAACTGTAAGTGCATTGTTTGTCATTACACTACTGATGTTTATTCTGGCTGTGCCCAGTGTAGGACTGAAACAAATGATTATTTTGCTAATGAATTAATCTTGATAAATCGAATAGTTATTTAAAATGAGAAAGGCTATGAATATGAGACTTTTACCAAATTCAAACAAATTCAAAAATACTGCATATACATGTTGCTCCTGTCAGTTTCATGTATTACTGCTCTGTCCAAGTTCTAAAACATCTCAGCTTATGGCATGTTTTGAATTCTCTACATAGACGAGTTGACGATTATTCAGTTACTAAATTAATTGATGATTATTTCAGTAATGGATTAATTGCAATGAATCTGTTGCAATGAGTTTGTAACAGCAGTGTAAAATTACTTTAAGGTGGCATAGTGTTTGTTAGCACTCAAGTCATATATTTAATGCCCTTAAATGGTCCATACTGTGTGGGGTTTGTGCGCTCCTCATGTGTCTGCATCTGCCTAGCGTTCCAGTCCCTCTTATTTTCTTTCGGAAAGCATGAGGGTCTTGTACCCTCTTCACCGCAATTCAAGGCTCCTAGAAAATTGGTGCAGAACCAGTCATTTATCTATTAATGCGCCATTCAATTTCTTAATCACCCCACTATCATTCAGAACTTTAACCTCCCTCAGTTCTGTTTAAAAGTATTTTGTGCTTCATCTGTTGATTTGATGCTGTTTTTACAGTTTGTGTGATTCTTATTTGTTTCAGACATTTCTTTATACTCACTGCAGACACTATGTTGTTAGAGCAGACTTAGAGAACATTTATTAATTTGGAGAATTTATTAGAGAAGCACTATCAATCCTTCCCATCAGTTGAAAAGTGCAAAATATTCACTATAACTATTGATTATTCTTATTAGAAACTAGTTATTTAAAGTTTTGACTTGTCACTTGACTGTTTGTTGTGTTTGTTGATTGATTTATTTTTTTTGCAGCTTCATTGCTGTGGTGTCGATAATTACACTGACTGGACTGACACTCCATACTTCAAAGAGAATGGCTTTCCTACAAGCTGCTGCAAAGACATCGCCAACTGCTCTGCAGAAACTCTAATGTTCCCAGACAAAGCCAAAGCTATAGTGTACAACGAGGTACGTATTACCTTTCAGATCAAAATAATACCTGCCATTAGCTACACGGGCAAATTGGGATTTTCTTTTGTCCTAGGGTTGTTTTCTGAAAGTGACCACAGCAATGGAAGCAAACCTGGGAATCATTGCAGGGATCTCTTTTGGAATTGCTTTCTTCCAGGTCTGTTTGACCCCATATCAAGTTTTCATGTTTTTACATTGTATAATCGAGCATTCTGAAAGTACTAGTAGTACAGACAGTAATTTTCTTCTCTCCCCACAGATTATAGGAATTTTTTTGGCCTGTTGTTTGTCCAGATACATAACCAATAACCAGTATGAGATGGTTTAACTGTGATCTTTGACAGGTGAGTTGTGTTTTCACATTCACGATTAGGCAGGCTATGACAATAATCAATATCAACAACCAAAAATGTTTTCATGTTGTCAGGTTGCTGTTTGGATTCAAAGAAACTCCTGTGATTTTATGCATCTGGCATTTTAGATAAAGGGATTCCTTCAGACGCTGCTTTTTAAAATACAAATTAGGGAAAGGAAAAGGTCTGGGTATTGTGAGTGAGACCAAAATGAGGGGAATTAGAGCGTTGAATTCCACAAGGGATATATTCACAAGGCATTACAATAGTATTTGTATTTTCCCCTGTTATATTTTCCAAAGTGTCTGTCTGTATTAGCTTTGCTGTCTTGTTCTTGTGGTTTATTTTGACACTATCTTAAGTTAAGTAGGTTTTGCCTTAGTTAAATCAAGCAGCACTCAATTGATTTTGTTTGAGGTGCCAGTCCAATATTGAGTGCTGCCTGTTAGAACTCATATGTGCCTTTCTGGTCTGCTCATATAGTTCAGTTATCAGTGTTAAAGCTCATTTCTTTCTTTCCTCAGCATGTAAAATACTTGAAAAATAAAAACAGACTCTGAATTAGATAATTTTGATAACCAGTGTCTGTGTGTGTGTGTGTGTGTTCCTCATTGTATATATAACCTGTTAATTAAAATAAGTTGCAACACCAATATGCTATGTTATCCTTTTGATGTACAGTGCACACACATACATGGCTAGAAAGGGTTGACAACTTAATTTCTCTCTCTTGATTATTAAATAAACCTTTGACCTTAGTATACTGATGGTTTACAGATTCTAATGTGATAACATCGTTCTCCACTGCATAGTATTTTGCCATGAAATATCTAAAATGCTTAACCTGACTATTTTTATGAGTGAGAAGACCCACCGACTTTTTGTATTTCAACAAAAATCTGCTGGCTCCATGTTTTATAATCGTTCTCATTCATGTCGTTATTACTAGGCCCAACAACACGATCAATCGTCATAAAAATAAAAAAATCAGGCAGATTTTTCTTGGTGACACCAGAGGGCAGTGTAGTACAAGAAACACACGGCCAAGACTACGGGGCAGCGGTCTTCATAATAAAACACAAGGAAAACCGTAATTTCCTAACAAACTACACATTATGCCGAAATTTGCATTGTGAAATATATATATCCACTGTTTAGACACCGTGTGGAGTTTTAATGTGCACAGGCTGACCACAGACTATATATAAATCATATATAGTCTGATGCTGACATAAAAAAGTATCGGAGCGGAAAACGTGACAAGTGCACCGGGTCCGGCTGCGGCCCTGGGTGCACCCTCCCGTACTCATATGTTTGATTGACAGCTGTGGTGATTGGTCAGCGTGGATCAGACGCTGTTAGACCCGCCTACAGGGTTTATGGTGGCCAATCAGCAGAGAGAAAACGCTGAAATGGGAGGGTCTATAGTGCGCCCCCCACCCTTGAACCGGCTGTCCTATATAAATACGATTGCGCCTGTCCGTTAGCTGGGGAAAATTTCGGCTTTCCTTCCTGGTGGGTGGTGTGAGGAGTTTGGATAAAACGGGGCTTTGAAAGCACGGAAAGATCCAACCTGTTACCTCGTGGTCCAGGTGAGTCCATATAACGTTATGTTTGTGTGTCCACTATCAATAATGCCAAAATGCTGCGTTGTACATTAACTTAAATTCTGATAAATGTTTTGAGTTCCTGTTCCTGGTTGTGAGAACCTCCTTGAATTTTGGTTAAACGCTTCAATAGCTGCAAACATTACGCATATTTAGCCTAGCTGTAAATCTACTGTGGAGAATGAAGGCTATACTTTTCTTTAGCGTGCGTTCGTGCCAATGTATTATGAAGCCTAACCCATTTCGCTCAAAATGACTGCTAGCGTTTTTTTGTTTGTTTGTTTTTTGCACTGTTTAATACATGCATATCAAATATTACAAAGTACAACTGTTGAGTTTGTTTATTCTTTGTGCAGATCAGCCACCAATCAGCTCTGCCTTAACTTCACCTGCCAGCCAAACTGTAACCAAGCGGAACTTAAGCCTTCAAAATGATGCAAATCAACAGCGACTCCGCCTGCAACAAGCACTCCCTCATCAACGTCATGCACCGCTTTATCGCAGCTGCCAATAACATGGATGAGACCATCATGGTGCCGAGCCTGCTGCGAGACGTGCCGCTGGAGGAGCAGGTGAAGAGCGAAGTGGAAACTAACAATAACGAAACACCATGTCCTAATAAGCAACGGGACATGTACGAGCACTACCTGCTGCTCAAGTCCATAAAGAACGACATGGAATGGGGTTTGCTCAAGAGGGAGATTAGCAGTGGAGCCAGCTTCCTGGAGATGGCGGTGAAACAGGAGGAGGAGCAGCAGCCAGTCATGGGAGAGCTGAATCTAGAGGTCAACGCAGACCTAGAGCACCAGTTTCATTATCACCTCAGGGGACTGTTCACAGTCTTGTCCAAGCTCACTGTACAAGCAGACCACCTCACCAACAGATACAAGCGTGAGATAGGAGGAGGAAATTTCATGAGATAATGGGCGCACCTGTCTGAACTGGTTTACACTTTGGGTTGTTGAGAAGGTGGCATTCTTCCCAACTGGTTTCAATGGACGGATAAGGACAACCACTCTGAATTTTCTAATTCAGTTGCACTCCAGACCCCCGTGCTGCTCTCCTGATTTCCCAGTAAACTCCTTTTTAAAACCAATGATGCCTGCATGGATGGTTTTGCAGCAGTATCAGTGCTTGGCAGAGGTTTGAGTCAGTCCAGATGAAGCACAGCTAAAAACAATTAGTTTAATTTCATATTTGACAAATGTCACCCTACTGTGGTCATGAATAAAAGGATCCTAATAGGAGAAAGATGAATGCTGGTTATTCGGTCCCTCCTCTTTTAAAGGTTTTAAAGCTGAGCTGATGGCTCTGAGCAGTCATTTCCACTAAGTGTTGCTGTAACATGGCGTGCCTTGACTTTTTGTATGTCATCTTCATGCCCTGTTCAGTTTCCTCCCATGTGGTTACAAATGTCTGAACTTTTAAGGTATTATCACATGTTGTTTTAAACTGTTTTATATTTTAAACACATTGCAGTTAAACTGAAATAAATAATTTGAAAACCCATTGCATCAGGTCAATGATTTTGATTGGACCGGCGTGTGCTCTAACATAGGACACCTTTGGTAATCCTAGTGCTGAAGGACTTAGGTGCTTTATTAAGGAGGGCTTTGGCTAAAGAAGGTTAAGTTGAACTAACTAAATGATCATGGAACAATTTGATTACTGAAAGACATGTAAATTCAGTTTGTCCCAAGTGAAGGTGGGGATTTAATGGTAAATGAATGACTGTTAAATGAAATCCTGATGTCACAATTAAACATGTCACACTCTGTTTTAATTTATTCCAGAGGACCATATATTCTTTATTGGTGTTATTAAGGTTTTAGGAGACTACCATTTACCTAGTAGTTAAAAAGGTTTGTATATCTGACAAAGTATTTGCCTGAGACTCCAGAACACCACTGCCCTAGCAACAGCTCCACCCCCACCAGCCAATCCGGTTGCATAGATTTTTTTTCCTATAAGAGTGATTAAGAGATCACAGTGAAGGGCATCCAGAAAGTGAATGAGGGCAAACACATTTGAACATTAAACAACTCAGAATGAGGCATATTTGCATAAATCTGCACTGTTTGCTAATATTTTTAACAATGGACCAGAGAAAAGGATGCGAAAGTGACACAGTTGGTCACTGTTGGCCCACTTTGATAAACTGGGTCAGATATATCAGGAACAGCTGGTCAGTCAATGCAGACTGGACTCTTCTGTTCTGTAAGGGGAAAATCCACAAAACTAATCCTAAATTCATTGATTCAAAGTATATTGTACTGAAGAAGTCATTTAATTTATTACAGTGAAGTGTAAAGAGTGTTAAGAAATTGTAGTTGTCTAGACCAGTGGGGTCACAAGGCATGAAGTGGGGATAGCAAGATTAGGATGAAAAAAATATGAAAATGTATTTAAACTAATGAATAGTTTGTGTTATCGGGCCAATTACAAGTAAGCCATTCTAAACCTGATTTTATATTTTATATTTTACATTTCTGCCCTTGAAACCTCAAAAGTTTGGAAACCCATAGTCTAGACTACCTTATATCACATAGATATCATAAAGTTTGTTAAACGTGCATATTTTTAATATTTGGTTTATTCTAGAGACTGACTGTGCAAATAGTTTATCAGCCTTCTGTGTGTGAGAGTACACATGTCACACTGAATATCTTGGGAGCAGTAGACTATTGCAACAGAATGTCTGATGATCTGATGTGTCTGGAGATTAAGATGTGCACAGTGTGCCACTCTTGTGCTCATAATTGCATAGCACATGCAGACATAAAGTTTAATCATTGATCCTCTCTTGATAGATATATATTTGGTGTGCATGAGCTCTGTGTGGTTGGTTTGGTCTCACGTCCTCCGGAGCATGTTGTTGTGTATGTGACCTCACCAGTGGTGGATAAGAAGTGCACTCTCCCTGCATGGGCAGTGCCCTCGCTACCACTGCTGCACTGTATGCTGCTCAAAGGCTATAAACTGTCTGTGACAGAAATAAATCTCATGACTTTGTAAGCCAGGTTGAGCTGACCTGATGCGAGTGCTGACGTGTGAGGACCAAGATCTTCTCAGATCAACTAGCTCAATACACACTCAGCCCTGGGCCACACCTTCAGCATGTTTGCTCTCACCAACCGAGAGGTGACACCTCTGTGATCCTTTAGCAAATATATGCACTGAGTACCCTTAACATTGTTTCAGTAAAGTCAAGAGAACTGAGGCGCTGTGCATCCAGGCTAACAGGAATAGGGAGGAATCATAAGTAGTGAGGAGGAGGTCTGTCTGCATTGTGCTGTGGGCTGAGGTTGCTAGGCTAACTGGTCTCATGTGGAGCTCCTTGCAGTCTGCATGAATAGTGCCTTGTACTGCAGCAGTAATAAGAACCTGCACGCTCACTCATATCATTAACATTTCTGTTTCAGTGTCTCCACAACAACAACATGTTTGCACACAGCACGGCTCAGGAACCCCTTTGGTTATACATACTGACAGTGAGCCAAGAATTATGTAAAACATCTTGGATGTTTCAATGTACAGAGTGTGCTCCTGCAATCATACTCAGTAGTTTTTACTGAACAGTACATAGTGTTATGCCATTTGCATAGGAAAGGCACAAGAACACTGCACAATTTGAACTGCCACGTTTTGTCATTTAGACAGTCTCTGCTCCAACCAGTGCAGTGTGGAAACCGCATCTGTCTGCTCTCTCTGCACTATCAGCATCAGCTCTTTTGTCTCGGTGCTGAGGAGACGGCTGGGAACACCATGTTCTCGCTCAATCTGGGAGTTTCAGCAAACATAGAGCTCCTAGTATTAAACCTCAAATTGTTTTTGAATACTGAAGCTAATCACCTTGGTGGGATAGTGACTTCTGCATGATGGACAATAGATCTTACATGTTTGAGAAACTCAAAATAACACAGTAATAAAGAAATACATGTAATACATAAATCCCTTTTTGATTTGCTTGTGCCAAAATGCCGATCATATGACCCAAACCTGCAATTATTCTTTTGTACTTTCTTTGTGCAGAGTATGAGCTGTAGGAGGAATGTATAGTACCCCTGTGAGGTTATGTAACAGGCCAGTGGGCGTGTGGTCCTGCCAGAGCAGCTTACAGCCTGACACCGAGCGTCTCCCCCCTCCCCCACACACACTGTCCCTCTCCTTTTGTGCAGATTACAATATTTAGGTCAGTCTTCTCTGGCACATACATTGTGAGAAGGCATCCGGTCATGAGGTTAGTATGGCAGCAAGGGAATCAAAACAACTGGCCAACAGCTAAGATCAGGAGCCAGATATGTGAGATTTTCTAACAGTACAGCACAACATAACAGAATAAGCTTGAGGAGCTAGTACAAGCAATACATTTTTATTTCTTTACTCACCTATATGAGAGATTTAACTACACAGCTATGGGTTTGGTGGATGGCATCAGGGGACATGTTCTCTCAATTCCCGAGATTAGATTCCCCATAAGCACATGTTCATTTTGGGTACCATAACAAGCTGCTACCAGCTGCTCCGCCACTGTGCCTCCCCTCAACTCCACCTAAATATGTATTGAATTAATTAAAGACAAAATAGTTTATATTTTATTATACTTTATAAGTAGTTAGCATCCAATCAGTAGTATGAAAATGTTTAATGTTTCAGTGTACTGTGCGTGAGCTCTTGCAATCATATTTTACATTTAACTATGAAGAAAAACATGTCCACAGTGTGCATAAACACGGACCCCTTGTGTGGGAAAAATTGTTAGAGCTTCAACTTGACTACATGAAGGTCCAAGATCAGCAGAAACACTGACCAATGTACAAGTATCAAATCCTCTCTAACAGAAACTTCTAGTGCTGAAGTGAGAGGAACCTTTGTACCTGGTGGCAAAGAAAAACAGTTTCAAGGCACTGGTTTGACTTTAATCAGAGCTGTGATACTATCAGATACTAAAAGTTACTAAAGATACTAAAGTTCTATGTTTGTGATAGGAACGTGCCCATGGCTCCATTTTATCTAATCTGCATGGTGAGGGCAGGACAATGACATTGCTGTTTAACTGCAGAACAGATCGCATTGTCTCCAGACATTGGGGGAGAGTGAGAAAGCACAGTTAAACATAATACACTTCTTTCAGTATTTGCTTTCCATTCAACATCCATTACAAAGTGATGATAATCTCACGTGTGATAAAACTAGATTAGGTTTCAAACTTGAGGCCCAAGGGCCATTTGCTGCCCATCTCCTCCATTGTTTAGCCCATGTAAATAAAAAAATTTGATTACATCTAACAATGTGACTCAAAAGCATGCTTATAAATATATATTTTATTATTATTATTTCTTGAAGACATTTTGCTAATGTATGAGAATAATCAATTTGTGGTACTTTTTGACTTGCTAATAATATCACATCTCCGTATGCAAGAGAAGAGTAAGGATTTTAGTGACCAAGGCCAAATTACGTGACTATCAATCGAAGCTTGGGGAGTTCAGATCTTAATGGCATGCTTTATCTTACCCATTACTCTCATTATGCATTTAAGCATGGAGTGGGCCAGTCTAAGCGCAAACAGGAGTAACATCACTCTTAACAGATTAGATAAGAGGTGGTTGAACTTTTAATTTCCATTCCACAATCTAAACAACAGACCATAGACTGTATGCTATAAACCATCTAACAGTATAGTTTTATTTACCAATGTTATTAAAAAGTTCAAATTGAAGCAATGTTGATTTCTATCATTGCAGGTTCCAGATTGTAACACATGTTTACAGCAGTGTTGTGAAGCAAGAGCTGTCTCCTGTAACATCCAGCTGGTATTGCCTAGCTGTTTTCTCCAAGGATATATTTAGATATGTCGAATGAGGGAGAGGCCTAGCAGCAACTTAAACATGCATGGTTCGTCTCATCTATAGAACTTAACACCAGCACTTGAACCAGATGACTTAGAAGTAAATGTATGAGGTGACTGCTGAAGAAAACAGGAAATCTCAAGAGGATGCTGGCGAAACCATAGTGTTAATTTGCTGTTCACAACAAAAGCCTCAGCTCTCAGGTCTCATAAGAGGTAAATCTGCTGTCTGATGAGCAACAATGCAGAGACTTTTGAAGACATTTCTTGGGGGATTCTAGGGATATCAAGATTATTATGGTAAAAAGCCAACTGTACAGTCCTGGCCATTTTAGAAGAAAAAATGTAGTTATTTCAATTCAGTTTAATCTCCGAAAATGTAAACCTAAATATATTGTGTTGTTTTTTTAATGTCTATTTATATCAGGTTCAACTATTTACTTTACTTTTGCATTAAGAAAAGTTTGATTTTCTAACAAAGGCCACGCAGGTGGTGGTGATTTCACTGTTTTGTTCTGTGTCAATAATGGTGTTAAATTGTGATGTTTCTTCTAGCAAAAATTATAACACTAACATTTTATATATTGTGACATCCCTACTAGTGGCACATTTTATATAATTGTTCACTTGTTTTAACATAAGAAAGGGAAGTATCTAGGCTACACTTAAGATGCAAGCGAGCAGGACATGAACGTTACATAAGCTGATTCAACTGCCATTAAGAAAACAGAAGTCCTCTCTGAACCCACACAGGTACACAAAAAAAAAGCTCATTTTAATGACTTAATTCTATTTAAGAGCTATTCCCACAAGAGAGTGTTGTGCAGGTTAGACAGGACTCATTTTTCAACAGTATGGGATGTTGTTATGGAAAATATGCCGCACCCTGCTCTTCATATTCTATCTCCATATACGAACAATGGGGAACTCCTCTAGACTGGCTGGCCTTCCTGTTTCCATGTCAGTCTGTCAGTAAACCCAGTACAGACTTGCCCTCCTTTTGGTCCAATCATGGGGGTTGGTCTGGAGCAGGAGTCCAATGAAAGGCAAGGACCCGCAGAGGCTTGGTGAAATGGGAGGGTCTTGAAAAACTGAACTTTATATTATGTAATAACTTTGATTTACTGGACACAAAGAAATATGATCCAGTAACTAACTACACTAGTTAGGCTAAAGTGACTAAGCAATATGTGGTAAATGCTGCTTATGAGTAAACTGAAATATGAATGAACTATGTTAGTTAATATATATTTAGATTGTAACCCCCTTTGAAGTGAATGAACTGCAGTAACCCAGTGCACTGTAAAAACCTGCTGCACTCTGTGACCCTCTGCCTGGTTGTCACGTCTCACAACAATAAAATAATAACCTTTCTAGGTCAATTACGGTCCATGGTTTAAATTACACATGTTCAAAATCTTAAGCTGCCAAAAAGAGTTTTCATCTCAACTTGCCACGGTTTACCCATAGGGTATTTGTTTGTCCTAACATGTCCTATTATGATGTTACCTCTTGGTATTCAATCCAGTGACTCAACCCATTTCAGTGGTTACAACAGTCTTTTAGAAACCAAGGAAATCATAATCTCTGTGCTTGTCATAGCGCTTCCATGGATTTCAGAATGATGAAATATTAGGACAAGTGCCATAACAGTTTGAAACAAATATGATCTTTTGAGAGGAAAAAAGTCCTCAAAAATGTTGCATATAGCACGAAGTTCGAGCCTATGAATATACATTGCATAAGTAACAGTAATATTACTATAATGTTACTCAGTAAGTACATGAATAGATATGAACATGTAGCAGGTGAAAGACGGTTTCCTTTTTTCCACTAGAGGGAACCATCTTTCACCTGCTACATGTTCATATCTATTCATGTACTTACTCATGTACTAAACATTTTCTTTATTTTTTTTATTCAAGCGGCAGAGTGAACCAAACATTCACATCTAAAGTTTCTCCTTTGTTAGATGATTATGGTCACATTTTGCCATAGTGCCAAGATTGGCAGGACAGGACTTGTCTGTGTGGAAGTATCAAGGTGCAACTAGCATAAAAATGATTCACTATTAATTACAACCTGCTTAAGGGTTGTGCTTACTTATATCACTAGCACGTGTTTTAATACTGTGGCATTTAGTTATATTTACCATTAAGTTTAATCCATATCTACAAAGTTAGCCTAATAATAACACTAATAGACATAGGATAAGCTTATTGGATTCACAACCATGCTTTATTCTTGTTGATTTCTTAAAAAAAAAAATCAAATAAAACTTTGCACTGTTTTTCAGTCGGCTTTTTTCTTGCTTTCTTCAGCTTAACAATATTTTCTTACATCTTTAGTCTCTTCATCTTAAATATTTAGTTTGTGACTTCAAACCAAAACTTCATTGATTGTCAACACAAAATCTTTTTCAGCACCAGTACACTAAAACTGTACTTTTAGCCTTCTTGAAATACTGTTTGAACATAGGAGCAAAGCAATTCTAAAAAGCACATTTGAAAATGAAGCACCAACCATACAAATGTCTCAATACACTTGTCAGGTATACAAGAGGTCAAATATATTAATGACTATTAAATTAAGCACAACAAACAAAGTAAAGAAACACTGCAACACAAAGCACTCCTCCTTCTCCAAACACTTGAGGAGATGAGACAGTCGTGACGGCATGTGCACTGGACTGCAGAGATCCACAGGAACTAAAGAGTTCAGAACCAGAGTGGAGGACTGTGCCACACCTCGCACCACAAACACTCACATATAATTGACTTTCACAAACGACTGCCTCTCATTCTGTAAGATGTGGACAACATAATGTTCCCTAATGTCAAGGACTTAATGAATGAGCAGGATTTAATGGAAACCATAGAGGCCAATGAGTAACCAGTTTGAATACTATGCATCACAGGCTCTTCTTGCAGGGCTCATGTCTTGAAGGTGGACAGAAAACCTCAGGTCTGCAGTTTAGCTCACCTAGCAGGCCTCTAAACAAGACTTACATCCCATCAAAAATAAAACTTTCACACAGGCCCAAACACAAGTCCAAAACAGAATCCATCCCTTGCCACAAGAATACATTTATAAAACCAAATGAGTTAACCCTGATGGCAAGATATGCATATACACTCACATGTACATAATTGTAAAAAAGGTTACCTAATGGTGTATTCAAATATACCTATAGTTAGGAACCTGAAAGCTGCTTTCCAGTACTGACCACTCCTATGTGCAGGTCCTTACGTGTTGTGATCACTTAATCACCTTCTGGCAGAGGTCAGAGGTTATAGGCGGGGGTCAAGTCATTATGGTTGGTTGGGATTAAACCAACCTTTAGCAGACAAGCTTGCTTTAAACAAGTACTTGTAAAAAATGGATGTAGTTGTCTGTTTGCTGGTTGGAGGCTACCGGCTGCGTAGTTTCCCTGTGTTAATAAATTTGTCCTCATTTGCCTCCTCCTCTTCCTCGTTGTCCTGAAGGATATAAATAGAGGAGCCTAGTAGTTTCTGAAGTTCAGGCACACACCGCACCAGATCCACATGTCCTTCCTCTTCTTCCTCCTCCTCCTCATCAGTGTCTTTGTTCTGACCTTTGTGCGATGATGCCAAAGCGGGGCTCACCTGGCTCACGGAGACCTGCTTCATGAGCTCTGCATGAGGCAAACTCACCACCTCCAAGTGTGGGAAGCGTGCCCTGAATATTCTTGCTGACATCTTCACACGTTTTAAGACATCGGTCAGGAGGAACCAGTTGCAGAAACTGATAAGAAAAAATGAAATATCAGAACATACATAAAATAGTATGGTATTAGATATTCTATTTTTCTATATCTCTCTTTGTATATTTTTATAGATTTTGATGTGAATGGATTACTCTTATTCTCACTATTACAATTACTATGTACTACTTTTTTTCCCCAATAAGTGAATAACTTAAGATGTTGCTCTTTTGAACAGGAAGTAAACCCAGGTCAAAGTTCTGCTTAGAGAAGGCTCAGTATCAAAATCCAGTTTAAAATGTATTGGATATTTGTGACATATCAAAGTACGTGTGATTAAGGCGCTGTGCCTGCAGGTGTGATGTAGACTCACCCCTGTGTTAGTGACACTTGGACGTGATAACAGGGAAGCAGAGGCTCAGAGGAGAACTCAAACACAAGGCAATCTTTGTCATGGTCCTTCTCTGTCCTCACACCCATGTCCTGTTCCAGATCCTGGTTTTGCTCCGACAGCAGGAAGTCCCAGCATGGCTCCTGCTCTGTTTCTGTGAGGAAAACAAGTTTTATTCCTATTTTACTAAGCTAGTTAAAGGCACTCTTTGGCGAATTTGCAATGATTCAAATGCAGAGCTCAAGTGCCCCCTAGTGGACATCATGCAATATTAAAAATAATGACACTATTAAAGCAGAGCTCTTAATGATAATGTAAGTTTTTATTTATTTATTTAAGCTATACCAGCTTGTCAAAGCCTGATCCCATCAGATCTCAGAAGCTAAGCAAGGCCGGGCCTGGCTAGTACTTGAATGGGAGACCACCTGGAAAATCAGGTGCCACAGTGGGGTGCCAGTCTCAAAAAAACTGTTGTTGTGTCCTTAAGCAAGGCACTTTACCCACATTGCCTAGTATGAAAGTGGTGTGTACGTGAGTGATGGTGGTGGTCGGAGGGACAGATGGTGCCAATTGGCATGGCTGCCACACTTCCGTCAGTCTGCCCCAGGGCAGCTGTGGCTACAATAGTAGCTTACCATCACTGGGTATGGAGTGAATGAATAATACTCTGGAAAGCATCTTTGTGACATATGTCTGTGAAAAGCGCTATATAAAATAAAAACTTACAAGACTTAATAATAATGCTAATAAAATAATGCTTTATATTTTTGGTTAATACACTGAGCTAACACTTTTTTTGGTCTGATTTGGACAATCAACCGCTCAAAAATGAAATAAACCAATATAGCGTTTCTTACCAAACAGAGTGCTACTGTAGAAATCCCAATGTAGACCTGGGTCGTGCTCACTTCGGCCTTGCAAATCAGTAAAGTATTCTGCATTAAAAAACAAACAAAAACAAAAAAACATGTTAGGAGGTAAGAAAATAAAATGTGTACTTCACTGTAGAAAATAGTGTTAGGCCCTTGCCTGATAGAAAAGTCTTCATGCTTGAGCTGTGTGCCAGTTTCACTGGGGTCTGGCCGGAGTAGGTGGCCAATGTTGGATCTGCTCCATGATTTAAAAGCAACCAGACGATTGCCAAGTTGTCACTTGCCACAGCATCATGGATAGGTCTGAAGAAAAACAAAGCACTTAGTACAGTAAAGAGCCCAGTAAACATTTAAGTATAAAAAAAAGAAAGGGGAAAAAAGGTCATGTTACAACCCCTAAAGTTCAGGTATACTTCATTCATTCTCAGTAATCAATCTCTACATTTCATCCAACCTATAACCAGAGCACTAGAAACCTGTCAGGAGGAGTGAGCCGCTACGGCACAACTCGCATGGACCCGTCTTGAGCTAAGTCAGGATTACTTAAGTTGGTGAATTTGACCTATGCATAGATCTACCTGTATGTGTACGTTTTAGGTTGATGGGGGAGACTGGAGTGTCCTGAGAAAACCTACCCAGACATGGGGTGCAGTATACAAATTCTGCACAGAAATTACCCTTCTAACCCTAAGCCTAACCAGGGAGAACCTCAAAACCACACAATTATATAAGAATTTTACTCTTATATCTTATTGTTATTGCTGTATTTTTCTGAAGTACATGATCATGTGTTGACAACTTACTTAAATCATTGAACTGATTGCAGCAATAGAAACTCTATTACATTATATTTATGTATATTTCAGTTTGATCTTTTAAACAGTCTTGTGTTTTATTGTACCAAGAGGAAAATGTGCAAGATCTTTGTCTTCAAATTTGTCAAATTTGTGTCGCAGGCATGTTGTTAAATTAAATTATTAAATGATCTGTGAAATATAAACTCATGTAAAACTAGTAAGGTCTATGCAACGCTTTCCAGCTGTCTTACCGTGTCCCATCCTGAGCGCTGCAGTTGACGTCAGCTCCGTTCTTAAGCAGCAATTGAACTATCTGGACCCAGCCTCGAGAAGATGCCTCATGCAGTGCTGTGTAACCGGCATTGTCTTGGCGGTTCACTTCCCGTTGGTCCTTTTCTAGACAGTATTGAACTACATCCTGAAAAATTAAAAGGACAAACAGAGCTTGATGGAAATATAATCACTGCTTCAGTATTAGTAAAGCGTTTACTCTATAAATTAATCACTTTTTTAAAATCCTGCAAAACTCACTTGATAACCCAAACGAGCAGCACGTTGCAATAAAGTCTCTCCAGCATTTTTGTTGACAATGAGCCGGCGCACCTCCGGGGGAATGGCCCTTTTGGGGGGTGACTCTGAGGCACTATGTTTTCCTGTTGAACCATTGATATTAGAAAGAGGTGATGGCAAATTTTTAGGAGATGCTGGAAGGCTGGCTGCTTTTTTAGCTTCACTGCACTCTTCATCCGCCATGCGTGAGCCACTTCTCTTTCCCAGACTACGCTTAGGATTTATCTAAAATGAAGATGTACAAGTTATAAATAGCACTTACCATGGAAATTAATTAAATGCTCGTCCATGTCATGGGAGTACGTTTCAATTACCAGTGAGCAACACTGAATGAGCTGCCCATACACAAAATATGACAGCAGTCTGGCCACAAGGGGGCACTACAAACTAAAACTTTTACAGGCTGTTGACTGGATTACCTTGTATTCATCAGTGGGACACAAGTGCTTGCTTTTGAACTTCCTCTTCCCTGAAGGTTTGTCTGTGCTCTCTGGAGAGTCCTCGCGCTCCTGGTAGCACACTGACCGAGACAGTGAAAGTCTTCGGGGTTCACGGCTGGATGGAGGAGGATTCAAACACTTCTGCAAATCTAGAAAGATTGTGTTAGTTTCAATAAGACAATACAACGGCATACTATCTTTCCAAGAGCAATTCTTATAGACAGTTGAAGCTTAGTAAAGATTCAGCAATGAGTTACCTGCTGCATTGTCATGATCTTGACTGTGCAGAACAGATTCATGTCGGTGCTCTCCATCACCCAGTTTGTCTTTGTCAGTGATGTAATCCCCAGTTTGATACCTCTTGTTTTTGCAGCGTTGCCGTTTCCTATTAACAGGACCCTCTGTCTCTGCACTGGTGTTTTTGCCTTTGCCCTGAGCCCCTCGCTGTGGCAGAGGAGTTGAGCGTGGGCGCCCTCGGGGCCGCCGAGGTGCCTGTGGTGGAGTTGGAATAGGAGAGGCTGGAGGAGGGGGTGTTGGTGGTGGAGAAGGAGTGGCAAAACCCCACAGGTCAAGTCGAGACTCATCTGTCCGCCGTCGCCCTCTCCTCAGTCTGGGAACACGCTGCTCTGTCGCTTCAGCTTCTTTATTCGCTCTGATGGGACTCTTTGCTTTTTGGAGACGGTAGTTGCCATCTAAAACTCCAAGAAAATGTTGATGTAAGCCATGGTGTGAGTACTCTTTCTTGAATATTAGAGAAAGGTGCAGTTACCCATGTGTATGCTGAATGGCAAGCAAATGGTTTTATTTACTTGGCATATACTTAACAAGAGTATTATAAATAAATATTAATAAACCTAACAGAAAAGCTGTACCATTAACATGATGTGTGCGCTCAACACACAGTATCCACCAAGTCCACAGTGTCTACATCTACATCTACAGTATCATATTCAGACATTAAAATGCCACAGATAAACAGTATATTGTATAAGCCCAGATCAGGCATTTGTTCTGGATTAGATATGGGGCAAGGGATCTGAGGATCATGAGACCAATTCATTGGTCAAACTGCCTACCTGACCTGAAGGTCAGGGGTTTGAACCTTCCTCCCACTAGTGCTACTGTCATTGTGCCCTAGGACACTTCAACTGCCTTGCTTCCAGTTAGGCCTGTGATGATAATTACTTCTGACTTTATCATTCAGTAAATGATGGATGGAATGTCTTAAAAGCTGTATATACACTCAATTCATGATGAACATGTCCAAAATTAGGTCCCCATGATGCTTATTCGATCAACATCATTTTTAGTTAAGATATGGTTTAATATAAGTTCAGCTTAGGGTTTAAGTTGAAGTTAAACAAGAAATCAGTCTTCAGGAAATTAATGCCATTAGGGACGTAATTCCAACGAGTGAGTGTGTGTGTGTGTGTGTGTGGGGGGAGGGGCTATATAAAATGAGATGACTTACCATTTAATTATTTGAGTTTGAATGTTTATGGGTGAATGCTACATGCAATGATAATATTTTGTTAATAATTCCTGCAGCTCCATGCAATGCAATGTTTACCATACTTTCAAGCTTTTAAATCAGCACAGAATATCCAATGTAAAAGTGTTTGCAATGGGACTGACATCTGGAGTGCATCTCTATAAAAGACTATAAAAGACAATTATTTTATTTATTTTTTACTCTGTAGAATTGCTTACCTGCTTTAAGGCATGGCTGTTCAAGCTTTTTGGGACTGCTCTTGACCACTGGTAAGTCATCTCCATGCTGAGAAAGTTGGTTTGCCAACAAACTTGGCTGCAACACAAGATTGCTTTGTTTTTGCATTGCAAATAACAGTATTTAAGGCTAGCAATAAAGGTGCATGTGGGAAATGCAATTTATAGTATATGTTGAACAAAGACTAATATAAGTTTCAATTTAAAATGAAAACAAAAATACAACAACAAAAACTGCCCAAAAGAAATATAGAGCTTGGCATAGGGTCATCACACATAGACTTTTCAGTTAGTCAAATGTTAAACCAATGGAGATTTTAAGATGCCAAATACTAGTTCACTCCAACGTATTCTGACACAATTATGTGATAAGTGTATTCAAATACATTGTTTTTGCTAATGTATCTCTATGGATGTTTTGCATGTCAGGCCAATTTCTAGCCAGTAATGTACAGTTTTTGACGTTCAATCCCAAGCTCTATAAGCAAATCATATAAAACGTACCTTTTTACTGGGAGAGGCTTTTATTGGCATGCCATCTGAGTGAATTTGCTTCTTAACCTTTAATGTGGCCTTCTTTGAGGAGACAACTGGTGAATTCAGTAATTTCTTGGGTCTTTGTTTCTTTGTTTTTTGTTTGATAGGTGCAGCTTTAGTTTTGATTGGAGACATATCATTGACTCCATTTGATTTATTCTCAGTGCTGCTGCCTCCCTCTTCACAGCAGCCAGTAACATTAGATGCAACAGTCCCCTCCAATTTTTCAGGAGTTGAAATATCTGGGGATCCCTTGTCTCTCTTCAGTATCTCCCCCTCCAAAACTTGGGCTAATTTACTCTCCATCCTGTTCCCAGATAATGAATTATTTTCAATGACTTTGGATTTGATAGTAGATTTTAAGATGGTCTGCTTTGTTAGTGGTGTTGTATGTTCTTCTTGACTGCTCTGTATCGCTCTGGGATCGTCCATAGTCTCAGTGGCATTTGTTAACTTTTCAAGTTTCTTTACTGCCTTGGTTACATGAGATACATCCCTTTGAGAGGTGGAGGGCCATTTCTCCACCGACCATACCGGTGGAGTCTCCAAATTATCTTTACATTGAATATCTGGATTACCTTTAAACTTTTCTAGATTGTTGGTTTTCCTAGATGTAGCAGGTGGGGATTTAGCATTTCCTTCACTTACAAACATTGCTGTATCCAAAGACTGTTGCTTTACAATAGAAGCAAGATTAGACAGAGGAGACTGAATTTTCTGCCACTTATCTTCTGAGCTGGGCAGGCTGTAATCTGCATTCTTAGATTCATCAAGGGCTGGCGGGTTCTTGCTCTTTGGGGATGCTGATGTGTTTCTTCTCTGAAGTGTCAAAGGTTGTTGTGAGAAATCTTCTGGCTGTTGCCAAGAAGGACTGACAACAGTAAGAGGGTATGGTACAGCCATTTTGCCACTTCCAGATTTAGGGATCTGTTTATTTGCAGAGCTAGATTGAGCCAAAGTCAGGGTAGCTTTGGAGAGACACTTTGCTGGGATTTTTGTGCTGGTGTTTTTGACACTCTTCAGAGAAGATGGCTTATGTTCCTCTGAGGCCATATGCTCTCCTTGGTCAATAATGGAAATAAACTCCTGCTTTGCAAAACTCTGAAATTCATCAGCAAAAGTCCCTTTGCCATCTTGGCCTCTAAGTGTTGATGCTAAAATGGGGCTTGCCACACCTACATATGTGCCTGGAATATTTTTGATGGGGTCTTGTGAAGAGCCTTTTGACCAGCAGGGTTTGGCATCCAGAATATGAGCATTCTGTGGTGCCCTTAATAGTTTTTGATGAGATCCATTTCTGTGGGTGTGAGGTAAAAGTGGATACTGCACAGGAGAACTGAACGTTGAAGAAAAAGTCCTTTTTGAACTGACAAAATTGTTTTGATTCAATTCATCTTTAAAAGTAATTGCAGGGCTTCCTGAAGGGTCTTTTATGCATTTAGGACGTTTTGACTTTGCAGATAAATCAAGTGGTACATCCCTTGACTCATTTGAGCATGAAGTCCCCTGGTCATCTGAACTCGGGGGGATACTTGAATTCATCAGGGTTATGGTTGTCATGTCTATACTGTTGCTTTTGTCTATGGAGTTCAACAGTCTGCCCTGAGAGGCGAGGTTAGCTAGTGCAGAGCCACAGCAAATTGCTGCAGTTGGGGACATAGTGTAATGGGTGGGGGCAAGAGATGTTAATGACGGATGCTGCACTGGGAGTGCAATAGCTGGTGAGGCTACCACAGAAGCTAAAGACCTGTGCTCTACTGATTTAGAGTTCTTGTTTGACAAATGGCTTGATTTTTGTTTTGAGGTGCATGCATCCACTTTTTTGTCAGACGATGAGGTCCGACCTGCAGTAAAAGGATAGGGATAGGTCCGTATTAAAGGTGTCCCACCAGAGCTTTGTGGCTGAATTTTTTTCTGAAACTGACTTGCTGTTGCTTCTCTCAAAGCAGCAATCTGACCTAGTGCTGGCGGAAGAGTAATTTTACAAAGGGAAGAAAAATTAGCAGAAGGGAGGAAGGCAACAGACTGGGTTGGTTTAAATATTGTGGAACAATGGAACCCAGGAGGAGCACTTTGAGACTGCATTTGTGTCTTTGACTGGTTACTAGATGTCATGTTGCTGTGACAGGGGCTCAGTGATTCTTCTCCATCAACTTTGACACCACTCGACCACTGAGGAGAAGAGAAAACTCCAGTGTTGTCGGCCTTAGTTTTAGGGACGTCAGTCCTTTTGTCTGTTGCAGTGAGAGCTGAGCATGCCACAGGTGCACTGTTGAGCTGTTGAAGAGAAGAAAGCCCAGTACTGTGGTTGTAAGTGTCCAAGCTAGTTTTTAATGTCTTGGCATTTTTTGCAATGGTCTTGTTCTGATGACTGAGGGTAACATCTCCTCTAAATTCAGGGGGTAGTGTCTGGGGGGGATTTCCCACCATAGTTGTGCTGACTTTATTTGGAGCACTGATCTCTCTGCTCACCGTTCCTCCATCCCCAACATTCATCAGTGTGGGATCCACCTAAGAATAAAATAAAATTAATGAAAACAATGGCATGGAGGCTAAAGATGCCAGTATTTCCAATAAATGTTAAAAATCACCTGCATAGGTATTTTTAAGACAGCATGCTTCAGAGTACAGCAGAATCATTTATGTAGGTTTTCTTCAACTTTTTCATTAACTGCACAAAAGGAAAAAGGAACAAATTGCAAACTGTAAGATTGTGTACAGTGTAAATTACACAGAATAAAAGGATTTTATTTAATATCATATAAAGTCTTAAGACCCATTTAATGCAATTGTAATTAATTTACCATCATTAACCAACTACATTTTACTTATCCGGCCTAATCACAAGATTTGTATTATCAAAAGCATAGAGGTTTTACTGAGATTTCATACTAGCATTTTTCAATTTGTTTAATGTGTTGTTCTCACTATGTCTGTAAGTTTGGTTACTTCACTGACGGATGATCAGTGAGCTAGAATACTCTTATATTTGCACTGTATTTTACCTCAAACATTTTCAAATTTTTGCCACTAAAAATCAATCTTCTAGTTGCCATTACAGTTTGTGTACACAAATTAATAAAATTATGAAACTCTTTAATGCAAACTGTAACCAATATTAGTTAGCTGATTAGAGTTTATGTGTCTCAGTACAGATACGAGATCTTAGTAAAAGAAGCCACTAACAATATGACGGACAGACAAGTAATATAGAAGCATCTAAGAAACTCCAGTGAGGCAGACAGCGATTCAGTGCAAGGCTGGCAACACATTAATACACGTGTTTGCAGCTTCTTTGGATTTAGCTGTCCCAATGAGCAGTGAGCACCACAACATTTGAATGCAGGCCTAAAATGAAGGACAAGTCTTATGCTGGCAAAACTGCCAAAACATAACCCAGTGGTCTCAACATCGCCACACCAACACTGTCCTACTGCTACACCTCCTGTTAACTGCGCGCACGAAGACCATAGACTATGAAGTCGCATTCATTTTTCCAATAATAAAAAAGTAGGTTGAAATGAAACAGGTGTTTAGGTTGAGCAAAAAGTGGACTCAACTCAAACATTTATTCATCAAAATAGTTAAGTGCTGGAAATCAGACGCACATCGACGGTTCGCGGCTCACGGTCGCAGATGCTTGGGGCTGCGACGTGATGGCCCATCGTGGTAATCCGTCACATCGCAGATAAGGTGAGTCAACAACCCCAATGTACAGAGGCACACAAACAATACACAGCACAACAATCAAGTCATGATCAAACCATCATCCTGTCACTCATGAGCCAGTAGTCTAACATGTTTTTACAGCTTTCCAAAACGGAACAATCAAACGCACTTGCAGATAGCCGATCATCATTAGTGAAACTGAAGCAGGGCGGTTTGACTTACTTGACAAATAAAAGTATTAAAATAGATCAAAGATAACAGAGGTGTGATCACAACTTATTACATGGGGTCCTCTGCGGAGAGGTCAGCACTACCACGAAAAGGGGGCAAACACAACAGTGAAGTGTTCAGTGAGCGCCCACTGCTCGGATAGCCTACTGGTCTGAGAAGCTGTCGCTACTCAACGTGTTGAGGCAGGCTACGGAGAGGCTATCTATCCCCGGCCGACCCTTTGCGAGTGCTCTGTGCCTCATTTCGGCCCTTGCTGGACTGACTTAACCACTTCGGCGTTGAAAGGCATTCACCTCCTCTTCGTTCTCTCAAATACTCCCTAGCTTCCTAAATACTGAAAAGCTAGGACAAAATAAAAGCTATGTAGTGACTGAAACAGTTACGAACCGCTCGTCCAGATGGCATGTGAACGACGCACTGCACGACTCTGATCCGACTGTGTCTGTCCAGCCTTTCGCCGCTGCCGTCCGTGGCTGCTCACTAATCTCGACGCTTTTCGGTTCTCAAAGTCCGGGGGGCGGGAGGCAGGGAGGGAGGGTACAGGAGGAGGGGAGGTGGGGGGTCGTCAAGACGGTCCGTTTCGTATCTCCAGTCTCCAGTCTGGAGGGAGCGAGAGAGCGAGGGGGGCGAGCGGTGAACGCATGGGAGATGTAGTGCTTGCCTATCCACGCCCAGGATTAGACGCTGAGGAGGCAGGGAGGGGTGAGGACTGCAGGTACCGGCATGCAACGCGAGCTCCAGCGGCTCAAGGGGAATGGGGGATCGTAACCAGAGTGTAACGGTGCGCTAAAGTGCAAAGCCTTATCGGGGTAACGAAGTAATAAACTATGTTTTTGAAAGCTGGGACGGGCCCAGTGTCAACGAACCATATTTTAGACGCCATGGAGGGTAGAGTGAGTAGGAAAGACGTTAAGCAGTTTAAAAATTAAAAAGAGCAACCCTACAATCAGTTGCATCCTGAAAACTGAGGAGCCTATACTCCATAGGACTTTAATTCATTTTTTTAATTTATTAGAAATCATAGTCTACCACACGTTTTAACAACAAACTGCTTATCATTTCACAAAGCAATTCATATGTTGACAAACAGGTCTGCACAAGCACAACTGGGGTTATATTAATGAAGGAAGCTACTTTCAGTAGCCTACTTTTTTCTTTTTTTTTTCCATTTCAAGGCCTACTCCTGTCAACACTAGAATACTAGGAGTAGGCCTTGGTTCCCCTGACACACACTTATCTTTTTACCGGTGTACTTTATGTGGTAAATCCCTTACACCAAGAAACACATTTCCTTGACTAGATGTGAGGAAATGCCCATGCTCCACGCTGCAGGTGTTGTATGAGTTTGTTTACCTCTGTGCGTGCTCTCAAGCAGCGCGAACTACAGACCTATCCATCGAGCGTACAACTACTTCGCTGCTGTCTTTCGTGGACCAGTGTGAGAGCATGCGTCCTTCGTCATGGCTGTCTGCAACGGCATCGATAGATGACAACATGTTACACAGGAAAAGGATGAAAGTTGAGGCCGGTGAACTCGTTAAACACTTTCAGGGCAAAACTGGAGGTGTGAGCGAGCGGCAACTTAAGTTGACACATTGCATTGTCTGAGCGGGGCAACCGGCCGGTGACCCTTTAGTGTAGGGGCCAGTAAGGTTTGCTCCAGTCAGTGTGTAGAGGACTAAGAGTGAATTCTCCAAAAAAAATTCTTTGTGCAATTATGTCATATAAAAAGCGCAGGGAGATCGCACCATGACAACCGCGAGAGCACAAATGAAGCCACGCACTCCCGCGTGGCTTCATATAAAAATATTGTTCTTAAACTTAGGTTGACGATGATCACCTAGATCTAGATTCTAGACACATTGGAGGTTATCAAGCCTATCTAGGCCGCCATGCTTAACGTAGACGAGTAGCCTATGTCCCGTGCAACTTGGTTGTTCACGTGGTAAATGTCCTGATTTGGGAAGAGGCACGGTGGGTGGACGGGGAAACTATAGACTACTTCTCTAATGATGTAATAAGTGATTAGTGGTGAGATCAGATATAATTAACAACGGCATGCGCTACAGCCACTGAAGCCGGGTGATGTCCTCTTTCCCAGGTGAAAGGCTCAACACATCGTCAGCTGATGAAATGCAGTGATCAAAATTCACTTGTGTGTCAGCGTCTGGACTGCCGTCTGCACCCACAGCCTATCTGCGCGGAGAACACATTAGTGTTGTCATCTTGACAGACAAGAGACAACTTGACTCCATAGCCCACATATGACACGATTCTGCACAATTCCGCGGGATTCCAGCAAGACAGCGTTCTACTACACGCGAGGCACAAATACAGATATGCAGGTCAAAGTTTGTCAGAGTTTTACTCACACTCAGGATCTGAGTGCAGTGCCCCCTTTAATGCCCCCTGCTCGCCCGTAACGCCTTTGTTATTAGTAATCGCATGGTATTGCACCGTCTTACCTTGCGCTCCGTGCTGATTTCAGTCACAGCGCATGCAAACAGAGCAACAAGCTATTGTTGTCCTCACATGGCTTGCACGCGCGGACAGGGATTGGGTTTTAAAGTAAGAAGAATTCTGAATGCAATTTTGGCTTCTCCTCGCCTTCTTTCCTTATTGCCAGTTTTCAGTCTGCAGCAGCTGGAGAAAATCGCGCACCCAGGGTCCTAGCGCCGAGGAAGCCCTACAGGTGAACAGGCTCCAAATACAGCTGCGCGGAGACTTGGAGCTTTGGACGCAGGAGGCTCCTGCATACCCCAGAAGCTCGCGCAAAAGTGACAACAGCCACAGACAACGTGAACATCCATCACCTGCAAGACATACTCGTAAAAGTACTATTTTTTATGGTCAGTGCTCACAGTCATCAAGGAGACTGCAGCAATGAACTTGGCTGCCTGACTGTCATTCGTAGCTCAATTTGTACAATGGCTTATGACATATGGTTATTGTGCAAATTAGTGCCATTTGGAAAAAAAAAAGTTGAAATAACTTAAATTGAATTAATTGTTGTAATTTTGCCATTAGTATTTTGCCAAATTCAAACAATTAAGTTTACACAGGTATTTAGTGGTATACAACTAACAATAGACTCTGAAAACATATTGATACTTTGCAGTGGCATCATGCAGGGGGTGTGCTACATGTATCTCCAATAGTGGAATGAGTTACCATGGTGACACAATTTACACATTAGTAAACACTGTCCAAAAAGTTTTAAGATTGTCTGAAAACTCAAGAAAAAACATAAACTGGATTTTAAAAACACATTTTCAGTAGCTTGTGATCAATACAAGCTTCCACAGTTGTGTAGGAATTTGACTTTCAACAAAAATGGTGAGTGCGAGTAACTGAAAAACTGTTGGCTAATGCTAGCTAACTTATGACTCAAATTTCATAATTTTTGTGAGACTTGTTTAGAAGCACAACTCAGCTCACTTGTTGTTCCAGCTAATTCAGTTATAGTCTGATTGTGTTAAAACAATGCAAAGATTAAAGTCTAATAAAGCCTCAGAGAGTGAGCAGAGCCTACAGTTAGCATTACACCCCCAGGGAATATTGATGTCTTCAGATGCAAACTATCAACAGGCTATGTCCCAACTGTAGCCAGGGGGCATAATGTGGGCTACATTCTATGTTTGTTGTGTGATGAGTTTGACTCTGCTTTCTGTTTGTCTAATTTTGGGACAATCCAATCACAGTCACTAACTTGTAGTGCATGTCTCTCAAGAAGACATCTCCTCATGAATATCCTCATAGATTTACAACAAAATGAATACATACCTCCTCCCCCACTGATTTAAAGAGTTCTTGGGCTGTAGTCGACTAAGGCTATTCCTTGTGTAGTCGACTTAAAGGGGGTGTGGTGCGAGCTCTCAAAAACAGTCAGAAAACAAAATCTGACCCAGATTGTACCTATACAATGCAATATCAATGAAATCAGAGAAGAACTCACTCCAGGCCTTCTTCTTTCTGCTGTGCCCATTATAAATCCCTGCTATAACACCAATAAAATAATTATTAATACAAACTTTTGGGCAGCATCAACTGATTAATTCACTGAACAACAAAAGTCCTACAGAAGTCAGTGCTTTAGTTGTTGATTCTGCAAAAATCAACACTGTTTCTCAGTTCTTTGGGCTGTTACACCTGTGCAACAGCACAGAGGTACTGATCCTGGCTGCACAGGAGCAGGCCCAGGGCACTCGAGCAATAGAGGCCCAGATCTACCACACCAGACAAGACCCACGGTGTAGACTGTGCAAAGAGGCTCCTGAGACAGTCCAGCACAGAACTGCAGGGTGTAAGATGCTGGCAGGGAAAGCATACATGGAGCGACATAACCAAGTGGTGGGCATAGTGTACAGAAACATCTGTGCAGAGTACGGGCTGGAGACCCCAGGATCAAGGTGATAAACACCTCCAAAGGTTGTGGAGAACGACTGAGCCAAGATCATGTGGGACTTCCAGATAAAGACTCACAGGATGATGGTGGCAAACCAACCAAATGTAGTGGTGGTGGATAAGCAACAGAGCAGAGCCGTGGTGGTGAACATTGCAATAACAAGAAATGGTAATATCAGGAAAACGGAACACGAGAAACTAGAAAAATACCAGAGACTCAAGGAGGAGCTAGAGAAAGCCTGGAAAGTGAAGATATCAGTGGTGATCGGAGTACTTGGGGCCATAACCCCCAAACTGGAAGGTGACTACAGCAGATACCGGGAAAAACAACAGACAACTCAGTCCAGAAAAGTGTAGTACTAGGAACAGCAAAGATACTGCGCAGATACTGCGCAGATACTGCACAGATACTGCACAGATACTGCGCAGAACTCTCAGACTCCCAGGCCTCTGGTAGAGGACCCAAGCTGGATGAAGGTGAGAGAGACCAACACAGTCACACAGATGGATTGAGTCAAATTTTAAAATGCCACCATCATTTTTGATCTTATATGTTCATATGTTCAGTTCAAAGGCTAGAACAAAAGGTTGCATTTGGGACTTCAGGACAGCTATAAAATCCACATATGTATATTTTTTCTACTTTCAATCTACTTATACTCTACTCATGCATGTGCAAACTGAATGACTGAATTGAAAGACTGGAGTGGAAAATATAAGCTAAATTTAGTAAAACCTAATACCGGTATATGTCATTAATTTATGGTGGAAAAAAAGGTGGACATCTACTTTACTCTCTACAGTATATATATATTTTTTACATTATAGCAACATATGGCATTAAAAATATACCATGAAATTAGATAATTTTCTAAATTAAAAGAGGGAAGTGAAAAACCTGAGCCTAACATATGTCAAAAATTCATGGTTGAAAAATATTTGATGCATTACTGTGTTTTGAATGGGAGAGCCATTTTTCTGCAGTTTATCGTTTACTTTGGATATACTTTTATGGCAAAATTGTTTTTTAATGTTAACAATATGCAAAGTATATAAATAAGTTTACACATTTCAGTGTAGAGCAGAAGTATTTAAAGAGATTTGACTTTTGAAAGTAGAAAAAAATACTAAATATATATGGATATTATGGCCATTGAAAAACGTGACAGAAGGTGAGAAAGTTTTACCGTGTTTGTGTGTGTGCGTGAGTGCGTGTGTGTGTGTGTGTGTGTGTTTGGGTTGTCTGGTTGTGTGAGGTTGGGGGTGTGGGGGTTGGGTTGGTGGGTGGGTGGATGGAAATGTGGGATTGTTTTTAATCACTGTAAAGCACTTTGTGTAACAGTTTTTTATGAAAAGCGCTTTATAAATAGAGTTTGATTTGATTTGATAGTTTTTCAAGACAGTGATGCACCATTTTTCTTCTACCATTAATTAGACATAGTAGGCTCTAAAAAATTTAGTTCAAGTTTCCCAGTCCAGTCTTTACATTTTTTTAAATATCAGAGATGTACTTTAACAACAAAATATAATATAATATAAATAAAATATGCATCAAATAAAGTCTGCACATGTATGAGTAGAGTACAAGTAGAAGTCGACCTGAGTTTGAAAGAAGAAAAAATATTACTCAGTGGATTTTATGGCCCAAAGTGATGAATTTTACCTAAATTTGATGGTAATCAGAGTTAATTGGTTAAATCCACTCATTCACTTGGTTTGAGCACAGAGCTATACAATTTGTGAATTAAGAGTAAAGCATATCGTCACAAGAATGAGATCACAATTCTATTTTTATCACAATATTGGCCAGCCCTACTAAGGGTGGAAATATGCCAAAAAAAAATTTTTTGTACTATTTTCTTAGAGCAAGCCATTTTATCATGATTTGTGTAAACTTAGTATCTTTACACTGAGTTGCAAAGGTAACTAAAGTCATCTGCTTCTCCTTCTTCTGAGAGTTCACACCTGTTTGGGACATCACACTAGATGTTTCTGCTCATTTTATTTTTACTCAGCTTCTTTTATCATAAGTTCTTAATTGTTTCACTTACAGACAATATACTCCATATTCTAATTTTCCATATCTTTGAACAGCAGTTGTGGTATTATTCAGATCTTTCTATTTTGCCCATGGCTTGAGCCAGAGAGATTCAATTTAAATGTGAGTTTTTCATAAATAAATTGTGTTCTGCTATTAAAGAAGGCACACAATGCTTTTTCAGGTATGTAGAATTAGACTATAACATAAGTTGTATAACTTCTTGGAGATAAGGGATGCAATTGAGAATCTACACGATTTATACTCAACCCAAGGTTGAGACACAATACAAAAGATGGAAAATGTTTATAGCAGGGGTCTCCTACCTGTAGCTCAGAAGCTACTGATAGCTCTCCACCCCATTCCAAGTAGCTCGCCAAGGGGTTTCTGAATCTACCCGTATTGTCCTGAATAGGTAAAATTTTATAAAATAAATGTCTATTACCATTGTACATGTATCATTCTGATGCCTAACTTTGTACACTAATAAATGGATGATGGTTTATGTTTTATAAGTATCTAATTGTACCTCATTTAAGATTCGTCGTGGCTCTTACATATGCTTAATTTCTGGTGACTCCTAAAATGAGTAGCTCTCTGGCATTTTCGTTTTCTAAAAGTAGCTTACCAGAGGAAAAAGGTTGACCAATGGACATGAGCATCCAGATTTCATTTTTTAGAAAAAGATTATAGACCATCTAAGTCACTGGATGAAACAGATGCTATTAGATTAAGCAAACAGGAATAGTTTGTTTTGGAAAAAAAATAAATAAATAAATAAAAATAATAAAAAAATAAAAAATAAGAATAATAATAACGATACAATGTTGTAATGAAAATCTTGCACTAGCGGTTTTGTGTGTGTAAAAAATGCACCCATTAATATCTCCTAGACTTACTATGAAACAATTTCTCTATCAATAATACCTGGGCTCTGAATGTCCAGACAAACACTTACTCTCTTTATTTCTTACAGGTTTCATAGTGTAGCGGTTATCACGTCTGCTTTACACGCAGAAGGTCCTGGGTTCAAACCCCAGTGAAACCAAGTTGTTTTGTAGATAATGATCTGGACTAATTCAGACGCTAAAACGGAATGACTGACCATAACAAATTCTCTTTAAAGAGCCTAACTCTAATCTTCTCTTCACAAAATAGCGTGAAAACACTTAGACACTTAGACTCACGTTGTAACTTTGGTTACTAACTAACTTAACAACTGATTGTTAATGGACAATAAACATTAACATTAGATGGTTAAGTACTTATTCAGTTTTCTAGACAATTTTTTTCTAAAAAAAAAAAAAATAAATAAAAAAGTTTGTAGTTACACCTGTGCGAGGGGTATTGTTACACCGTTCCTAAATAAACATTTAAGCTAACGATACAAATATCCTTATTTAAGAATTGCATGTTTAAGAATAAAATTTACCGTTTATGATGTGGCAGAACAAACAGAAGAAAGCGCCTCTTTTTATCTTTAGCCCATCGCGTGCCAAAAATGCTGTAAGATTACTGTAAATTAGTTATTACTCTGAACCTGCGTTAACCTTTGAGTAGCTTTCACGGACTTACATTTAACTAACGCTAGTGCAATTTTAGCTGTTTTTAAATTCGCTGACGAAGTAAAAAAAAAATATACATATTATCAACGTAATAACGCAGTAAGCAAAATAGCGCTGTCTAGTGCTCATGGTGGAAAATGTTTTCGCCGTGTGACCATTACTTTAGCGGAAATTGCTGTATGGGTTTCCTGGTGCAACATTTATTTCTGTGTCAAAATGGCGAACGTAGGCGCCGCCGCCGCCGCAGCCGCCGCCGCAGCTGCTGCTGCAAGAGACCCAGCTGTTGATCGTTCACTTCGATCAGTGTTTGGTAAGTCAGTGTTGATGCTTTATCAATGTTGATGCATTACAATGTATGTTGCGTTAAAAAAAAAAAAAAAAATCTAACACATGTGACACAATGGTCTCTTGCTTTAGCTTTAGCTAAGCTCTAGCTAGTGGATGAAAACAATCTTTACTGTTAACCAGCTGTGATGAAACCTCAAAGACAACTGGATTTGAGAAAAAATACAAGTAGACATATGTTGCTATTTAAGTTTATTATTTATGTGTAGCTGGTGGTCTGTTTACCTCAACCCGGCCACTCAGGATGCACCATGCAGAATGCACCATGCATGTGTTCTTTCATTGGCAATAAATAACAAATATCATGTGTACATATCCACATATAGTTTTAAGCAATGATATTTGCTTGATTGTACCGTGGACATTGTGGTAGCATACACCCGTGGTTGGTTTTAGTTATTTTGTTATTTATACATTGCTCAAAATGTAAAACTTGTGACATTGTATGGAGAGGGCACTATTTTGGTACTGCAAGTGTATATATTATAGAAATGGCTAGAGAAAACACTGATCAAGGCAACTAGGTTTTATGAGACACTGAATCGTGGCTTTATCCTTCTATGGAGCCCAACTGTATTTATTTAAAGTAAAATTATAACTTTGAAACTAACCTTTACCAAGCTAATCTTGTTTGTCTCTTATTTTATTTTATTGTGTTTATGGTGTGTAAATTTTAGTGGGAAACATTCCATATGAAGCTACAGAGGAACAACTGAAAGATATATTTTCTGAAGTAGGACTTGTGGTGAGTTTCAGGTAAGTTTACTCATATCTGCTGATTGTGATGATGTAATATAATGTTTTTACAGTATGGTTGGGTGCATTTACTACAGAAATTGTTATACATATTTAAATACAAAAATATTTGTTTTCAACTCTGCAGGTTAGTGTATGACAGAGAAACAGGAAAGCCAAAGGGTTATGGCTTCTGTGAGTACCAGGACCAGGAGACTGCTCTCAGTGCTATGCGCAACTTGAATGGCAGAGAATTTAGTGGTCGCGCACTTCGGGTTGACAATGCAGCAAGTGAAAAAAACAAAGAAGAGCTTAAAAGTTGGTGTTCTTCATCATTATTCCAAGATTAAAAGCTTGCACATATTTAACTGCCTTTTATGTGGACAGGCCTGGGCACAGGAGCTCCTATCATCGAGTCTCCATATGGGGATAGTGTACAGCCAGAAGAAGCCCCAGAATCCATTAGCAGAGCTGTCGCCAGTCTACCACCAGAACAAATGTTTGAACTAATGAAACAGATGAAGGTACACCAGTTTTTGTTCTTTTAACAACACACTTGTTCACTTGTTTTTGACACTGAAAAATGTTTATTATGCTGTTACATTTTACTTTTTCATACGCCCTATGAGAAGGTCTAATGTTATTGTTTTCTTTCTTAGTTGTGTGTGCAAAATAGTCCACAGGAGGCAAGAAACATGCTGCTACAGAATCCTCAGTTGGCCTATGCTTTATTGCAGGCCCAAGTTGTTATGCGCATAGTTGATCCTGAAATAGCTTTGGTAAGTTACTACCTATCTTAGTTGGTCTTGCAGATGTTTAATCTTTTATGGTTTATGGTAAGTGTTTGTTTTTTAATATGTAGAAAATGCTTCATCGTCAAACTACAGTCCAACCCCTTGTTCCAAGTGGACAAAGTGGGGCCACACCAGTGGGTAACCCGCCTCCCGCCCAGCCCAATGCTCCAGTCTCACAGCCACAGCCTGTGGTATGAGCAAAATGTCTTACACATTTGTTTATAAAATGTCACTATAATAACACATTGTTTTCCATATGTGGTTGCATGAATAGCCTGGGATGCATGTCAATGGAGCTCCTCAAATGATGCAGCCTCCTAATATGGGTGTGGTTCCTGGACCTATGCCTGGCCCTGGGCCAGGGCCTTCACCTGTCGGACCTCCAGGTGATTGTTACATTTTTGGTTTTGTTCATACATCAAAGTGGATTCTCCACCTAGAGAACAGCATTGCATATTTAACAACCTTTGACGTTTAAAGGTGCTCTGTCTGTCATCTGCTTCTCACCATGGAGATGTTGCCTGGAATGTTCCACAGTGTGAAAAGTTACATAGTGCACATTTAACAAATTATTTGACAATATTTACATTATTGGAAAAGCCGTTTCTCCACTGGTTTAATTTGGAAACAAGTCAAAATGGCCAGCAGAGGGCAGAGCACGTCTAAACAAGAGATTGATGGTTGATTCTTGGAGTAGGAGAGGATAATTTGAAGAAGGAAATTTTAAGATATTAAACGCAGGAAAACTCCCTAGTATTGTAATGCAATGCCAAGACGTTACGGTAAGCACACATGTTAGGGAGGGCCATCTGTTATGAAAGTGTATAAGAGAATTACTTGTACAGAAAGTTGTACAGCAAGGGCATCTGCAGACATCTGTAAGCATGTCAGATCTTCCGTCCCCAATTGTTCCTTCGCTACTTCTTCAGTATCTTTTGTTCTTCTCATTTTTAATGCTGGCTCAGGAAATCTACAGCATTCCCCTACGGGATCATCCAGCCCAGCTGCTATCGAGCGGCCACAAGGTATCACTGTATCCCTCACCTCTTGTGAGGTAGTAGGACAGTTGCAGGGATGAATACATGTCAGCTCAAGTTGAGTTTTACCAACTAAATGTCCTTAGCTGATTTTATCTTGCATGTTTCCATCCATAAGCTCACAGCCACACCATTTTTTCAGAGGATATGGCTGTGTATCCTCAAGAAAGGGTTTTACATAGTCAAACTGGGTTTATGCCAAAGTCAGTCCAGGTGTAGTTTGTCCCATCATTGTTGATAAATGGAGTTAACGCTGAGTTGCAGTAGAAACATACACACAAGTACAATCCTGGTCTGGACACATGTCAGTTGACTTGGCCTAAGCACACACTTATCTTAAAACACTTGTATCTACTGTCTTTTTTTGCTTGACCAACCAGTCTGTTCTACATTCTGTTTGAATCCAGAAGGGACTGGAACCAGACAATAGTGTGTGAAAATCCTCTGTCCAAACTTGACAGTCTAACCACAGATGCTAATTTGTAGCACATGTTTCAAATGTGGAAGATGTCTTCTCTTGTATCATTCAGAGCAAAATATTCTTTTATCTGAGATAAATTCGATTGTTGCTTCTGTAAAAATCCATGACGTTTTTTCACGTGTAAGCAGCCGTGTTAGTTTTTGATGCAAATGGAGTATGCGCCTCTGATTCGTTAGTCTACCTGTCAATCACGCCAGGGAGACAGGAGACAGCTCCAGATCTACATGTTTTTGTAAAGTTTTGTCAAAGTGTGTAGTTCTGGCTGATCAGGTAAACTAGCTTTTCAGGGTAGTCACGGTCAATGCCTTTCAGATGCCAGTCTTCTAGTAATTAGCCCATAAACTTCTACATTGGTGCGTTATGCTTATACAAATTGCAAAATATAAAAAAGCATATTCCTTTGTATTTTGAATGAAAAAGACAAAAAACACTTGATTGCATTTTCTGAAGACTACGTGCTTTCTTATGTGCTGTTTTGTGCTTTCCACACGCAGGCCTGTGTGGTGTCCCATTGAAACCTTTTCAGTGGTGAATTAAAAATGTACAAAAAAGTGCAGTAGAAATGGTAGGAGCTGATCCAAGCTGAAGATTGAGCTAGTTTTAGCCTAAGATTTTTCTAAACATTGAAATACATTGAAATATATGTTTGAAATCCATCAGACCTGCCTGCAAAGATCTTGGAGTAGAGTAGGTTGGGTTTCAAGTATTGCACAGAAAGGAAGGACTGACAAATTAAGAGAGCAGAAATATCACCTTTTGCCATGGCTTGGAAGATAACGCATGAAGTTTTTGTTTTGTTCATTTTAGCAACTTATTGGAGCTTGTTGAGTTTTCTTGTGATTGATTGACATGCACAACTATTCAAATTCTAACAGTTTAGATTTTTTTAATAGATGATCTATCTAGTAGTAGTACCCTCTTTTAGATAGCTATATGAGTTCTGTTGAAATACATTTTTATTGCCTTCAGGACCAGGTGGTATTCCCCCGAGAGGTCTTTTAGGAGATGGTCCCAATGACCCCAGAGGTGGAACTCTCTTGTCTGTCACTGGAGAGGTGATTGATCCCAAGTAAGACGAGCAACAAATGTTTATCAAATGACAATCCATTTTACACTAACTATATCTTCAATGTGTCAATGTAGTCGAGGTTACATGGGAGCCCCACCTCCACTCCAAGCACCCCCTGTGCACATGGGCCAGATGGGTACTGGACCTCCTCCTGATATGAGAGGGCCTCCAATGGACATGAGGGGTCCTCCTATGGGTGAACCACGAAATATGATGGGTGACCCCCGAGGGCCCCCAATGATGGAGCCTCGTGGACCTCCAATGGAGACGAGAGGTAGTTGCGCAGTTGATTTTGAATTATACCCTTCTTCTAACAAGAAGTTCTTTGTCTTATAATGACAAGGAAATTATAAGTGTGCATATTGTTTTACCTTTCTTTGGAATATCTTTCACTTTTCTCTTATTTTGGTCAACTTTCTCTAGGTCGTGACCCCCGGGCTATGGATGCTCGCGTGCCTGCGGGTAATCAGAGGGTTCCTATGGCTGGAGGAATGCCAGGTCCTGTTCCCCACAATATGGGTCCTAATGCTCCTCCACCTGTGAGACCAGTAAGGGCTGCTACTGCCTAAATAGGCTTCATCTTCATTTATATGTTAACCATCACAACCAGACACTGATGATACATCTGCTATTTTTCCCTTAGGCCGGAGGAGGTTTTAGCCCTGGACAGGGACCTGTCTCTTCTCAAGACCAAGAAAAGGTGAATGCCACTCAAATCTACACATTTACAAATATACACATGCCAAAATTTTGTTTACATTTCTTGCATGTCCTGCTCACAACCAATAACTTGTAACATTTTACAGTAATGTCCTGTGAGGAGGAAATATTCATTATTTACTGGCTCCAGTGGTGCCTCACCCTTTTTTATTGTTAATGAATAGTTTTTCCTCCATTGTCTGTAGGCTGCTCTCATTATGCAAGTGCTGCAGCTCACCCCAGAACAGATCGCCATGCTGCCCCCAGAACAGCGACAGAGCATCCTCATCCTCAAGGAACAGATTCAGAAGACGGCCAGTGGAGCACCTTGATCATACCATATAGGTATATGAAGTTTAATGAATATAGTTATACACCACATTTATAAAGCATTTACTTTATTTACATTTTTTTTCAGCCACTGAAACCTGCTGAAACATTCTGAGAAAGTTTTTGCTTATTAAGATTGTTGTAAACATTTTGTTTGTACCTGTCTGTTCTGTACAGTTGTCTAGAGCCAACATTTGTGAATTTATGGTATATCAATATTGACCTCTCCAAATACAGAATACTTTTTTCCCAATAAAAAATAAAAACACATATTTTGCTATCATTTAATATAAAAAAACAAACAAACAAACAATGGATATGTTATGTACTGGTGTTAATTTAACATTGAAGATGACATTTCCTTGTTTAACCTTGAGTGAAAATTGTATTTACACAATATCAAACTACAAAACTATTTATACCAAGGAAACTTTCTGAGTGACGTCGTTATGTCTAGTTAATTTCATTGAAATTTAACCAATTACAAACACCTAGTCAGGGATTTATTCATTTAAAAATTGCAATATCACCCACTGCTTACATAATCTGTCAAAAGCTCTTCCACACCCAGCCTAATCATAGGTTAGTGACTACCTATGCTCAAATAATCCATGTACACTGTTGACATGGGAGTGTTGTAGTGACTGATGACACTAGATAGAAGTTTGAAAAAACTACTACTGTATTCATAGGGCATCAATTGTCTGTTGTTTATGAATAGTGTAAAAGGGTGGTAGAATCAGAAGTTTTCTTTGTTGAAGTAAAACTTTGTCTTTCGAGGGTCTACATCAGAGAATTTGGCACAGTTCTTCTCTAAAACTTTGGCCAGGGCTGCTGGGCCACATAAGAATGTTCCCACCACAGACCTGAGGGCGGTAGAAAATGTTAAACCTGTTATGCTGTGCACACTGGCCTAAATATGACTTAAGGGGCAGTGAATGTAAAAATTAGACCAAAAACTATTGCTACTTACGTGGGATTCTCTTTGCGAACTTGTTCAAACTCTTTATCCCAGATGGGCCTGCCAATGTTTGTTTTTTGTTTTAGCCCAGTCACCACATCTGTGTCCTTATCAAAGTTGATGTTGAAGAAGTCAGCCTTAAGAAACATACAAAGGAAATTATAACATTCTCACAAATTGTAGTAGACATGAATAATTGTTCTTTGAACTACGCACCAGGCTTTGATCCCACCCAGTAAGGTAGAGCTTGTAAGTGAGGAAATGACCCATTCCTCTCTCCTCCATTTCTGTCTCTAGCACCTGGAGGAGGTCGGCAAACCATTCAAAGGCGTAGGTTTCCCGGCACAGCCAGTAGAAATAGATCTACACCAGGAAATAGAAGCAAACTGTCAAACAATTGTTCTTTTACAAAATAGATAGCACACCCTTTGACATGGGTGTATTGAGAAAGCACATAATACAAAAACAAAGACATGTTTTGTTCATGCTTCAAGTGCAGTGGTGTGTCAGTGTTGTGAAACAGATACATGGGTCAGGATTATGAAATCATTGTTTTAACCTTTCTGGTACGCAGCTTTGGGTCTGACTGTTTGAACTTGTACCAGATAGATTTGAGTATGGAGGCAAATGGAGTCACTCCAATCCCAGCACCAACCAACATGGCAACCTCATAGTCAAAGACATCCTCACTGGCTGTGCCAAATGGGCCATCCACACCGAGCCTAAAGAAGAAGATGGTTTTGTAAGTGTAATGATCATGAAAGATAATATTATTAATTTGAGCTGAAACAACTAAAAGTATCACATAAATCAGAAGCGAGGTTGCATTTTGCAGTGATATTTAGCAAACCAAACTAAGTTACTGGATGAAATACACAAGTAAGTGTAATGTGCTCCTCTAGCGCCCTTATAAGTAGTCCGACCCCAGAGCCTTACTAATACTTAAAGACAACAAAATCTTTGGATAATAACAGATAAGTGATGTGGACTGACTTGGGTCCCTGGGCTCCCGCTGGCATCTGCTCCATGATGTTGATGAGTTTGTTGGTCCAGTCTCCAGCCGAGCGGATGTGCACACTGAAGAAGTCCTCCTCGGGGGCAGAGGTCATGGTGAAAGGATGCCACTCGAGCTGTGAGATGGACGGGCAGTTGATGAAGACGTACTGACCCACCTCCATTTTAAATCCATTTTTCACCAGTTGAAGCTCCAGTACTTTGGAAGGTCTCATCACAATCTGAAATACAATAGGGACGTACAATATTAAAATAACAACAATACAAAAAATGCATGTTTAATGTCTTAAAACCCCACAAAAATACTAGTTACCTTTCTGTATGTGACAGTCTGGGTGTAGCGAATAAAACGAAGAAGTCGTTCACAAAGATACAAAAACATGGGCCCAATAACCCACTTCCAAGTCTAGAGAAGTCAAAAGATTCTTATATTACAGCATTGTGATATAAATGTAAAACGATAAATATATAAATGCTTGTATGTTGGACCTTTATGACAAACCTGTGGAGACCCTCCGGCGAACTGGGGGATAGGACACTCTTCCTCTCCCCAGTCGTCTATATCGTCTTTGCAGTGTGTAACATTATGAGGTGGGTCTGTTTTCTGCTGGCTTCGCACAATACGTCTGAAGGCAGATAAATGTAACATTCAAAGAAACTCCTTCCAAGCTATAATATGAACGTGCCTGATGGATATACTGTAAAAAAAAAAAAAAACTCACCCAGCTCCATGGAAAACCAGCCCAGCGAAGAAGATGACAAAGAGGTGATGCGTGTACCAGAAGACTTCGAAATAACTTCGCCGGATCACCTCCATTGAGGAAGTGATGATGAGGATGAGACACAGTGTAATAATGACCCCAGTGAGGCCAGCAATGGTTGTGAACACAAAGTAGGTTGGAATCTGTTGTGGATCCTAGAAGAAGACGTGGCAGTAATGTAAAAATGACTATCCTTTACGGGGACAATAAAGTGTACTTTAACTTAAACTTAAACATTATCTCCATGAAAAGTTACATAGTGCACCTCCCCATGTTGGTGGTCTCCATGGAGATACTATTATTGCTTTGCTTAGAATAGTCTGCATAATGGCATTAATTTTATCTCTTGTGCATTTATAAAATTCCAGGAGATTCAAAAAATACCTGGAAAAACATGCATTCTCACTGAGAGCAGACTTGTGTCATCACAGATCTGAGCTGTGGCTTAGTCAGGTGTCATCATCTGCTTGTTTCCATAGAGATTTGTTTAATACCATACTGTGGAACAATTCTAGGCAAAGCAAAAACATCTCCACCAGGAAGGTTACATAGTGTAGATTTAAAATGCATTTCCAATAATCAAATCTTACCTAGGAGAATACATCCAATCTTTATTACATACTGAAAGATAAGGTGGAGGTTGTAAATGACAATACACGTTAACTACTTACAATGTCAGTTTTCCGAATTGGGTTGAGATAAGTTGTATTCTCTGTGTCCTCCAGATTTGACAGAGCCGTGCTTAGTTCATCATAAACTCCCTGTCTGCTGTTGTTGAGCCACTCCACGTTCAGTAAATGGGCGATCATGTGAACCGCTGGGAAGGAAAAGAGAGGCAAAAAGGTGAGTTTGGCTATACTTGAGAGGATACACATTTAGTAGACAAGAAAGTTGCTAATCTATATTATGCTGTGATAAGGTCAGGGAAAACCCACCATTGAGCAATAAGTGCTCAGCAAATATAATATAATATAAAATCTATTATTTACATTCCTGAATCACCTTACCACAAAGGAATGCTTATTTTGAAAATTTTAATAAAGAGCAGAACTTATTTAAAAGTTTGACAAATGCATTTTCCAGTAATTTTGGGGTTTAATAATTGAACAATTACGATGATTGACACAAAGAGATTGTATTTTGCACAAGTGGATTCCTAATAAAACCTTTTTTGATCTTTAATAATAAATGTAATGAATAATTTTAATAAATTTGAACTAAAAGGTAAAGGATATCTCACCTGTCATCAGTGCGATCATGTAGGCAACAAGCTTATGGAAAATTAAATTCTTGTCAAGCTGCTGTCGCATCGGTCTTCCACAACACTGACAAAATAAATAATCATGTAAGATAGATAGATAATATCAGGGGGAAGCACAAAATATTCATGCCACAAAAAAAAAAAAAGGAACATTCATATGTTTCTTACCACAAAAGAGCCGCGGAGCAGAGACAGGAGGTTCCTACACACAGGGAGCAGGATCAGCATGCAGTTAAAATTGAGGACAGCAGCAGGAGCTCTGGCCCAAGCCAAAGCAGACTGTGAAAGAGACAAGAACAGTTGGTGGACACTACATATATATCCGTCAGATAGTGAGGTGTTCATTGGTGCAGAGCCTTCACTCACCCCTAAGAGATGTCTGGTGTAGAAAAATTGATCTCCCAAGTCATAAAAGAAGTAAAACCAAAGAAAGAGGAAGATGTTGATGCCCATCCACACAACCTTAAAGTTAAAGAAGGAGAAAAATACTTGATTTATTTATTTTATTCCAATATCCAATGCAATTTCAAAGTTGTTATAAGATATAAAATTATCGGCACTTTACACGTCGGTGCATTTTTGGACTGGACTGAAAATTAAGTACTAGTGATTAAGTACTTTCTATAGCCGATGATTTTAGCACATTCATGGTGACATCCTGATTTAAGGTTTTGAGTTCAAGTCCCATCTTAGAGAAAAAAAAAAAAAGCCACGAATTTCACCAGAAAAAAATAGATTTCAATGGCTTTGTCAATCGCTACTACATTTTAACCCATTAACAATTCTCAAAATCTGCGTTTATTCTTACGGGTAGAATGTACCTACTTCAATACCTCTAGACATACTTAGCCTAATTATACTTTTACTCCTACTTGGGCAACTGCCCGCCGTTGATAGTCTGGAGGCGACCCCAGAGATTTCTTTGCCTAGCGCAAGATCTGAAGATGCTCCTGACAGGTCCCCCAAGTGGCATTGAAGGATGGGTCAAATGCAGAGTACACATTTCCCTCGGATACGTCAACGCGTACCTAAACTTTACTAAACTTTATATCGAAGAGCCACTCAAAACTCACCAGTATGAATGCACTGAGTCCATTGTTGATGATCCAGTTCCCCATGTTGCTGGCGTCCACAGCTCAAGGCTCCGAGAGTCTAAGCATCTTCAGCGCCTCTGGACTTGTGATTTATATCGTTCGGGTAAAACTCCGCCCGTCTCAAGAACACTAAATCGCACACAATTATTAACAGGCACACGGAAATAAAGCCACGATGCTGTCATTTAGATTTTAAGTAGAACTACATTCCGACCTTGGGGTTGAGAAACAGGACTATTGCTGGAATGAGGAAGTTAGGAGTAGTGAACAGACAGACAAGGGTTAAAATGCTAATATCAACATATTGCATAAACTTGTACCATGTCACTAAACTTACCATCAGTGTACTTAACTATGAACTGACTAAGCTTAGATAAACACGTATGCTCACTGATTTGCTCAACTTTCATCAGATATGAAGACTGAAATAAAACAGCAGTCAATGTTTTATGCTGCTTTATGCTTGATGATTATATTTTGAAAATTAATAGAAAACAATATTTTTCAACATTGAAATATTTTTTAATTCATTTTCTATTATTACAGAAACTAGCAAATAAAACATACACATATTCATTATTCAGTTACAGGTGGACATAAGGCTTTATTTGGGTTTCAAGTAGTACAGTAGTAGTCAAGGCACTAACAAAAATATAAAAGCACATAGTGAGAGCAGCCCAGTTGGGGTTATGTTGCACCAATGTAATTGTTAAATAATTTTCAGGCACATATAATTTTTCCCATCTCTTATTAGTTTAATAATTTGAATGAGCAACACAAAATCCCATTTACAAATTTAGCCCTATAAGAATTTCAACATTTTGACCTAAAGATGATAATTTTGTTGTGAAGTGAATGAAATGTGCAAAACGGCATCCATCCGTGAAAGTCCTGAAGTTGTAAACAGGGGATGTCCACACTTGGCACCATTCCCGTACACCTGCTTGATCTACCAGGACCTCCGCTCAGGGCAGCCTTTGTGCATGGCTGCATATTTCTACACGCTACATTCTTTGGTACAGAGGCTGTGCAGGCCTTTAATGTGTGCAACTATTGCCATAACATACAATAATATTGTGTGAAATAATAATAACTTGGTATGTGCACATAAGAAAAAAATACCTGCACTCCCAAATCCCTGTTCATTTATTTTCTAGTGTTTAAAACTCAAATAGCATCCACTGAATCATCAAGGATAGCTGTCTCCTGCTCTCCCAGTAGACTGGTTGGGTCCAGGGGTTGTGAGTTGTGGCTGTCCACTGGGTCCTCTGCTATCAGCACCATAGTGGCAGCATTAGAGTATGAAGCCTTTGCCCGTCGACTCCCGGGTGAAGCCACTCTTTTTCGGAAACAGACACAGTGCAAACAGTCATGGACATTGTACTTAAAGAGGCGTCTGCATGGGTGAAAAAACTGATAAAACAAAAGCATGAAGAGAACGGCCAGACTGTAGAAGATCAACAGTTGGACCACAAGTAGTGGGGCACACACATATTCATAGAAGTCCGACTTGAAGAAGTACCAGAGAGTGATGAGGAGGAAGTTCTCCAGAAAACGGCAGCTGTAGTACAGGGCCAAACGGGCCCAACGCTGCTGCCTCTCAATGAGCTCTCGGTGAGTGAGGTCCAGTTGCACGGCAGACCAGCAGAAAATGTTGATGCAGGCATACAGTAGGGTAAACATACACAGCACCACAGTGGTGCCCAACTTTGAAAAGTTCTTCTCTATGTTCTCGGCCAGAGAGCCTTTTCTGGCCCAAAACTCAACCCAAGGCAGGAAAAAGAAAAAGAGAATGTTCAACATCCCCACTAGTATAACCCAGTGTGTGAGGGCTGTGCTAAACAGTACCAGGGCAGTGACCCGAGTGGCTATCTCCAAGCCTCTCCACACAATCAAGCATATGTAGGCAGCTGGACGTAGCCGCACCTTATAGTCGTCATATCGTATCTGAATGGCCAGGATGTTGCATACGAGAGCCCCGTATGTGATTGAAATGAGGGTAATGATCATCAGAACCACTGCGGATACAACATAATGCTGTTAGTTTATGTAATCTAACATGAGTCATATTATTCAAATTTAAGATTTAATCTTAAATTAACACAGTGAAAACAGAAAAGGCTAACCTGTTCTGTGAATAATGTAAATGCATTACTTACATCTGAGAGGCAGGATATATTTCTCCTGGATGGTGGCATACAACTGTAGGGTCAGCTGAGGGGTAGAGCCCAGAAATGCCTGAATAACAGCAGCACGTTTAAATGCGTTTCTGTGAGCAGCAAGGTTGCGTTCTGACTGGCCAATTTCCCACTCCATGGGCGTCCCTTGGCCCTTCTTCAGACTGATCCTTCTAGAAATTGTGACATATGGCTCCTCCTCCTTGCCGGCCCTGAAATACATGACCAGAGCCTCCAGACACCTGAGAAGAGAAGGAAAGAGCATAAGTAAAAACAGTTTAACCAGCAGAGGGCAGTGCAGTGCTGTGAACAATAAGTTATGGTACTACTTGAGTTTCCACACATTAGCCTCTGTGGTATATCAACTACATTACTACCCCCCCTTTCAAAAAATAGAGAAAAAAAAAAAGCTTTAATTTTAATCTTATTTGTTTGACTAAGAAGTTAAATATTGTTACTTTAAGAATTATATTACACTCAACATGGTTAAATAAAACTGTGTTATGGAAGTAAATGTACCCTTAAATTAAAGGAACTAAAGTTGCAGTTGAATACAGATTTGTACTGTAGCCACCATAGGTCAGCTTGAGGAAACTCTTTGCTGAAGCATGAATGGATCAATAGAACTGGAGGGTGTGGCTCTTAGATTTGCAAAGTAAATAATCTAAAGCGGGAGGCGTTACTTCAAGGCACACTGCTGGTACTACTACTAACAACAAACAAAGAGCCCTGTATGTTGGTAAGAGGAAAACATGAGTAGAGGGCTTGATGAAAATACATGTTTTTTTATACTGCAACTTAACACACATGAAAATAAATCAACTGCAACATTATACCATATATGCCAAAAAAAGCACAACAGGTAGCACTGGTTTTCACCACGTAATTCAATGCCTACTCTATTATGACTGCATAAAAGCTGTACTAGAACATCCTCTAACTGAAAATTAAGACCTGCCCTTAAGTTCAGGAGCTCAGAGGAGTGCACATCACATCACTCAGCTGGAATGTTATCTTTAGCTTAAACTCCAATAATTTTTCATTTCTTGCTGTACTTGAGAAAATAGTCTCAGTGTTTTTTAGGGATCCTTGTCAAGCTTAGCTCCAAGACATTCCACAGTCAGCCGTTTGACGTTTAAGGGCAGTATTGCTGCTAGGTGAGGAATTTGTGTCTAGAGAAAATGCAGCACAGAGCCAAACTGGGGTAGCTCCAGTTTTGAAAGAGCAAAGGCACATATACTAAGAGTACAGCCCCAGGCAAATTTAGTGACTGAGAAAACAAAACAGAATTTGTTGACAATGTGTCCTGAAAATTAGGCAAGAAAATGGGCTGAACTTGGCACAGTACCTCTGCCAATTCTGTATACCAATTCTGCATTCAGTCAGAGCTAAAGCAGCACCGATGTGCACTCGTTCAAAATCAATACTCTGGCTTCTACTGCAGCATATCATTTGTTAGACAGAAGCATGCTGACTAATGGTCTATAAAAGGTGTACAGTGAATTAATCATGAAAATGAGGCAACAAAGACAGACTGCTTCAACCTATATTACATTATCTCCTTCCACAACATACTTTTCAGGAAATAGTTCCCAGCCTTATCTAGCTGTTTGGTACACTCAGTGAAATCCAGCTCACCCTGACCGCTTCACTGTTTCTATATTTGACTGTGTTTGTAGCACAGAAAGAGAAACAGGACAAGTACACTTGCATGCTGCAACTGGTCCACTCAGGAGTCATGGTTAAATCTATGTGGTTAAAGGAGACATGTTGTGACAAGACCTACCCTTCAGCAAATTACTGTCTCCTTCCTATCAGTTTGAATGTTGTTTGAATGTTGCTTTTTTTGTCAACAGTCCCAAAACAACTGATGAGATAACAATGAGAATATAGTTAAAAGGAATATTGGTAGAAACAAATAAATAAATATAATCCTTGGTATGTCATGCCGATGATGTAGTAATTGACTGGCCATTATCAGATCTGCAATATCGCAGTCCCTAAGCTACACAGGAAACCTCCCATCTACAGAGAAATAGACACGCTTACAGTAACAGCAATATAGTGCTGTATAAAGGGGAAAACACAAGAAATGGAATCAAAGAGTAACTTAAGACTTTTCTATTTGGTACGCAATGCACTACAATTGTATTTTCCTTGTTCAAATGATCAACAAAATAAACATGATACATGAGTTAGTTTCATGAACTATAAAAACAGTTTACTCCAGTATATTTATTCAGCATTATGTGTCATGATGCATACAATATTGTGTCAATAATATACCATAAGTTAGAACACTCATATAGCCATCACACCCCTAATATCCATGTTCACAATATTGTAAACTCACAACACACTGTAGGGAGGTGCATATTTTGTATCAATATCAGAGTAGCTTTTTTTTTCAAACATCATTTTGTGTAATACTTGATCATGAATAACCAGACAAACAGGCACTTTTAAGCACTTTTCTGATGGATTGCTGATATTATGGATATGTTGTTATCTACCAGGAGTGCGCAACGTGGCCAAAAATAAAATCTACATTTTTTAGATCTGGTTATGATCACCAAATTGATTTTAACTGAAACCAGAGCTGGACTGCTAGTCTTTGCAACAGAGGAAGCTCTTTACATTTTCATTCTTATGCTATGCTATTATTTAAGAAATCAGTCAAGAACAAAATATATATATATTTTTTACAATATCTGTTGATTAATTGCACAGTAACCCTGCACTGCTAATAAGAAAGTCAGGAGCATATCCTCGATTTCACAATTTTGCAATTTTTTCAAAATATTGATTATTAAAAGCATGAATAAATCAAATTTGAGCTTTTTTGTCATTTGAATAATCATTATAGGACAATAAAAATTGAGAAAAAATATTACGCTCTTATATTATATCCCATATCAATTATATTTATAATATTTTTTTTCAAAAAATGAAGTCAATTTGTGAATTTAGTACAATGTAAAAAAAAAACCCAACAAACTAACAAAATAAAAAAAAAACATACTGAGCCTTCCCACAGGCACTCACAGGTTTTTGGTGGTAGATGTAAATATTTTTTTTTTTGGAACAGATGGAATTCAAAAGACCTGTTTCAGTTTAAGTCTGCTTTAAGTCACACAGATGTTATACAGATCTAAAAACCACAGTGCTGAGAAACCAGATTTGTGAGCTTCATTTAAGATAGACAAATGAGTTAAACTGATAGAGCAGGCTATTACCATGTTCAAATACAAAAGCTATAAAGAACTATGCACTACACACAAAGCAACCTCACTGGGGACATCTGATCAAATACTTTGCCTTTTAAGAAGAAACACACCCTCCAACAACTTAACTCTTGTAAAATCCACTCAGCACCAGAGGTTTACTGTTTACAAGTCAAAGTTCATGTCTGTGTAAGTAGTATCGAGTGTGCATTTGATTGTGCAATATTATGAAATAAAATTTCTGTTAACATGTTACTCTGAGTCATGGTTTGACAAACAGGTCTCTCAGGGAAGGTGTGATGCAAGGTGTTTAAGTGCAAGAAATGGTGCTTTAATTTAGATTCATAATTTGGTGCTTTCCACTTTCACATGCAACAAATGGGTCAATTGTGTTTTAAAAAATATGTATATACTTAAATTTGGCATAAACAGTATCAAATCTTTCTACACATGCATTCAGATGTCTTGTGGTTTCCTACACTGTGGTTAAGTGTGACTACAGTGTGCAAGTCTTAAGACCTGATGTGTGTGTTTACATTTAACCTCTGCTGAGGCTGACCAGAGATGAACCCATGTTTTACATCCAAACGTGTGGAGCTATGCATTATGCTCACTCACTGCCTCTAATACACCTGCCAATAATCAATATATGTATTAGATAATATAAAAAATAAAATGTCATGTTTACTGGTCATGCAGACTTAGCCCAGTATTAATGTCTCTGCAGAGTGCAAACCTACCTAATGACAGGCCCGAGCAGCAGCAGGTGCAGGAAGAGCACTAGTGGCCTGTCCCGGCCCAGGTCTCTGTGGATGAAGGTGAGGGCTAGTTGGATGAGCACAGCGGGGACCAGCATGAAGGTGAGGGTGAGGCCCATCCAGATGCTGTCATCAGTCTTATGGTACCTGCTGCACATGACAGCGGCGGTGATGAACTCTGCGCAGTAGAGCACCGTGCTGAGGACCACGCTGAAGGGCGGGCGGACACGGCTGTGGCGGACCACCAACATTAGTCCATTGTCGTCCTCTGGATGGACACACTCCTGGGGGTCAATGTCAGAGATGTCCCGCTCTTGTTCAGGCACTTCCATGGCTCCTTCACACATAGCAGTAAGTCGTTTTTAGTGTCTTATGAGTTACTTCAAACCACTGTTCTTCAAATATTTCGACTTATTGCGCCGTTTCCACCAACTTTCCGTCAAGTCCGTCATTGCTGGTTCCACATTATATAAATGACTCAGCTGAGGACAATAACCCACTGTTTCACCTATGGCCCTACATTTGGCTGCTCTAAAATACGTGGCCTTACCAAGCCTAGTTGGCCGTTCGCGGAGATTACAACAGGCTGCTGCAATGTGCAGACTCGGGAAACTTCACCGCGCGTCTCGCTGTCTCTCCGTTCACTACTCCCCGCCTAACGACGCGGCTGCCGCCATCGTCTGACTCTGTACTGAAGCTATTTCCTTTCATAAACACCCGCTGGCTTCGTGGACCCGGGTCGAGCCCTCACAGGCTGTCGAAGTCTGGGGTGGCTCCATGTGGGAACAGTGTCAGGCTACGTCGCTGCTGTCGATGGGAGGTATGTTGTGTGATTGGTTTGTGGAGCCAGTGCGACGCTTCAGCAGTGGCGTCAAGAGCCCGTGATTCAAGCAGTTACCGGAAGTGACGGTCTTGTTTCAAAGGAAGACAACCGGGAAATCAGAATTTATATATTAAATTAAACCAGGGGTCTCCAACCTGTAGCTCGGGAGCTACAAGTAGCTCTCCACCCTCTTCCAAGTAGCTCGCCCAGGGATTTCTGCATTATATATATAGAGCACTGAATAACTCAAATTTGATTGATTAAATGCCTATTTTCTTTGTAAATGTATACTTTTGATGCCTAATTTTGCGCACTGACAACTGGATAAAAGATTATGTTTTATACACCTAACTGTACCTCATCTTCAGATTACCATGGCTCTTACATTTACAAAATTTCTGGCGACCACTAAAATGAGTAGCTCTCTCACATCTTCATTTTACAAAAAGTAGCTCACAGGAGGAAAAAGGTTGGAGACTCCTGAATTAAACCAAGGATTCCAGCATCAAAACATTGTATGACAGGATATGCTAAAAATACGGATATATATTCTTTGTTTACAGAATATTTGCACGTAGCATATTAATAAACACACATGCATAGATTGTACAGTATACAGTATATGCACAAACTATGTAAATGTAGCTATTCCATAGACTGTATATGATCACTCCCTTGTTTTTCAAATGCCACGTGAAATCCTGCAATATTTTCAGGCTACCTTTCCACAATTCGCTGAGTAATCAAAGAGAGCATGCACATAATCAACTGAACACATTTTCCTGTTAGGCCTAAACAGGCTTCTATAGAACAATTAATTGTAAAGCTGAGTTTGGCATGAGTCCTAAAAGAAAGTGCAGAGGAGGCCAAGCAAAAAGAGCTGCATGTTTTCTGCTTCCATATTTAGTTCAGGCCAGTAGGCCAGACTTGTCCTTGTTGTAGTGTAGTGTGAGTGCAGTTATACAAAAACAGGTGCAACAACCCCCCCATACACACATGCTGAATCATCCTACTATTCCCAGCCTATCACACTTATGCACTGTGTTTTAGCATTGATAAGACGAGTGAGATACCTAAGAGTTTACACTGTGTCCTAATGCTAAACACAAACCCAAATGCACTGTGCATTAAAGGACCCTATTTTCTAATCTGTTATTATATTCTTTACAAGAACACACACACACACACACACACATGTTTAACACAGAAACCCCATATTTAGTTTGAATTCTTCTCTCGAACAGAAGTCACTCTGTTCCACCTTATAATGTCATTTGGTTATACAGGAAGTGCTCCACTGTGTGTTTAAACTCATATGGATAATTTCAGTCCTGGAACCACCAATCTCTACTGATCTAAAAGTAAAATGTAGCTGTTATCTCCCAGTTCTTGTAGACAGACTAATAATACAGGATTACTCAAACATGTGTGAATGAAACAAAACACAAATCAAGGTATGTTTTTGATGAGGTAACAACATTATAACATAGCTTAAAGCTTCTGTGTAATATAGGAACTTTAAACCACTGTGGGCCCATATTCACTTCCTCTTACATTTACACGTCAGATTTTATAATATACCAGCCTAAATACAGTAGTCTATTTAAACACTTCAGTGTAAAATCATTTGAAGACACCATGGCCCCACTACCTTTGATGCTGGCTTCCCTTTTATTTATAATTATATTGTTTTGTTTTTTTGTTGTTGTACACAGAGGTGTTTTAAATATCGTTACCAAATCACTGAATGTCTCAAATGTGGATGTGACCAGAAGTGCAACATCAGCAGTTGTGAAACATGTGTGCAATGTGGTGTATGTATCCAGTGCTTGGGGGTGTGGTCCCTTTTGGCCTGCATGTTTGAGTACTTGTTTGTGTCAGTGTCATCTGTCTGCTGTGGTCAGGGAGGAACTTTCATAGCAGAGCAGGGGAAAGTGGCTTTGGACACTGGCTAAATAACATAATGAGATAACTGATAGGACGATGCCTGCACGAAACAGTAGGCTAATTCTGAACCTCTGCATGTTGCCAACCAATATAGCTTAGACTATAGAGTATAGGTCACTGTTTGGTCACTCTTTAATTAGGCCTTTTTAATGTATCAATTCTACACAGTTGTTTAATAAATCTAATAATACTACAAACTGAAGATTAATGGTTGATGTTTATATGTCATAATAAAACAGAAACTTGTGTAGACTGAAAACCTTTCTTAACGTCATTGTTACATTGAATTGATATCATGTGCCTTTTATAACAGTGTGCGTCATCCACAATGCCATCTAGTGGTATTTACTGGATTGAGCTTGTGAAAATAAAAAATATGCGCGTTATACTAGGGATCATGGTCCAATATGTAAAAATAACAATAAAATTTGCTGGGATATAATATAATTTGCTACATACAATTTATCAACATATAGCTATATTTTTAAGATAACTGTTTCTCTGTTTCTGTTTTTACTGATTAGACTGTTGGAAAAGACAAATCTGATGCAGTGAGGACAAACTGGGAATAATACATAGACACACAAAGACTAGGACAGTGCCGAAAAAATATTGGTGGCAAATATCATTAAAAAGTATCTGCAAAAACCCTCCAATATCAATACCAATACTCAAACCGATATAGGTTAGTATTTTATATTTTTTCAAACATTTCAGAATTCAAAAAAACAGACAATATACAAAAACACCTTTTAATGAAAAAAGCTCTCCAAATATAACAAGCGTATTGAAATGCAATGGAAATCCCAGTGCGTCACACATCATACCACCACTAGACACATTTAGGTCTCTTGGACAAATCTGTACATCCACAGGTTGTTTTACTTAAAGCACAGCCACACTGTCCAATAGCATCAATCCACTGCTCAGTGGCCTGTGTGATTGGCTGAAAATCCAGTAGCACCTTTCCTAAGTGACTCCTCCTGCATGGGGTGACCTAGGGCTTACTGTGAGCCTGATTAGTTTAGTCGCTGATGAGTCCAGTATGTCAGGAAAGACCCGCAACAAAACAAATGCATGGCTGTAGACTTGCTTCTGTGAGTATTTATTAAACTTTGTTTCTTTAATGCCTTTTCACTCCAAAAATAGTAATGCATGAGGATAAGTTTAATATCAGCACATTGTAAATATTCATTCAAAAGAATTTAATTTAATCTACTTTATGTAAGTTTGTTAGGCTGTATTTCTTATTATACATATGACATATAATATTACGTAATATATACATTAAAACATATAATGTACACTTCTTGCCTAGAACATTAGTCTCGGTGTTGGGAAGTAACTGAATTCATGTACTGAGAATTCATATTCTGAATACAAATTTTGAATAACTGTATTCTGGTACAGTTACTCTTAAAATCAAAGGAATACATTTTAATGAGAAAATTTGAAAACACTGCCCTTGTGATAGAAATGTATAACAAACACTGAAAAAAACATAAAGCTGTTTCAATACAACTCTGTGTGAAAGTATTCTAAGTATTCGCTATACAGTACTTTGATTGAACCCTGTTTTGGAATACGTTACAAAATACATATTAATACATGTATTCTCTATTCTGCAACTAAAAACATTTTCAGTATTCTTCCCATCTCTGACTAGTCCTTATTAGTTGGGGTTATCAAACTTACAACATAATGTTGAGGTCATGTCTTTGCTTGTTGCACTTAGAAAGTTTACAATACAGTGACCTCAGAGTCTTCTTCAGTCAAAACAAAAATGGGACAGCAGCTGTTAACAATACTTGAAAGCAGGCCACTCTTAAGTGGCTTTAGCAGATTAGTGTGCCTTATCTGAGACACTACACTTTTTTATTTAGCCCAACTACATTTGACCCATCTGCTGCTTCAAATAATTGGATTATTTAAGTATAGAATGATTGTATGCATCACTGTATTATTTAGACAAAAATTATACAATACTGTACACTGTAATCGCCCCTTTATGTCATGGTGGATTATTTTCACAGACAACAGTTTCGGAAAAGATGGTGGCCTCAGTGTTCACCTCAAGTCAACATGTTCAACTTAATCACCAACTGCTGCACCTGGGTCTCCAAAATACAGGAACCAATCAGGTTGGAATTATCTGTGTTGTTTTTAAGTGTATTTTGATTTTTAAGTGTATTTTGACTTGATTTTGATCTGTTAGTTTACAATAAACCTATGAAATTGCAGGGCATTGGTATATGTTTTTGTTCATTATTTTTGGCTTTTACAGGAAATTGACTATTCTAGTGGTCGGTCTTGACAAAGCAGGAAAAACATCCTCTGTCAGGGGGATGTTAAGAGGTAACTTGAAAACCAAATATAAAGAATGTGATATAGTAGGACAATATAATTTACTGTGTTTTAGGTGTTGTTTTACCTATTGTGGCTATGTCAGTCAATGCTGTAACTGTGTTCAAATCACGTTTACCTTACTTTGTATTACTGTATTAGTGAGTGTCAGTATTTTCCTGTGCATGCAGAGGCCCATGGAGGAGATGCAGGACCCACACATGCCTGTGTACGGCATGAGTTGAAGGTGGAGAACTACCTGGTCACTCTACTGGACACGGGGGGATCTGCAGAGACCAGGAGCCGGTGGAAAGATCTCTACAGTGAAGCCCATGGGGTCATCTTTGTAGTGGACTCTTCTGACAGACAGAGGATGAAAGAGGTCAAAGAGGTTTTAGAAGAACTGCTAAAGCACCCCAGGGTGGCTGGAAAACCGTTACTAGTGTAAGAACATTCTTTTAAAGTGATAATTTGTATGTAAAATTTAAAAAAGCATTCATTTATATTTTTAACATATTGTTGTCTATTTAAGATTATTTCCTCAAATTGTGGATACGAGGAATGTTGCCAATATGAATTTGACCCTTTTTTGTTTTTGTTCTCTAGGTTGGCTAATAAGCAGGACAAAATGAGTGCTTTACTTGGAAGTGAATTAATTGAGATTTTGTCTCTTGAGAAGCTGGTTAACCAAAGCCGTTCTTTGTGCCATATTGTAAGTTTTCAAATAAAAATTCAAATGTATAGATAGACAATACATCTAAAAAAAATAA